AGAGAGAGGGAGGGAGGGAGGGAGAGAGAGAGGGAGGGAGGGAGAGACGGGGAGGGGTGGGTATGGCACACTCATTAATTCAAAATGTGGTTTTAAACGTACCTTCACTAGAACTTTGATAATCCCAGGTCGTTGTTTGGCCCGTTATGTTAACAGATAGTCCCGCCAGGACAAGCAGGAAGAGGACGCAGACCTTCATCTTCGCCATCTTGGGGAAAATTGAGCTACCACTGTAAAAACCGTGTAATATCAAATTCCCTCCGAGACCTTAGAGGTGTGAACAGTTCCAGTGCATTTTACTTGTCATGTGGAATTTGAAATTGATCTTTAAAACCGTCGTGAAATTCTCCCTCTTCTAGAAGTCCTCCATCTTGGAGCTCATAAACTTTCAACAACAGGTCTACCTTTTCGCAGAATTTGCTTTTAAGATTTCATTTCTAAAAGTAGACCATAAGTCACCTGTCAATACAAACAAGTCCGTATCGTAACCACAGCAGTTTTACCTGGCTCAAAGCACTAGTAAGAAAGGGAGCTGTTTTTATAGGAGAGGCCCCATTGAGGAGATTTGAAAGGCATACTTACGCTTCAGATTAAATCACACTGACATAGAATCAGATTTCTTTGCTTTCTACTCAGGTGCGTCTTACTGGGAAGGAAACTATTGTTAAGATTACGAGCCCCTTTGTGGTATAATCCAATGCAAAAGGCCCGAGGTAAGAATACACAACTCTAAGGGGAACTGTGATGAAATTGTCTCGACCTTACTGGGTCTAGTTTACTCGAATTTCAATATATATGAAATGTTTTCCCTTTTTTTAACGATCTCTAATCACTGATCGAATGATCTTGAATAATCTGCCAGTGTTGACTCACGGTCGGCAATAGGGAGTTAAGTGAAAAGCTAGGCTTGTCAAACATTGCTGCCGGGACCTTGCCTTAATTAAGTGTTTATAAGCATTCATATAAATATGTTAACATATCAAATATGATCTTACATTTTAGCCCGAAGTAAATTGTGAGTGTAAGAAATAAAAACGCTCCTTTTTCTTTTTTCCTTTTATTTATCCATTCGTTTTAATTTATTCATTTATTCCTTTTTTAAGGGGAGCAAATAATGTATTCCATCTGAAATTAAATGTGTTGAGAAAATAATACTATGTACTGTACACGTACTGTACACCGCACTTCGTCATCTTCAGCATGACATCAGGCTGATTAATTTATTTTTTGATTATTTTTTTTATTAATGATACTGTTATTAAGCAATGGCCATAATTTCTCTCCCATCTGCAAAAGATTGATAAAGAAAGAAAAGGAAAAGAAAGTTACAAATTAAGCACTCAGGGTGCTGGGTTTGCGACAAGTTGGACATATAAAAATATGATCGCAAAGCACCCTTCTCATCTTCCTTATCACCATTTATTGCCATAAGCAAATCATGACAATGCAAACTAGAAATGAAATTCTATCGGCAGTGTCAATAAACAAACGTATTTTTACTTCAAGCAAGTTAGAAATATGCCTTTAGTTTCGATAAATGCATTTAATTATATGCAAACAAGACTGGGGAAATATTTATCAGGTAACATTAGAATGAAATATGAATTCAAAGAAAGAAAAGGGACATAACAACACGCGGAATGTGGATTCATGAGCGGCGTAACGACTTGAAAACTCAGATATGGGCCTGTAAGATATACTGAGAACTAACGCACACATAGAATGACTCGAAGAAAGAGAGAGAGAGAGAGAGAGAGAGGGAGAGAGGGAGAGAGAAAGAGAAAGAGTGTGGGCGTCTGTTTGAAAGACATTAAGAGAGAAAGAGAGAGCAGATGTACCCTGTACTTTACAATATAGCAGTGGCACATAAAGCAAAGAAATAAGCCTCTACAACAAAATGGGCAATTTTATTGTATTTGGAATACATACATTTGTTTAATGAAATGCCTACTTTTTCTTGTTCGATATTTATAACTGCCATGGTCCACCCAATCCCCGACCCACCGTTTTCCATCCCAACCCCGCCCTATACCAGCCTCTCCCTACACCGAACCCTCCCTGAATGAAAGACGAACATCCACAAGTAATAAGCGATGTGCGTTTATTACAATCAGAACAATTGGGTAAAATGAGACACGCGGCGCGCAGTACAGTCAGTTTTCCCCAAAATGTCCAATACTATCCCGTATCATCATACATGTAAAACATAAACCTTTGTACTTCACTGACCGACATGAGATGTGAAGACAGGTGGAGGGTTAAACAGGAACAAAGGTATCTAACTGCCTCAGATTGCCTCGTTCTTTTTCGTGAAGGCGCAATCTGGGAAAGTTTGATGCTGCTGCCGCACTGGAGTGTGTCTTCTCCTGGCTCCGTCCTGGGATTTAAGTGAAGTCTGACCGGACATTTCGTTTCGAAAAATGGTAGGCCTACAAGAGTTATGGTTGAAGCGACCCTATAATCTTAATAATATTTATCATATTTTTTGTAGATATTGTTATGAACAATTATCCAGGACTTCAACTCTTAATTAACTTGTAAACAATAATAATAAATAAAACGTCGTCATATCAAGAAATATAATATGTAATATCTTAAATGTGAAATCCACCGTAAGTCTAAATGCGACTTGGGTTAGGGAAAGTCGTTCACAGATCTCATCGTTCTTTCTGCCTCCTTCACCGTGTGCTGTATGTTGTCCTGCTTAGAGAAGTGCACTGGACGACGATTGCGATAGAGAAGACGTGCGTGATTTATTCATGCCGTCATTGTGGCAACTTCAAGATGATCCTGTTGTTTTATTTTTCAGAGAGGTACACGTACAACCTGTGCCCAATAAATGAATGAAGAATTGGGCCTATCAAGAATGGATTTCATCACATTTTGTAAAGCAATATATACACAATACCCCGTAGGCCGTTCTGTTTAATGAATAAATTTCACTCTAAAAAAGTATTTTTTTTTACACTCGTGCAGAATATGACCATGCAAAATAACGGCTTCTAAAATGGGGACAATATAATTTCTTTTATACGTTTTAAACGTTTCTGGGATTTTGTTTCATTAATAGGATTTTGACATATAACCTTTTTAAATACATATTTTAAGTTTAGTATATTGTAATTTCCTTTCAATGAGGACATTCAAGATCATGGGACTTTCTGCACTGATAAAGCATGTCCACGGAAGGCCTATATTTAATAACTTGGGAACCGTTATTTCGAGACAGAGAGTCCCCCGGACTTTCAATTTTTAAAGGTATACTGTGATGAAAAAACGGGTTAAAGCTATCCATTAGGTGCCCAAAAGTCATTTTTGAGTAATGAAAAAAAAGTTCTTACGTTTATTTAGTTTTTAAAGCCGATTTTATGCAGGTGTGAATGTAGTTTACGATACTCCCGCGTGGTGGCGCTTTGAGGCGAGTGACGTCACTGGCGTCGAGGCTCAGAAAGCCATATTCGATTCAGCTATCCGCTTACTTACATTTACTCGATCGCTTTGTCTGAACTATTTTGTAAAAATGAACAGAGAACGAATTGAAGGATATTTGTTTGAACCAGAGGGTATTGCAGAAGATGTGGATGATGCCGAGTGGAAAACGGACCAGGAAGATAGTGAAGGAGAGCTCTCTACAGTCAGCCGACTAAACGATTTGGCGTGGTGCGAGTGTGGCCATTGTGAGCTTATGCCCACCTTTGTGGAATCAACGTGCTGTAGTGAAAACACTGCTGTGTCTGCCAAAATGAAGCACGATACCAGATGCGTTACCGAACTACAGACCTACAATAATGCATGTTTAGACGCAGACATGCTGGAGATCCTCATGGCATCGATGAAAGAAGTGCTCGGGGAAAGTCTGCGTGACCCAATTACGACCTGGGCTCCGTATCTCGAAAGGTTCGCTATGTTGCGCACGTACGTTAGTGTCTCGATTCCATAACCGATTCTATTTCGAGATACGGGGCCATGGAATCGAGACACTTGCGCACGTGGATCCAGCAGATACTAGAATGGAAGGAATCTGTGTTGTTTTGACACCAGCCTCCGCTTTTAGGAATACAGTGTATTAAGGGTATAAAATGATAATAAATACATTTTCAAATCACACAAAAATCATTCTTTAATTTATGCTTAATCACATTTTGCTTGAATAAAATATTTTAAAGTAATTCAAATGGCATGTAGTATTAATATACTGTACATATAGTGGAATGTTAATGTCTGCTCCATGCGCTTAAATTTATCTGTCACGTACTTGAATTTAACCTGCACGGGGGCTAACTATCACAGTAAAATAACAGTAAAATCGACATAAATTCAGTAATGCTTCTCTTTCCTCTATCCATTGATCTTCATCATCAAAATGAGCTGCTGCTGCTGCTAGAATTATAGCTACCCCTACAGAGCCATAGTCTTCAAGTACATAAAATGTACGTGCCTTTTTAACAGTATATCTAACATGTATATTTGCAATCCATTCCATTGCTCTAAAAATCATCAGCATGACCATATGATCCCCGCTTAGTCCTAAAAACATTTACATTTTGTTAACTGAAAGTCATTTCGTTTCGTGCTGTTTCGCCAAGCCTTACTTGGCTAAGATGGCGGTTCGAGGGCATTTTAAAATTATTCTGTGACGCTCTCTGTCTCCCAACAGCTCCTGTGTTCTCCTGTATTGGGCTTCCGTATTTGCACTTTACTAACTGCAGGCGGAGTAAATTCATAAGATACACGTGGTGAACTGATCCATATTTCGTTATCTCGGCAGTCGTCGTAGTCTAGTTCTCTCCCATCGCCGTAGTCTGCAACATCATCAAAATACATACCATCGTAATCATCATTGTGGTAATCATCATCATCATCACTATCATCATCATCATCTTCATCTTCGTCGCCATTATCTTCAATAGGATGAAATTCGTCGTCTTCGGCATCGTCCATGCTGTCTACGTCACTGTCGATCAACAAGGTATCAGATTGTGATAGCACTCTTACTGTCTGGACTGCGGGTACAGTGGCATCGCAAACCAAGGGGATCGGTGGGGATTCTTCCCCGTTTACGTCATTCTCGAACATGGTATTAGGATGGGACAGCCCTTTAACTTTCTGGGCTGCAGGGGCCGTGGTACTGCTCAAGGTAGGGCTCGGTGGGGATGCTTCCCCGTTTACGTCATTTTCGAACATGGTATTGGGCTGGAACAGTCGTCTAACTTTCTGGGCTGCAAGGTCAGAAGAACTGCTCAGCGTAGGGCTCGGCGGGGATTCTTCCCCGTTGACGTCACTCTCGAACATGATATTAGAGTGTGACAGCAATCTTGTTGTATGGACCGCAGGGTGAGTAGAACTGCTAAGCGTAGGGCTCGGTGGGAGAGGGGGTACTTCGCCGTTTACGATACTCTCGGTCATTGTGACGTCAACAGTAAGGTGTGACAGTCGTCTAACTTGCTGTGTTCTGGGGATTTCAGAACTGCTCAGCGTAGGACTCGATGGAGGTACTTTCCCATTTGCGTCACGCTCGAACAAGGTATAAGGGTGTGATACTCGTGTAACCATCTGAGCTGTATCACTTCTAACCACGGGACTGGATGTGGATACTTTCCTATAGGTGGCCTCAATTCCGTTATCTGTTTGTGGCTCAGGACTTGTGCCCACAGTCATATATTTTGATGCATTGTGCATCCTGGAAAAATAAATAATGAGTAAGGTTGGGTAAATGTTTTCATAAGCAGGTGTTTTATGAGGCAGAATTTGGTGTTTAACTCATTATATCCTCTTCGTCAATTAAAACAAAGGGTGTTAAGTTTGTCACGTCCTATACTGGATGTTTGAATCATAAGGAAGAATCAGAATTTTATTAACCCAAAACAACCAAAGCTGGACACTTAAAGATAATTAAAATAGGATGCATAATTTATCTTTGATATATACATCTGCAAATGCCTTTGTTTTTAATTGATGAACATGATCACAAAGACTTTCGTTTTCCATTTTGAAAATCTTCAATTTAATTAAAGGACATACATGTAGAAATAAAAAGATACATTTAAACGTTAAAGTTTGGATAAAAACACCTGTGAATAAATATATTTCAGATATCCTACACTAGCTTCTTACATGCAACTGAATTCCCGTTATTGCTCGACATAACAGTATGAAAAGGGAACTTAATCAAGCAATTACCTGACACAAACAGCGGTAGTGATAACAACAATAATGATAATCAGCAGCACGCTTCCACCAATAGCCACGCCCCATATCCAGTACGTTGACTCCGCGTTATATGCAATCAAGATATCAGATGGCGTCGTGGCGTTAACAGCTGGCGTAGTGGCGTTTGAGGCGTTCGTGGCGTTTGTGGCGTTGGAACCAGTAAAGGGCACCACCAAAAATTCAAGCTGTGTTATACTGACATTCCCTAGAAATAAAATGTTATTTGATGACCATGGACTTGCCTTACAAAGAAACATATATATTCTAAAATCCTGATAGCCGACTATTCATATCGACTATGCGATATTTGGCTATTTCATATACAATTTTGGCCATCTGCCACCACTGAAAGTAAAAAACTCATTTTCGTGTGATATTTGTATACTCTGATTTGCCCCATCACTGTACCTTAATTCAGATGTGGCAAGGAATCAGAGTCTCGTTTGTTTTGCGGAATCGCCCCTCTATAATAGTATTGCCGTGGATATATTTTCAAATTATTTAATGAAATATTTAAGGTATTTTTTTAAAATTTCTTAATTGCTAATAATGGAAATGTATTTTGTAGTGTGTTAGACATTTTAATTGACAAGCACTAGGGTATATCAGAAATCACAAGAACGAATCAATAAAACGCACAAAAATCAGTTCATACTTTGGTGTACAAACGGAATACAAGGAAAACGAAAAAAACAGAAACACAATCCCGGGTATGCTGCGTAGAATAGCACACAATGGGAGGAAATGAGACCCGAAGCAAGACAAAACTGGAATGTAACGTTAATGGCAGTCTGATTACATTAGTTACTGCGCCTACCGGTACTGTACTTGCGGTCAGGTATAAACCAGCTGTGGCTAGAGCTGGACTATTGCCGTATTGGTACCTTACCTAGGGCGATCTGAAGGTCTCTCTGTGCGTCATGCATGACGGCAACCAAATCTGCGGCAGGCAGTATGTCCCCAGTGTCTGTGAGCACGTAATAGGCCAGATCTATGGAGGTGGGGTCATCGCTAGATGGTGCTGGGTAACCTGGCACACGCAGAACGAAGTTGTAGTTGAAGGTAAGGGTGGGCGTGGACCTCCTGGTAAACAATAAGCGTCATACCTTCAAATGTTTGTTTTTACTTTTGGTACTCTTACCTGCGCTGAAAGACTGACTTAGAAGTATAACTACAATATATGGTTCTTTTCATTAGATTACGGGCGTTGCGTTGCCCTACGTACTCCACTGTTTTAAAAATACGCCATTTTTATAAATATACTCTATTGATTGATTAATATAATGAACCAATTCTTAATTAAAATTGAAGCTTTTGTATGTACTTCATACAGTCAGCATTCAACGATGCTTTAAGCGCATTATACATATGTGCCCACCTTCGTCGCGTTGTCGCCGTTCCTGAGATTAAAGTACAGTTCCCGCCTGCGCAGTAGGTAGTTGCCGCGGAAGCTATCGTTGTAGTAACGGCCGTATCCACGGCAACCGTATACTGTCAAATAGAATCAAAATTAATGCCAGCATTGGATGGATTGCAGTACTCTTCAAAACAAACGAAAAAAAATGTACGAGTAATAGAATTCTACAATTATAATGGACAATCGACCGACAACTTATCCGATTTTCAAAGTATAAAAACTACGTGCGTTGGCGCAATACATGTACTTAGTATACAGCAAAAACAAACACTTTAAAAATGCTAAATACCCTGGAAACCTTAACAATTTCCCCATAGTCATCAAGGTCTATACAAAACTGACGAGAGAATAAAAATCCATTTTGGACGACCTCCACCAAAACGGCCACCTTCCTGTAAGGCTTCCTGATTCCCGCAAAGCCTCGCTCTCGTAGAGACACTTATGGATTAAGTATCAAAGCTGAGCCCCGTATGTTACTATCAGTTCTAAGATGTAGAGGCAGGGAGAATCTGGCGTGTGTGTAACTGAGAGATGTAGAGATATAAGAAAAGAGAGAAAATATAAAGATATTGATGAGAGAGCACACGATAAACGAAGTTATTAGACAACGGTTTCATATACTTACGTCAGATATATCCATTTGGGCGGACATTCTAACAGCATTCTCTCTCTCGTCTGTGCTTGGAGTCCTAGTCTCATCGGCGGCCGGCATGACGTTATCGGCCAACTCTGAACAGAGCAAACGAAAAAATAATTCCTGCTGTTTTTTGTATTTATTATATATCAGAGAGGAAAAATTAACTGTAACTTCAAACTATTGCATGCTTTAAAATTATACATTTTTTGCTGATGGCACTTACGACAGTAGACTTGTTCACCTTGGTATAAACATACTTGTCAAAAAGTATAATATCGAATGCTGGTAGCTATGGAACAATTACGACTAGCCAGTGGGTACTTGCGTTTACACTGGCCCCGATATCCTCGGTGCCTGTACCCCGGTAGGTCAGGTACAGCTATATCCACCAGGACCGTTAATACACATACTTACGTCTACACTCGCCCCCGATATCCACGGTGCCTGTAGGACAGGTACAGCTATATCCACCAGGACTGTTAATACACATACTTACGTCTACACTCGCCCCCGATATCCACGGTGCCTGTAGGACAGGTACAGCTATATCCACCAGGACTGTTAATACACAGTTGCGTAGAGTTACAAACCGAGGCTAACTGGTTACATTCATCTATGTCTAGAATATGGAAATAGTTTATTTCAGTTGAATATTATAAAAATCCTATTCCGCTTCCACTACACAAAAAATGACTTAATAAGCAAAAATACACGAAATCACTTATTTATTTTTAAATGCAGTTTGAGGAGACATTTTAAAAATCGGGAAATCAATCTACCTTTGCAGGTGTAGCCATCAGTTGACATGGTGTAGCCTCCGTTACAAGAACAGTTGTAGGAGCCCACAGTATTCACACACTGCTGGTTACATCTGTTCGCGCCGGTAGAACACTCGTCCTCATCTGGTAATTATAACAGACATAATCACATTGTTGTGGTTTATTAACGTAATTCTAGGAAAAAGGACATATGACAATGCTTAATTTTACAGATGTGTCATATTGTCGTCACAGAGCAGTTACGATGATGGCTTAATCTGACGTTTTGTCTTTGCTTTAACACTCATCAATTTTCAAAAGAGCTTAGACAATTTGATATCAGATGCCCAGCTCCGGTGCTTTGACGCCATGAATGCCACAGCATATGACACAGCGCACACGCATAAGGAATAGGAAGACCTACATGTACATGTTATTGTCACTCACCGTTACATTGGGTTCCTCCAGTAAGAGTGAAGCCTTTCTTACAACTACACTGATTGGTTCCAGATGAATCTTCGTAACACCAGCCGTTCACCAAATCACAGCCTATATTAGTGGTGCACACAGTGGTGGCTGGAATAGAATCATATCTTGAATGCTGAGAATTTCAAAACTGTTTTTCGGGCGCTGATTGCTTGTTGTCATTTTTATCAAAATATGTAAAAACACCAAGATTTTGAGCTTAAATCATTTGCAATTGGCTTTTTTTCTAATACCAGTCGTGACCAACAAACTATTAAATATTACTCACGAGCACAAGATTTGCCGTCAGCCTGGAGGGAGAAGGCGGTGTCACACCTACAGGTGTAGGAACCCTCCGTGTTAATACAGGTCTGGGAGCAGTCACTGGCTGGGACACATTCATTTACATCTGAAATACCGTCATGTTTTAATTACAAGTGTAAAACTAGGATCAACATAATGGAGAATAACCACCGTTTATTAAGATATCGAAATCAGGCCCCGGATCAAGCATAAGAAAAAGGAAATTAATTTTTTGGAAATAAGGGATACAATCAATACCCTTTTTTCCTTTTCACTAAAATTTAAAGCTAAAGAACATCAGCCGTTGTTATCGTTAAATCTTAACCATAAAAAGCAGAACCTAATATAAAGCTAGAAATGTTATACTGCTTTGGATTTTCAAATTTAAAAAGCACTCTCGTTGTCTGCATTTTATGTCTCTTTAACCACTGAATGTGCATCACATAGTGAAATGAAACAATACATTGTATGTGCTGAACATTACCAGGGCTCCCAAACTGCCACAGGCGATTACTGCTCTTTCAAGACAACTTTACAGATCTCGAACTTTTTCATCCGTGTTACATATCTCTGCACAGCCGATCAATGATTCAGTACATTTTGCATTCTGTATTCCTACACATACTTATTAACACCCAAACTCCCCTACTGTACAACATATTGCACGAAAATACATCGATTTTGCATCCGCGTGTTTTATTTATTTATTTATTTTTTTCATGATGTAGCAAATGGTTGCTGGTCTGTATTTGAACATATTACCGACTTCAAAACCAGAAAACAAAACTACAGACATATGCCCATGTCTCTTACCGTCACAGCGCCCTTCAGCAGCCAGCTGATAGCCCGTGTTACAAGAGCAAGCGTATGATCCCGGAATGTTGATGCAGATATGGTCACATTCACTGCCATTGACACATTCGTTTATATCTGGAATTATCAAGTTTTACAGCCACCCATTAAATTAATTAAGTGATTGACTTGTTAATTGACTGACTGATTAAGTTTTAACTACGTTTGAATATCAATCTATGAATTAATTGGTTGATTTGTTTATTTATTGATGAATTAATTGACAGCTATATTACAGGGTATTGTTCTTACCGTCGCATATTTTCCCGTCCCCAGTATAACCTTCAGGACAAGGCCCACACGTGTACCCAGTTATATTACGTGGAGGAGGGTCATTTTGACAACGCACCCCTGGATAACAGGGCTCTGCGTTCTCTGCGCATGCGTTGATGTCACTTTCGCAGTACGTCCCCGTGAAACTCTCTGGACATATACATTCCAAGACGATGAAGCTGTTAAAAGGTAGACATGGGTTAATAATGAAGAGTTCTTCCGATTACAATTTTGACCGAATATAGAGTGCATTGCGTCATTGGACGACCAAATTCTTAAACATAATGATCGCAGTGTACAATGAGATTGCCCTGTTCTTTTGTCGACGGCGGTAAACATGTCCCGTAGCAAAGACGTGTTGCATACTTTTTTCAAAATCTTACTGTTTACCAAGCTTAAGTAACTTTTATAGTATAAGTATTCGCACAGGTATATGGAGGCAGAGTTTTAGGGAATAATCTGTACCTTGTTCAACATACCCGGAAGATTGTTTTAAACATTGTTGTTGTCTAAACTTACTATGAAGACGCTTCTTCCAGCTCGGAAGCTGTAAGTGATGCGCAAGTGCCACCATTTTCACAAGGACAGTATTCTATCACTGGCTGGTAGGTGCTCCTAGCGTCATTAGTGTCCTGAGGAAATACAGAAATGCAGTATTTATGAGTGAACAATGTTGAGCAAATAAGATATTTTGTTAGGAATGTACACCTGATATATATATTTATTACATGCAGTAACCTATATAACGACCAAAGTGCCTTATCTACAAATATAAAAATTTCCAAAATTACTTCTCTCCAATGGCCTCCCATTTGTCGAAATAAATTTTACTGGTCTGTTTGCCTTTCCATCTCTCTGTCCGTTAAATTTTAATTATCTATTGATAATTAAACTTAGAAACAAATAAAAATATTTTTATCAGAGTAATAAATATATATATTAACGTGTGCAAAGTAAAGTTGTTTTTAAATTTCTTTCAAGGTTTATGAAAAGACATCACCTTTCAAATTTGCAAAAGAAATCAATTTGCCCTCTCATACACGGACTACGCCACTACCTACATGTACATGCAGACGTGAACTGTACCTGTGCTATCAACTTCAAATTTAGCTCCTCCGAGATGGAATTGATGAGAATGTCCACGTTATATTCGTCGCCGGAAGCTTGCGATAGGTTGGCAGAAGTAGAACCATTTGTCTCGAGCTGGCACGTAATTGTGTCACCATTGGCGTCTGACACGTTCGTTGTTATGGTGGTCAATACACCACGATCGACCTTGTGCGATCTTGGCCCGGTGATTTTTGGAGGGAAATTATCTATGAAAAAAAAAAGACAAAAGTATTTGCGAATATAAGCATTTTATTATCAAAGACGCGTTTTTCTAATGCTACTTGGCAAAATGGAAGCCTAGAACAGTTAATAAGAAATTTGGCGCCAAAATTATCTGGAAGAGATCCATATGTTTTAGTACGTGCGTTAAGAGTGGATAGCAGCGTATGTCGGTTAGTAAATGCTACTTCAATCACACAGTATTTCCGGAATTCAATCCGCGGTTTAGTAAGATAGTAATGGCTTCTTAAGCAATCATAAGAATCACTGAACTGATAGGCCTTCTCACAACAATTAAAATTGGGAAAACTTAATAAAAAAGATATCGGCCGTGTAGCACAGCCTTGTTTATTCTGACAACATCTGGTGTCGTCTGGCGGAAACTCCCCATAGCGTCTTTTCCGTAGCAGTCTTGCCTTTCATTGTAAAGTTTTTACTAGTAACATTATTTAAGACCCATACGTTTTGTAGAACGCCACCTATTTAGGCTATATATATACGGCGTAATTAAATGACGTCATCTCACCTAAGTCTGAGGTAGCTCTGTCACTGGCAATTTTCTCACTGAGAGTTGCCTCGCCAAAACTGAGATCTCCGGTTTGGGCTGTATCAAAGAGGCATGACATATCAGATCCACAGAGGGCTTCAGCTGCCGCTTGGAGAGTAGCGTTAGCGAACGTTATGTTGTCAGTGAACATGGGTGTAAAGTCAGGGAAGTTGTAGATCTCATAGCTCTCGCCAGCCTGGTAGCAGAATATGGTTGTTTCGTTCGTGACCATCCCTGAGAAAAATTTGTACTTATGGGCAATAAGTAACGACAAGATTTATTATGAGGATTTTTTTAATTCGCGAGAAATCTAGAGTACTTCGATCATATTGTCACTTATTCCTATCACACAGTGTATTTCGACTATCATGTACTTATGGGCAATAAGTAACGACAAGATTTATTATGAGGATTTTTTTAATTCGCGAGAAATCTAGAGTATTTCGATCATATTGTCACTTATTCCTATCACACAGTGTATTTCGACTATCATGACAATTTATTTTCAAATCCCGTGTTCAGATCTTGACATGTCTACCAGTATGTTATGCATTTTTATGACGCAATTAAATCCTTCCTTTGGCATATCCTTATGGCCTTAACTTAAAAATCTAACCTTTAATGAATTTTGTGATGGGCATGCCTACACAAAAAATATACTCATGCATCATTTCTCTTTTAAGATAATTCAACTATTAAAATAATCCAAACGAAAATGCAAAAGAATGGTGTATATCAATACAGCTCAATACCACTTACACGTCATTCCAAACTGGTGGTATATATCACCTTCTGATGACGTCTCAGGTATTGGTGCACCGTTGCTAGGCGTGAGGTCATCACTTTTGTCGTTGTTAAACACGCCCATCAGGCCTTGAGTGCGGTTTTCAAAGGTTACAGGAACTGCGAAGCTTATCGATAATGCGCCCTACAGAAAAGTGCACAAAAATATAACTGGTTACCGCGCCGTAACTGATGAACCCCTGTATAATTCATATGATTTTATAAAACTACTACCATAATGAATATCCGTTTTCCTGCGAAATCATTCGCTGAAAAAAGGATGTCTAAATGATAGTCAACAAAATATAATAAATTTATTACAGACCCTAGCTACAGATAGTGGGAATGCATGTGTTTAAACAGTAGCTAGTTAACGCAAGTCACCACAAGGGAAAAAAACATTTCCAGTCGTTACATATTTAATTTTAATCATTAATTTCAGAGCTACTACACAGACACGTGTCCTGTACAAATACACGTTCGACAACATTGTTAGCATTCTAACGATACCTTAAGAGCTTTCGTAGATACGGTGATTCCGTTTTCATACGTTACTTGAAACGAATTATTCTCCGGACGGGAGAGAAGCACTGTATCAGACAGCAAAGAATGTGTGCTGGTATCGTTGGTAAAGTTTCCAATGTCAATCATGGTGCAGTTTATAAAAACCTCCAGTTCTTCCTCAGTACCGTTTTTCAGGTTCACCTGAGTGAGACTGTGGTTGACAAGCTGTATTGCAACACTGGAGAAGACCGTAGCCTTTGAGGTGTCTGAAATGGATGCAGTGGGAATCACCAGAGGTAACCAAAAACAAAGTGCTGCTTGGAACCATATGAGACTGGGGAGTGTGCGAGAATCCCTGTGAGACAGGGGTCAAATTTATAGCCTTCTTACAAAGAAACACCCGAACATATCTTGAAATTGTGTGCAATAATTTGAGACAACCATAAATATACAGGTACACTGTATATGTATCCGTGGCTATATTTAGTCAGTTTTTTCGCTGCCAAAACAGACCTAGCTAGTCTGACATTATCTCAGACCACATGCAATCTCCCCCACAAACCCAGTGAAATCTCATTTGGATGTCAGCTAATAAATTTTCGAGACTTTGGACTCTCTCGAGTAACTCCCGTTAATACACATCAAGGGTGTCACGTATGACGTCTCACAAAGTTGACAATGTACCTGACACCTTTCTCGTCCGTGCCTGAACTTGCATCTCTCCGCTATCGACGTCCAGTAATGTAAACTCTCCCAGGCCGTTAAAGGTGTAGTTTAGTCCGTCCAAAGTAACGAGGTGAGGGTCTCCGCGATTGGTTCCTGCAAAGATATGACGTAACGACCAGAAATAAATTGTGACATCACACAATTGTGGCCTCAGCTTCAGTGTGGCGTGCGGGACAAAGTTTGGCGCACTCCCATATGTCACCTACAGAATGACCTAGGGTAAAGATAGTTACCCCCTAACAGCTTTACTAGGCGTGACAGTCATTTAAGCCGGTTGAGTTGATAGTAATTTAGTGAGACTCCCCAGGGAGATAGATCGATCCAAATATCTGTGGGAATGGTCCCTATGACTTAAGGAGTGGATTTTTCAATTATTGAACATTGTTCTTCCAGTGTTCTTTAACATAGGTCCTATTTTCTCAGTGACATAAGAGATAATCCTGAATAATCCTGCACATGTCGTATCTAAGACATATGTCGTCACGATCCGATCAGAAAGAAATTGTAACATCACAAAAACGTATTGAAAAAATAAGAAAACATTGATCTCACTTTCCCCAAATAATAAAAAAAGTTATGTGTAAAAAAAACCAACTGGCCAGAGAATGCGTTATTGTGATTACTTGAAGGCAACCTTTTGTACATATCTACTGTTACTGCCACTGAAACGTGTCTTAAGAACCATGCATTCCCAAAACGGCATCGTACTAGCAGGATCGATCTAAATCCGAGGGGATTCTCGCTAAATTACATTCAGTTTAAGTGTGCACATAATGGAAAATTTAGCATGAAAATGGACCACGTTACGATGAAACAATATCAGAAAGACTCTCACGCCATCGTGGCGGATTGTATCCCTCGCAGTCGCTGGATGGTAGAAGAACGTAGAAAAGTTGGCACATGTTGGAACTCTCTATGCAGCATTTCTGATACCCGTATTCCTCTGAATTTGGTCTCTGCAAAAATTGAATGAAAGAGGTGCAATGGGATACTTGTACTCAGCAAGTTACTGTAACAATCATTATAGTCTAAAATTTTTAAGTTATATATATGTTCTGCAAACAAGGATTAATTAAAAGGTGGGCAAAATTTGTGACTGAAGTCGGAGAAAACATTTTAATGAAACTTTTATTCAATTATCAGTGTAAACAATTTACCAAAGTATGAGGCACTTAGAGGCATTAGATTTATAATCGCAAGTATTAATTAACTCATACTGTTCACATCCAGATTCACACTATGTTTGAGGTTGTGTGTTACTACAAGTAGTACCTCTAGTTGTCTTATTATTTACCTAATGAAACCCAGGAAGATGAATTGTTTTTCACTTTTACGGAATGACAGCATAAATTACTAAATATAAATAAATAAATAAAAACTACCTAATGGGTCAGCTGGTATCATCTGTACAAAATAAATAAATAAATAAATAAGTAAATAAATAAATAAATAAATACTACCTAATGGGTCAGCTGGTATCATGTGCTACAGATTTTTTTTTTTTTTTTTTTACATTAAAATCACATACAGAGGGTATACTCACTGTGTCGTCCACCACATGTCCTCCATTTGGACTACCGACCAGGAGAGAACCATAAGATTGCCACCAATATGAGTAACAACATCTCCGCCTCAAATTATTTATCCGGAAAGCAGTTCGGAAGCATATTTTATCTCTAGTATAGTCCTGGATGCTCAACTTGAAACGAAACCTGGGGACAGAATCACCAATTGAAAAAAGTGACAATACCATATAGCCTATAATATAACTAATGGTGGAGAGGAACATGTCCATTCCAAGCTTAAAATGTCCACACTAAATTATACCTTAAGTTACACATTCTTTCTTTCAAAAGGGTAATTAAATAGCGTTAAGCAGCTTCGGTAGGCGTGACGGACATCTAAGCCACTTAAGCAGAAAGCAATTTAGCGAGAAACCACTAGGGATGGATCGATCCTGTTAGATCGACCTAGGAATGGTAACCCAGTTTTAAAGTTCTATGGTCAGTCGAGAAACTGTTTGGTCCATGATGTTTTTGATGCTGCTTTGCAAGGGGGCTTGCCAGACAATTAAGCTGATTACAATGATTGCGCCTTTGCGAGAATCCCCGCTGGGACAGATCTATCCTGCTAGCATGATAAGGTAATGGGAACGTAGGGTAGTATTCCTTTAAATTTTCGTCCATACAGTAGAATATCTAAAAATGCCAGGGCTTGTTTGTTTCATTTACCTTCAAAATAAGGAACCACAAATGGTTTCTGTCCTTACCATAAGTCCCGCCAGGCTTGGTTCATGCTGCATGGACATGGCTCCAAATTAACCATACTGAGTTTCTCCGAGTAATGTGCATATTCTTTCTTTGCCCATTGATAGCATTGCAAAGGAGCTGTTCCCTGACCACTGTTTTCTTCCAGGCGAAACATCCAGATACCTGCCTCACCTGAAGAAAAAATATGTCCCTCAGTAATACGAGTAACTTCCTGTCTGACATCGAGGAAAAATAACGTGCAACATTATGATAACCTACTATTTATTTTGAGTAATTCATGAAAAAATTCCAAATAAGAAGCGATTAAAAATGTGTCGACATTCATTGATCGAATGTTCATTTTAATTTTAAGGAATAGGCATGTAAGCAGGGGTTCAAGGGGGGTACAAAATGAACGCTCTTTGGGCTGGAAAAGGTCCATTCTTTAATCTACTGTAAGTTTTATGCCTTTTTTCAAAGTGGTAAACTAAGGGGTAAAAAGCTCACACTAGTAATAGAATGCCATTTGAAATTGTTGACTAAAGACCTGGAGAAATAATGTTGTAAATTGTTGCCTAGAAACCTGAAAGTACTCGTCATCTCTTTTTTTTCTTTATTTTCCAGTTTTTGGATCAAATTATGTGGCAATCTTTTGTACCGGTATTTCCCACAACTGTATCCAAGTCCGCCATGACGCTTTTCCCAGTAGTTTGCATATTGTAGTAGGTGTTCTGGCGGTCATCACTTCCGTCCCCCGCGCTGTATCCCGCCACTGGCATCCCGTACCGTATGGAGGAGGACACAAATTTTTCAAAGATGGCCTTGGTGTAATCTGTAAGAATGAGAAGTCTTTCATGAATGGGTCAAGCAAAAACTGTCTTATCTTACTAAGAGTGCTCAGCGTTTGACTGTCACAAAAACACAAAGCCTTGTAATACTCGACATAACTTTAAATTCTGCATGAATATATGGCCAAATACGAGGAAATAACATCCGGGACGCCGTACAGAGCTTTAGGAAAAATGGCGCGAAACGCGCAGCTTTAGCAAAAATCGTAAATATTTTCATATTTATCACAGGACCCAAATCTTGGAAGTAATGATGGAAAACAAACAGCGAGGTTAAGTTGTTTCCCGTTTTGGACCGTGTGAGCGGTGTGACCTGACCTCCCTACTTTAACGATTATTCAGCTCATAATTCAAAACAAAAAGATGACCCAACTTTGATGTGAATGCTCGTTCAATACTCACCTTCGTAAAACCAGTTTATATCTGGATATATGAACTTGACAAAGGCAAACTGGCCGTCAGTCATCAGGACGGCTTGGAAGTTATTGACCTGGGAAGAAAATGTATGCAGTGAAAAATGAGCGCACGGTTTGTGAATTGCATCACGTGTAGAAGAGTGATGATAATATAATTATTCATATTTGCTTACTTTCTTTCCTTTTTATTTTCGGAGAGGCTTTTGAGCTGTAGGATAAGTAGTGTATGAACGCCGTCAGTAAGGATAATGCAAATTGAACAAAATGAAATATTATCAAACTATAATAATCAGCAGCTTATTAGAAAATCCCAATCACAAAGTTTTCGTGAATTTTTAATTATTTGCCAGAGATACAAGGACCTCTGACATTACCCTACGTATATCACCACACGTTTGTTATGCGCTGAAGTACAATATTTACTGCATATTGTATTTTCAACATTTTATATTCAAAATGTGCAGTAAAATGTTAAGTAATACAGTAAACCATTTCTTGAAATTCTAAAAACGACAGCATCATAGGATCTTCAAACACATTTTTGACCAGTTGTACATAATATAACTCCGCAAGCCCTGTGATAACATCACCATAGTGGTCAATCTTATCCCACCGTTTACCCGCCCATCACCATGGTAACCAAGTCAAGCGTGCCATAGTAAACAGTGGGAATTGTTAGAAACACTGCCTGCAGGTACTGTACAGGTACTATATAGTCAAGGCATCACAACTGAATAGCACTACATTCGGATGAAATATTATAATTCTCTTACCGGCATATTCTGTACCCTGGTGGAGCCGCAGTAAGATCGGTAACGATAATAATAATAATAGTACCAGCGCCAGCGGTAGCAGTCGCTGACGTAAGGCGGGAGGTTGGTCCACGTGACCACCATTACCCAGGTGGGGGCGAATTCTGGAAGAAGGAAAATGAGTGTATATGACGTCAGCTGATTTATATTATGTTTTCTTAAATTTATAAATTTTGCAAAATTTGAATTTTTGGAAGGAATGATAATATTACAAACAGATTTGGATTTGGGAAAGCCGCGCGTTTATGATCTGAGATAGAGATAGCTAGAGCCAATATCGAAAAGGAAAGTGAATATTCCTCCAACCGTACTTAGAAATATGTGCACTTGACTTAACTTCAATATTTGTGTTAAAAACAATTGAAATATTAGTTATCATTCTACCCATTTGTAATTCAATCACCTGTGAGTGGTTGCTTATATATTTGGGTGTAATGTTTAACATCGGCCGTAGCTCGGGCAATGATGGCTTCTGTCCCAGGCTTCCCGTCATTCATCTCATACACTTGATAATACACCAGCTGAAATGATGGAAATATTTCAACGGGCAACCTGTTATCATTTCTATTCAATCACAAAAACAATGAGTTTTCAGTGCCGGTGGAAGCACTTTTTAAGAGGGGGGTTAATAACTTCAAATAATTAGAGGCGGAGAATGGATCAAGGCAAAAGTATGTTCTTGAAGTTGAAGATCAGTTCACATTATTATTACTATAATTGTCATAATTATGATAAATATTATTATTATTATTGTTGTTGTTGTTTTTATTATAATTATCATTATTATTTAAATATCAACGATTATAAAAGAGTTACCGTCTTATTCCTATTCACACTGAATCGTGAAAATAAAGTGGCGTCACTGCGGCCCCAAAACGGTGCGATCTGAGCATAGCGGTTCATCCAGTAACGTGTGCCAAAGCGCCACGGCATGCGAAGTTTCCATTCGTGTTTGAACTGTAGAACGCCATTGTTGCAGATCTGAAGGAAAAAAGAAGATGTACTTGGATATTTTCATAAATATAAATAATAATTCATTCATAAAATAAATACCAGATTTCAGAAATATTTGTCTCCGCATTACTTTAAAATCACAGAGATGAAATTTTAGTGCATCAATATTTTAGGCTCATACATGTGTTTTGGCTCTGACATATGAAAACTACCAAACGAAAACCCACTTGAGACGGTTTCACATGCATTATCAGATTATCAACTTCAAATACGTAGGTAACAAACTCCTTTGAAAAAAAAAAAAGAAATAAAAGTATGAGTTTTAAGAGAAAGACTTATGCGTTATTTTTCTTATTGGATGTTTGGCGCCAAAAAATAATGTCAATCTTTTAATTTCATTAATTCTAATAAATGATGCCTCCGATGCATTTAACGTGTTCGAATACTATATTTGCGTTAGTTAAAAAGTATCGCGGAGCTTACTAGAAATTCAGCAATTAGAAATTATTTTTCAACATTTTATGGAATCTTGCATCATTATATCCAAATTCTTCTCAGGGCACAGTGCGTGGTTCAAAATGTCGCCATGAGAAAGTAACACATAAAACGGCCAGCAACTAACGGTTTCTGCTGTCTAGCCGTCTAAGTACTGTATTAACGAGTGGTCGATACCAAAATGGACAATTATTTTACTTACATGAACGTTGTAATGTCGTCCGTTGAAGAAGGGAAACCCTGCCCTGAGTAACTTCACCCTTAGGCAGACATCATCATAGTTCCGCCACCTTCTATTAATCCAAGACAAGTCCAACCGGTTCAAGTCGTCCTGTGTATTGTTGTCCCCAGCGTTTTTTCCAAAGGGGTACAGCCGTGTGTCTTCCCACCATTCGATTTCTGACAATAAAACTCTCAGATAAAAAGGAATTACAGTCTCAGCAATCATAGTATAATATCAAAGCGTTATACTAGACACTAACCTACGATCCAAATTTTTAAGAGTTGGGATTAATCGAAGTTCTTTTTCTCTCCTGATGACTGTCTAATTCAACTATCTCTGCTTGTACATAAAATAACATTATACCTTAATCACCCTAGGGGCTGATAAATTCTTTTTATATTTATAGATTTTTTTTGCATTCTACAATACTGAAAGCATTCATTCCAAATATTCAGAACCATTATTGTGGTCGACCGGAATGTTTGTATTTGACCAGAACCTTCAAAGAGCATTAATTCTAAGCGGAAAAATATGTACTGGCATCCCAAGTGTACTGGTATCATACATGCACTATGATTTTACTCTTAATATTTTATCACATTCCAGCCACATTTAAAAGGAGCATGATTACTAATATTTCAACTGATAAAAGGAGCTAGGGCACAAAACTATTGGGTCCGACCACAAGATTTAACCATAATTTTCTGAGCGGCTTGATCATTCTTTGTTCACTAATCTGACATCCACCCATTTTAAAAAACTCACGGTAGACGAACGTGACATTTGTGTCCTATTATAAAGCATGCACGATTGGCATTTCTTCATCTACTTACCTCGACAAGTGTGACGGTCGGCTGACAGCGTGAAACCAGCGTCGTTACATTCACACTTGTAGGAGCCGTAGGTGTTAATGCAAACGTCACCACAACCACCGTTATTGACAGCGCATTCGTTTATATCTGCAATATACAGTATCAAAATATTGTCAATGTGACTTCATATCGAACATTTCTTTTCAGATGTTCAAGAGTGAATATGTCCCCAAAGTCGGTGAGTATAACTTTGCATCAGATTTTGCGTGTTTTGGAAGTGACAAAATTATGGGACGTTTTGTTCTTTTCTTCAAACTTACTGTGGGACCAGGGCGGTCAAGACTAACGCTTTGGATTATCTGCACCCTTCTTTACTCATGACGGTCGTTATTCGAATATTGCAATTGTACTTATTTATATCTGTATGCAGGTATGCAGTAGGATCATTAATCAAAATTTTGTTTCCACAACAGACAGAAAGCCCTTTTAAGAGCTTTCGCACCTCCTAATGCATAAAACTATGAAATTGTTGGAAAGAAAGTGTTCCAGCAACAAAAGAAGACCCATTTTCTGTACAAATAATAATGAATTAAGTATAAACTAGGTATGAAACCAGGCTAATATAAGATAGACATCTTATTTAAAAACCTTCACAGCAAATGAAAGTGGCTTTTAAGGTTAACAGTGACTTGATCGATCCTTGCTCACAACAGTTGCAAAGGGAAAAAATACTGAGAGCCATTCATTTGTAAAAACAATGGTCATCAAAGTTAGCTTTAGTAATACATTTAGTAATACATTAATAATACAAGTTCACGGTAGACGTACGTGACATATGTGTCCGTTTATAAAGCATATACAATTGCCATTCCTTCATCTACTTACCTCGACAAGTGTGACGGTTGGCTGACAGAGTAAAACCAGGGTCCCTACATTCACAGTAGTAGGAGCCGTGGGTGTTAATGCAAGTGTCCCTACACCCGTCGTTTTCGAGAGCGCATTCATCTATATCTGCAATATACAGGATGAAAAATGTTGCAAACATAGGAAAAAATATCATAAAAACACTTTCCAAATTTTAACGAATATGCAGAATGTGGCTCGGTTACCAAACGGATTATTTTTTTTTTCGAGAGAGAAAGAGAGAGAGAGAGCTACTCGAGCAATTTGATTTTGTTTTTCAAAAGGTAACCATATGCTAAACTTGGTGCTTTTATCCTCCGTGTCACGATTTTTTCATTAAGCCACCTCACTTAAATCATTATAATTTTACAAACAAAACTTATTTGAGAGTCCGTTAGAGCGTCCTGACTGGCAGTTTGTACTGCACGTTCTCTTCCCTAATCAGCTCCCAATTGCGATTAACAATTTTTGAGTACATTCAAATCACAGTTAAACTCCACTGGCAGACGTAGTACATTACCTTTACAACTTATCGTTTTGTAGTCATATCGGTACCCATATGGACACACTGGTCTGTTACAGTCAAGGCAGGGGGGAACCTCTGATAGATAATTAAATTTTACTTTAACGTTTATGTTCATTTGATTATGTGTTTTGTTTATAATACCATTATTCATAATTCCATATATATACCCATTGGTAAAAAGGGTCCAGCTGCGTTTCATGACACATTACCAACAGATCTGGGGGCAGTCATTTTTTTCTGTTGATTTTGGCTAATATGTATATCTTAAAAGCAGTAACATTTATGTTATTCTATCTGATAAGGGAAAGATTAATATAACTTTGCATTACAAAATGTCTTACCAAAACAATAGGATTGTGGGCATGCCACCGTCGGACTTAGATAGTAGACCGTAAAGAGTGTGCAATTCTTAATTTGCACTGGCAGCAAGGACTCACAGCAGCTGTCAGGAGACCCAACGCATGCTTCTAATGATACCATGGTACCCGCTGGTATAGACGTGTTGGCTGAAACGAAAAAATGCAGGAAACATGTTTAAGATATATAGAGAAAATTAGAGATCCTTCCGCATACACCACAAAAAAAAAAAAAAAAAAAAAAAAAAAAAAAAAAAAAAGAGTAAAACAATTCTTAAACAAAAGATTAATAATATCTTTCATTAAGAATGAAAATACAAAAAATAATGGGATTTGAAACTGTTTCATTTATAAATTCGTGGTGAATACAGCTCCTGTAGCTTTTACTTTCAGATTTGTAGGGAAGTTCCTAATTGATTCTTTGACTGAATCTTATAACGTCAAGACACACGTCTATCTGTGAACTTTTTTGTGTTAATAGGGTATTTGGTGATTTGCTTCCCTCACTGAAAATAACTACTGTGATCATTTCTACTTCACTGATACTCACTTGTATTCACCCAAACAGGTCCAGTGGTCCCACAAGCCGGTGACCCAGGACAGGTGGTAGACATATGAAAAATGGCGGAGTGGCCTATCTTATACCAGGTCCTAAGCAGGGTAGAGTCACATTTAGGGTCTGCGGTGAAGTTCGTATTATTTGTGCTCCGCTCAAAACCCATCGCGAGTTCCCTTGTGATTTGACAGGGGTCATAGGCTGAATAATAAACAAGGCCAGACAAATATGATCAGTTGGTAAACAAGTGCGTCCAACACAAATTTTGAGGATCTTGGACTTTTTCCATTACATTGGTGACATGACATCGCATTTCGAGTCGTAAATTCGGCGTTCGCGATCACTAACCCGAGGCTCGGGATCACGTACGGCAAATTGGTCTATAACTTTTAAGGCCCGAGTTCGAATTGCGGCGATCATGACTTACTTTCGTTACAGGTAGGTCCATGGTAAGGCGGCTGGCATTTACAGGTGTCGGGAGCTATACATTCGCCATTATTCCCACACCCTGCTGTACAAACGGCTGAAACACAAATTCAGCTATCAGAATAATTTGTCTAAAATTGCAAATGAAAACAAGAAAAGAAGGAAAAGGGACAAACGTGTTACTGGATATATATATATATATGAGGGCACCAAAAAGGAGTCTTTTATTAAAAACGCATACGTATTTTGGCTTTGATAATATTTAGATGCCCAAACAGGACACGATGGCCTGATTCATGCAGCGTTACCAGTTCCGCTTAATATATCCTATAAATGTTCTTAATGCATATATCTTCGTTATTTAAGTTTTTTTTCGAATAATATTACAAACAAATCGGGAGTTTTAACTGAATTTTTGTAACTTAAAATTCTACAAAAGGATATGTCACATCGACTCACGTATGTCGCAGCTACTAGTGGTTGTGGCGTTGACTCCTGCAGACCACCCCTCACAGCAGTACTCTACTGTCACGTTGCGCATTTCATAGGTCAGGCCGTATGAACTACAGGACCTGTATCTAGAAAGACAATTATCACTGCCATGTGTTTCTTACAGATCAAAATATTAAATCACTCATTCAGCGTCAATGTTTGGGGCTGAATTAAATGTACTGGTAAATTTGGAAATCAATGAGATACAAAAAAAAAATATTTTTAATGGTTGTATGATGACTCAAAATCAGCCAAGAATTTTTATTTGCTTCATTGATGAATTCAATAAAAAAACTTGGACCCAGTTTATGAAGGGCGTTTTGAACTAACTGACGTTTAAATCTAGCACTAAACTTATACAACCGTGTTTCAAAAACGGAGTTTAGCACTAAGCGTTAAATCTCCTAAACAGTCGGTTAAATCTGTTAGCTCCAAGGGGAAGTTAAAATTTCTTAGACTTTGATTAAATATGAAAAATATAAAGGCTAGTCAGGAATCTCCAAAGACACAGGTCTGAAAGATTAAGAATTTCAGAAGAAATTTAGTTTTACCTCTTTTAGAGCAAATGATTAGGAAAGTTCCCAATGCAACTATGATTTTGAAAAGATTATATGAAAATTTTAATAATTAAAAAAAGTTTATAAATCAATTTTATGCTTTGTTCTCATTTATTAATCAAACATTTGGATAAATCGAAGACGAATTATTTTGAGAGTAAATTGCTTATCTAATGTCAAGTCTGTAAGTATTTAAATAATAATGATTTTAATTATTAAAATACCCTTATAAAGCATGCGTAAGTATACATATGCTATGCACAGCACGCACACAACTTGTTGACTTACGTAAATACTGCTTCAACATAGTGCTGTTGTATTGTGTTTATTTACAATCCTGTTCAGCACGTTGTGAAAACGGTGATTATTTTTAGCTCTTATTGGAACGAGTCAGTGTACGTTTTAATGTTTTTGTTCCTCCTAAAAGAGTCTCGATTTTGAATTGAGTATTGATTTCAGGAGAACAAACCGCAGTGGAGCTGAATCAATACATCCATTTGTGCATTCAGTTATGTAAAGTGAGGTCGAACAAAAAAGCGCTGCTACCTTAAAGTCTACAGCTTGGGGCTTGTATCAAGGAGTTATAACTGTAGTAACTCCTTGCTTGTATACAGACCAGTATCGTTGAGATTTAGAGAAAATGTGTGAAAATCTTACAGGTTTAAACTACCAGCAACCGATTTTTTTTTCGATTAAAAGATTAACCAATTCGGTCTGTCAACGTCTTGTGATCCCACTAATTTTTGNTAAGCGGAAAAATATGTACTGGCATTCCAAGTGTACTGGTATCATACATGCACTATGATTTTACTCTTAATATTTTACCACATTCCAGCCACATTTAAAAGGAGCATGATTACTAATATTTCAACTGATAAAAGGAACTAGGGCACAAAACTATTGGGTCCGACCACAAGATTTAACCATAATTTTCTGAGCGGCTTGATCATTCTTTGTTCACTAATCTGACATCCACCCATTTTAAAAAAACTCACGGTAGACGAACGTGACATTTCTGTCCTTTTATAAAGCATGCACGATTGGCATTTCTTCATCTACTTACCTCGACAAGTGTGACGGTCGTCTGACAGCGTGAAACCAGCGTCGTTACATTCACACTTGTAGGAGCCATATGTGTTAATGCAAACGTCACCACAACCACCGTTATTGACAGCGCATTCGTTTATATCTGCAATATACAGTGTCAAATTATTGTCAATGTCAACTTCATATCGAACATTTCTTTTCAGGTGTTCAAGAGTGAATATGTCCCCAAAGTCGGTGAGTATAACTTTGCATCAAATTTTGTTTTGGAACTGACAATATTATGGGACGTTTTGTTCTTTTGTTCAAACCTTGGACCTCTCTTATTATGTCCATGTTCAAACTTACTGTGGGACCAGGGCGGTCAAGACTAACGCTGTGGATTATCTACACCCTTCTAATGTATACTCATGACGGTCGTTATTCGAATATTGCAATTGTACTAACTTACATTGTATATCTGTATGCATGTATGCAGTAGGGTCATTAATCAAAGTTTTGCTTCCACAACAGATAGAAAGCCCTTTTAAGAGCTCTCGCACCCCCTAATGCATTAGACTATGAAATTGTTAGAAAGAAAGTGTTCCAGCAACAAAAGACCCCATTTTCTGTACAAATAATAATAAATTAAGTATAAACTAGGTATTTATCCAGGCTAATATAAGCTAGACATGGTATTTAAAAATTACCTCCACAGCAAATGACAGAGGCTTTTAAGGTTAACAGGGACTTGATCGATCCTTGCTCACTACTGTTGCAAAAGGAAAAACAGGCTGACAGCCACTCATATGTAAAAACAGTGGTCATCAAAGTTAGATACAGTAATACATGAAGCTCACGGTACACTTACGTGACATATGTGTCCGTTTATAAAGCATATACAATTGCCATTCCTTCATCTACTTACCTCGACAAGTGTGACGGTTGGCTGACAGAGTAAAACCAGGGTCCCTACATTCACAGTAGTAGGAGCCGTGGGTGTTAATGCAAGTGTCCCTACACCCGTCGTTTTCGAGAGCGCATTCATCTATATCTGCAATATACAGGATGAAAAATGTTGCCAACATAGCAAAAGTATCATAAAAACACTTTCCAAATTTTAACGAATATGCAGAATGTGGCTCGGTTACCAAACGGATTGCTTTTTTTTTCGAGAGAGAGAGCCAAGAGGGTGATTTGATTTTGTTTGTCAAAAGGTAACCACATGCCAAACTTGGTGCTTTTATCCACCGTGTCACGATTTTTTCATTAAGCAACCTCACTTAAATCATTACAATTTTACAAACAAAACTTATTTGAGAGTCTGTTAGAGCGTCCTGACTGGCAGTTTGTACTGCACGTTCTCTTCCCTAATCAGCTCCCAATTGCGATTAACAATGTTTGAGTACATTCAAATCACAGTTAAACTCCACTGGCAGACGTAGTATGCCGAGAGGTAAATTATGTTAAAAGGGCAAGGAGTACATTACCTTTACAACTTATCGTTTTGTAGTCATATCGGTACCCATATGGACACACTGGTCTGTTACAGTCAAGGCAGGGGGGGACCTCTGATAGATAATTAAATTTTACTTTAATGTTTATGTTCATTTGATTATACGTTTTATTTAAAATATCATTATTCATAATTCCGCATATATACCCATTGGTAAAAAGGGTCCAGCTACATTTCATGACACATTACCAACAGATCTGGGGGCAGTCATTTTTTTCTGTTGATTTTGGCTAATATGTATATCTTAAAAGCAGTAACATTTATGTTATTCTATCTGATAAGGGAAAGATTAATATAAATTTGCATTACAAATTGTCTTACCAAAACAATAGGATTGTGGGCATGCTAACGTCGGACTTAGATAGTAGACCGTAAAGAGTGTGCAATTCTTAATTTGCACTGGCAGCAAAGACTCACAGCAGCTGTCAGGAGACCCAACACATGCTTCTAATGATACCATGGTACCCGCTGGTATAGTCGTGTTGGCTGAAACGAAAAATGTAGGAAATTAAAAAAAAAATTTTAAATGATCCTTTGACTGAACCTTATAATGCCAAGATACACGTCTATCTGTGAACTTTTTGTGACCTCTAGATTACGTTTTTAATGTCAAAGGAACAGGGTATTTGGTGATTCGCTTCCCTTGCTGAAGATAACTACTGCAATAATTTTCACTTCACTGATACAGTGTACTCACTTGTATTCACCCAAACAGGTCCAGTGGTCCCACAAGCCGGTGACCCAGGGCAGGTTGTAGGCATATGAAAAATGGCGGAGTGGCCTATCTTATACCAGGTCCTAAGCAGGGTAGAGTCACATTTAGGGTCTGCGGTGAAGTTCGTATTATTTGTGCTCCGCTCAAAACCCACCGCGAGTTCCCTTGTGATTTGACAGGGGTCATAGGCTGAATAATAAACAAGGTCAGACAAATATGATCAGTTGGTAAACAAGTGCGTCCAACACTAATTTTGAGGATCTTGGACTTTTTCCATTACATTGGTGACATGACATCGCAGTTCGAGTCGTAAATTCGGCGTTCGCGATCACTAACCCGAGGCTCGGGATCACTTACGGCAAATTGGTCTATAACTTTTAAGGCCCGAGTTCGAATTGCGGCGATCATGACTTACTTTCGTTACAGGTAGGTCCATGGTAAGGCGGCTGGCATTTACAGGTGTCGGGAGCTATACATTCGCCATTATTCCCACACCCTGCTGTACAAACGGCTGAAACACAAATTCAGCTATCAGAATAATTTGTCTAAAATTGCAAATGAAAACAAGAAAAGAAGGAAAATGGACAAATGTGTTACTGGATACATATCTGAGGGCACCAAAATGGGTCTTTTATTAAAAACACATACGTATTTTGGCTTTGATAATATTTAGATGCCCAAACAGGACACGATGGCCTGTTTCATGCAGCGTTACCAGTTCCGCTTAATATATCCTATAAATGTTCTTAATGCATATATCTTCGTTATTTAAGTTTTTTTTTCGAATAATATTACAAACAAATCGGGAGTTTGAACTGAATTTTTGTAACTTAAAATTCTACAAAAGGATATGTCACATCGACTCACGTATGTCGCAGCTACTAGTGTTTGTGGCGTTGACTCCTGCAGACCACCCCTCACAGCAGTACTCTACTGTCACGTTGCGCATTTCATAGGTCAGGCCGTATGAACTACAGGACCTGTATCTAGAAAGACAATTATCACTGCGATGTGTTTCTTACAGATCAAAATATTAAATCACTCATTCAGCGTCAATGTTTGGGGCTGAATTAAATGTACTGGTAAATTTGGAAAACAATGAGATACAAAAAAATATTTTTAATGGTTGTATGATGACTCAAAATCAGCTAAGAATTTTTATTTGCTTCATTGATGAATTCAATAAAAAACTTGGACGCAGTTTATGAAGGGCGTTTTGAACTAACTGAGGTTTAAATCTAGCACTAAACTTATACAACCGTGTTTCAAAAACGGAGTTTAGCACTAAGCGTTAAATCTCCTAAACAGTCGGTTAAATCTGTTAGCTCCAAGGGGAAGTACAAATTTCTTAAACTTTGATTAAATATGAAAAATATAAAGGCTAGTCAGGAATCTCCAAAGACACAGGTCTGAAAGATTAAGAATTTCAGAAGAAATTCAGTTTCACCTCTTTTAGAGCAAATGATTAGGAAAGTTTCCAATGCAACTATGATTTTGAAAAGATTATATGAAAATTTTAATAATTAAAAAAAGTTTATAAATCAATTTTATGCTTTGTTTTCATTTATCAATCAAACATTTGGATAAATCGAAGACGAATTATTTTGAGAGTAAATTGCTTATCTAATGTCAAGTCTGTAAGTATTTAAATAATAATGATTTTAATTATTAAAATACCCTTATAAAGCATGTGTAAGTATACATATGCTATGCACAGCATGCACACAACTTGTTGACTTACGTAAATACTGCTTCAACGTAGTGCTGTTGTATTGTGTTTATTTACAAACCTGTTTAGCGCGTTGTGAAAACGGTGATTATTTTTAGCTCTTATTGGAACGAGTCAGTGTACGTTTTAATGTTTTTGTTCCTCCTAAAAAAGTCTCGATTTTGAATTGAGTATTGATTTCAGGAGAACAAACCGCAGTGGAGCTGAATCAATACATCCATTTGTGCATTCAGTTATGTAAAGTGAGGTCGAACAAAAAAGCGCTGCTACCTTAAAGTCTACAGCTTGGGGCTTGTATCAAGGAGTTATAACTGTAGTAACTCCTTGCTTGTATACAGACCAGTATCGTTGAGATTTAGAGAAAATGTGTGAAAATCTTACAGGTTTAAACTACCAGCAACCGATTTTTTTTTTTCGATTAAAAGATTAACCAATTCGGTCTGTCAACGTCTTGTGATCCCACTAATTTGTGTCCTACATGTATGTTTGTGGCACCCTGAGCTTCAGAGATAACTTGACACTAACCTCTTCACTATAGCCTATCTTCATCGTGTCAAGTTACCTCTGACGAAAATAGTTTGACCTAGTTTATATAAGCCAATCGAATCCATGTTTCAAAATTTTTCACCAAAGTTTGGTGAAAACGCTGATTGGTTGACCGTCAATCGGCAATCCTCGGCTGATTCCGCAAGCTCCATACTAACAACATAGTTATTGTCGAGTGCGGAGACATCCGAGTAGTTCCGAGTGCATAACCGTACACAAAGAAAGCATGGAGTATATCGGAATTGAAACCAGAGCAGTTTGATGCCCTGCATAATTATCTACTGAGGGATGATGTATTTTGCGTGCTGCCCACAGGTTACGGCAAGTCCCTGATATTCAGCCTTATCTTTGATTGGTCCGGATTTGAACAAAGCGCGCTTTGACTCGTTCGCGTTCATTGGCTAGATCGTTCAATGAGTCATTGAGTGCGGGCTTTAAATTTGATTGGCGGGCGGCGGAGGCAATCGAATGTGGTCAGAGGTAACTTGACACGATGAAGATAGGCTATAGTGAAGAGGTTAGTGTCAAGTTATCTCTGAAGCTCAGGGTGGTTTGTGGAGTTTGTAATATACATGTAGGAGGACTATGTTCATGATTATCAGGGGCTCTAAAATGAGTGTACATCATCTGGTTTCGTTTCTCAAAAATGATTCTGGAGGCTTATAACTAGTGTCGTATTCAAAAACTATTCTTGAGACCAGAAACAAGTGGTCTCAAAAACAATAATTTTTTTTTTAAATTCTGGCAAAAAAAAAAAAAAAAATTGGCAAACAAATATTAGGAATCTTGAGTCCTTTACTGTAATCCCATGCAAAATTTTGTCTCAATTAACGCTCATGTACGGTTCTCAATTTGTCCTAGGATATAATGTTTTTATCTTTTAATGAAAAATGTTCTTAACCTGTTCAAGGACATTCTGAAGTACTTCCCAGAACAGTTCTCGAACTGTTACATTCATTACAGAACAACATTAGAACTGTAAACAAAAATACACCAAATGTTCTAGAATAGACTGAGAAACGTAAATGAACGTTAAATGAGACGCAAGGGTTAAGCGGCAAAATACCTAATACATCTGCTCAATCCCCAGAATCCACACGATCTGTAATAATTACAATATCGATACAGTTGTACACTTCTTGTAAAGTTCCTCTCTTCTGTTCTGTTGCAAACATGTCTGAAAAATAATGGGAAAAAAATCTGCATTCTGTCTAGTGTACATTGGAGTTTCAAAAATGTGAGACGTGTTAGGAAAATAAGAAGGAAATGAGAAGGTAGTTTGTCTGAAATGTTATTTAATAAAATCAAGCTTGACTGAATGACTGAAGAAAACTATGCCAGAAAGTCTTTAAAATGTGCAAAACCTGTGTAAAGAATCATGTAGAACTAGTGTTTGCAGAAGCAATCGTATCTCATTCAAACGACATTTTTCTTGTATTTGGAATATGTCTTTTTTGTTATCAACAAAATTGTGCTATGTTTGACACTTTATCAGAAAAATAAAGACATTCGGGCATGGAGGATCGAAATGGCAACATTTGAGAATAATTAAACAAGAACTTCGAGTTTAAATGCTGTATTTTGCAAACATGAATAAAGGTCATTTAAAATTTGACATTAAGTCAATTAAAAGGTTCTTTAAATCTGTTTCGTCTTGGGCGGATAAAACGTTGATAACATCCAAGCATTTAATTCTCCCCCTTTGGCAGTGTGCTGCATTGAAAAAGAACTTACTTGCTTGACACTAAGCGAGCAGACCCGGGAATTTATTCAGTGTCTAATCGGGAATTAAGCGGGAAGCTATTTAGTGGGTGCCCATATTTGACCCGCGGATCTGTTAGTCCGCTGTTCGGAATGGGCTTAATGTCGAACAACTTTGTCGAAGGCGTCGGGGCACTATCGACATGCTAGCTGGGCCGGAGGTCTTCCTATGTTCTACTTACCCTGTTAATCCACTGGACACTCCAAAATATGACAGAAGGACCGTGGTAAAAGTCCCTGTCACAGCGAGAATTATCCGCAGTGGCATTTTAGTACCACATATCAGTCTAAATTAAATGATAAAAATATCAGTTTGAAGACCGTTCTTCTTGCTACGTTAGTTGTGTTTCTCACATGCTGTCTGGTGAATAATAATGACACCACCTCACCCACTACAGCTTAATTTAAAAATTGTGGAAAGCAGACCTTACTGGGCGAAACCTCAGGCTTTCCTCACTTTTTGGAAAGATATCAAAAATATCAGCGCCGCACAAAACAGCACCGAATACGGGACGTCTGCGATTTCACAATAACAAATACGGTGCAGCGCATTTGTTGTGGTAGCAAACCTTTACAAAACGCGTTCATTCTTCACCGCAAACAAAGGTGCTTTTATAACTCCAAAAATGCTCTGCATGATGTTGGCTTTACTTAAATCTAACAATTAGTTCGTTTCATACGGGACGGAAAAAACCAACAATAATATTAACTTAATTAAAAGGCGCATTTTGGGGCGTATGTACAAAATGTATATAGACCATACGTGTATATTTTAACTCAATCAAGTCCGTTTCCGTACAATTCAAAGCCCTTTGAACTCAAGCGAGAAGGCATACGCGTTTTCAAAATGGCGAATGTTATTTACCAAATGTAGGTGAATTCAAGGAGTTACAATGTATAACTCCTTGGTGAATTTTTATTCAAATGAGTGAATGAGGGTAGTTAAGAAGAAGGATACATGTAAGAAAGATGGGTGTCGGACGTACGAAAAATGAGAGAGAGACAGAGAGAGGAAAAAATCATACACTAATTATATAAAGCAGCTTTAAATAAAACAAAGAAATAGACCTCTAATACAAAAAGAGTAGTTTTTTTTTTAATTTGGGTTACTTAGATTAGTCTGTGTGTCACTGAAAGTGCGTGTGCGTACACACTGTATGAGAGGCGGAGAGTTCTTGCTCGCTTGGGTGGCGCGTGTTTATCTGAGAGAAAGAGAGAGAGAAGAAAGAGAGACAGAGGGAGGGATGGTGAGAGCGACTGAGAGTGTGTTTTTGTGGGGGGGGGGGAGAAAAAGAGAGAAATAGTGAGTCGTACACTTTTTTTACTGTAGCCTAAATAGCAGTGTCAAATAAAGCAAAGAGGAAGACCTCAAGTATAAAAATGAACAGTTTAATTGCATTTGAAATACATAGATTTGTTTAATGAATGCCTTACCTTTCTTGTCTGATATATACAGATATTTGAAAGGCAACAAACCACAAGGAAGCGATCTGCGTTTATGTACAAACAGAAGCAAGGGGTAAATTGAGACATGACACGGCCAGTTGCCGCAAAAAATTGTCCTAATTCTATTCTTATGAAACATAAAATTTTACACTGCACTGGTGGATCCAAGTAATGAAAAAGGCGGAGGGAGGGGGGTTAAAGAGAAACAAAACGTCACAAAAAATCATAAAACTTCCTCAAATTGAGCAATTCTCTTTTGCTAAGGCGAAATGGCGAAAAGTTTTATGTTCCCACCGGCATTGGAGTGTCTCTTGTCTTGTATTGTCTTCCTTACCTCCTTTAAGAAAATTGCACAGGAGCAATTTGACCAGTTTTAACTTGTTAAAACAACAACAAACAGCCGATATGAAGAAAAATAAATGTATCATATTTTTTAAATGTAAAATCGACCTGGGTTTTGACCAAGTCGTCCATGTCTTTTCTTTGTTTTTCCCTTTTTTTGCTTAAAAAACTACAGTAGGATCCAACGGACTGAGGAATGGTAGGATTCTATATTGTTTTTACATTGACCTGTGCTGTCAGGAATATAAACAATATAAAACTATAGTACATGCGTTTACTTATTTTACTTTTACATTTAATTACAATACATAGGTAATATAAAAAATATCACAAAAAATAACACACACAATGAAAATCATGATCTAATGCTATTTAAATCACATTTTCTTGAATAAATATTTTTCAATTTATACGGCATTTTGGCTTAAAATACTGTACATACATGCACAGTGGAATTCTTCAATTTAACCAATTAATCCATAAGCATATTTATATATCACGTTTTCTAATTTACATGTAAGACTGTCTTAGATCAAACTCTAACGGTGGCTTATAATTACAGCAGTAAAAACGACCTTAATGTCAGTTATTCTCCTCTATCCTCCATCCATTGATCTTCCGTATTATCAAATGATATGCAAAAACGTATATTATCAACGTATATGAATCAAGATGATAACCTTTTGCCAGGCTTCATTTCACAATAACGTATCGCTGTTCTCACGGCGTGCTTGTGCATTTTTACCATATGATGAGCTGCTGGAAGTATAACTACATGAAACCAAGAACGTGGGTCCTAAAAACATTGACATTTTTAAAACTAAATACCATGTTCATTTTGTCTCGTTTCCCCAAGCCTTACGTGGCTGAAATGGCGGCTGAAATGGCGGTTCACGGGCATTATCATGTGGCGCCCCTTGTCTCCCAACAGCTCCTGTGTTCTCCTGGGTGGGTCTTCCATATTTGCTGCGTTTTTTAGCGACAGGAGGCGGGGTAAAATCATGAGATCCGCGTGATGAACTGCGCCATCTATTGTTATCTCGGAAGTCGTCATAGTCTACATCACTCCGGTCGCCGTGGCCACTGTGATCATCATAATACAGAGCGTCGTGTCCGCCATGGTGGTAATCATCATGACCCCTTGGTCCTAAGACAAGGAATAAATAACCTTTTTATGCTTGTATCGTGGCACGCACGTCTACATTTTACATACAGTGCATGTGGCAGCAAATCCTTGCCATCTGCAGAGTATCATCAACACTTACATGTAAAGAAGCAAGCCAAATGATTGCACGCGCATTGTGAAGTTTTACTGCCATCCCATTCAGAAGCACATTTCACAAACCGAAATTATTACTCTGACCCGATCATGTTTTATCATAAATATTGAGGTAAGCAATATAGGTAGTCCAACTGAAAATACACTTCCATATATTATACGAGCACCGCGGTTTTGTTTGAATTCATGAAGGTCGTGTCTGAAAAAACATTTGGATTGGATATTCTTTTGTCATCGTGCATGTATGGTATAGATACGATAAAACTTGTCCCAATACCCATTAAAACGAGATATTTATATACGTGAAACAAACCTACCTGCACCTCTGTGTTGCCTGTCATCACAATCTCGCCCAATCTCGCGTTGCCCCCTTCCACCATCACTGTTATTATCGTCAGAAAGATGAATTTCGTCTTTAGAATCGCTCTTGCTATCTACGTCACTGTAAATCAACTGGATAATAGGGTGTGACGGCCATCTATCTTTCTGGTTTGAAGGGGCGGTGGCGTGGCAAACCATAGGGCTCGGCGTGGATTCTCTCCAGTTTACGTCATTCTCGAAGATGGTGCTTGGGTGTGATAGCCGTCTAGCTTTGTGGGTTGCAGGAACGTTAGCACTGCTTAACGTAGGGCTTGGTGGTAGAACTTCTGTGTTTACGTCACTCTTTTGGGTGGCAGGGACAGACGTACTGCTCAGCGTCGGGCTCGGTGGGGCTTTCCCCCCCTTTCTGTCACTTTCGATCGTTATGACAGTAGGGTGTGACATCCGTCTGCCTTTGTGGCCTGCAGGGTCAGAAGTACTGCTAAGCGCACGGCTCGGCGGGAGTTCTTCCCCTTCTATGTCATTGTCGAACACGGTGTTATGATGTGAGAGCCGTCTTACTTTCTGGGCTGCGAGATCAGTAGTATTGCTCAGTGAAGGGATTGGCGGGAGTACCTCCCTTTTTATGGCATTCTCGAACATGGTGTTATGATGTGAGAGCCGTCTTACTTTCTGGACTGCGAGATCAGTAGTATTGCTCAGCGAAGTGATTGGCGGGAGTACCTTCCCTTTTATGGCATTCTCGAACATGGTATCAGGATGTGAGAGCCGTCTTAATTTCTGGGATGCGAGATCAGTAGTATTGCTCAGCGTACGGCTTGGCGGGGGCACTTCCTCTTTTATGTCATTCTCGAACATGGTATTAGAATGTGACAGTCGTCTTATTTTTTGGGCTGCAGGGACAGTGGCATCCATAACCATGGGGCTTGATGGAGGTGCTTTCCTGTAGGTGGCCTTTATTCCGTTATCTGTTTGTGGCTCAGAACTTGTGCCCACAGTCATATATTTTTGTGCATTGTGCGTTCTGGAAAAATAAACCAAAGTATATAAAACTAAATACATTTTCTTATACAAGTTTTAAGGGTAATGAAAGACGAACAAGAAAGCATACCAAAATGAATTGCATGTACTTCTGAAAATGTGCATAATTCATGATTGAGTTTTTTTTTCAGGAAATATGTCTAGAAGAAAGGAAATTTTTCAAAGAGAAGAGTAACTGTACAAAAATATAATCGTTAGCATGCATTTTTCACAAGCTTTGGCCTCGTACACAGACAGTCTTTGTAAGCTCTTCAGAAAAAACTTTATTGTTTTTTTACAATTAAACAACCAAAAGCTGAACATGTTTAGGTTATTAAAATTCATGTAGGGCATATGGTACCGTGTGAGTGCCTTTGATTGTCATTCATGAACATGTTCATATGGGCCGTTTTGTTTGTCATTTTTAAAATTGTCAATTCACCGACCCCATTAATTGGCGTAAAGAAAAAATAGATATATACATGTATGTTGAGCTTCAGATTTTTTCTAAGAAAGCACCTGTTAATGAATTTATTAGATATTTACCCTACCCTACCTACTTATATGCAACTGAATGCCTGTAATTACTCGACATAAAAGTCTGAAAAGCAAATTACCTGACACAAACAGCGGTAACTATTATGACAATAATGATAAACAGCAGCACGCTTCCACCAATCACGCTCCATATCCAGGACGTTGCCTCCGCGCTATACGAAATCAAGCCCTCAGCTGGCGTCGTGGCGTTAACAGGTAGCGTGGTGGCGTTTGTGGCGTTTGAAGTGACGGATGCCACCAGGAACCCAAGCTGCGTTATATCAACATTGCCTAGGATTAAAGTGAAAATTGATGACCATGGGCTTGCTTTGCGAAGAAACATATATTAGGCTTGGACTATAAAAATCCAGATAGCCGACCAGGACTATGGAATATTAGCTATTTAACATACAATGATGACTATCTGCCACCATGAGAGTAAAAACCTTCATTTTGCGTGATATTTGCATATCTGTCTTGCCTCATCACTTTTGGTGTAAATTTATATATACTGACAGTCAATGAAAACGCATCATTTATTGATCAAATAAGTTCCTTTGGAACATTAAGAAAATAACAGTTTTATATATATCACCAATTACAAGAACAAATTAATAAAACGCACAAAAAATTAGTTCGTGCTTTGGTTTGCAACCGAAATAAAACAAAACAAAAGCACAGTTCCGAGCATAAGGTAAAACAAGTACATTGTACCTTACCTAGAGCGATCTGAAGGTCTGTCTGTGCGTCCTGCATGGCGGCAACCAAATCTGCGGCAGGCAGTATGTCCCCGTTTTTTGTGAGCACGTAATAGGCCAAATCTATGGAGGTGGGGTCATCGCTAGATTGCGCTGGGTAACCTGGCACGCGCAGAACGAAGTTGTAGCTAAAGGTTGGGGTGAAGGTGGATCTCCTAAAAAACAATACGCGTGATGCCTTTACTTGTTGATTTTTGGCTTACTCTTTGTTATCTTACCTGTGGTGAAAGACTATATAAATCTAAAATAAACAATTATTTTGATAAAATTACGGGTGTTTCACTGTTTTACAAATACACCATTCAGTAATTCAGTACAATAATGATTATTTTTATTAATATACCCTGTTTTTAATGCAAATCAATAATTTAAAGTTGAAATTGCATTTTTATCTTCTGACTTTAAGTGTATTATATGCATATGTATATAATTACTTTCTTCGCGTTGTTGTTATCCCTGGTATCAAAGTACAGTTCCCGCCAGCGCAGTAGGTAGTTGCCGCGGAAGCTATCGTTGTAGTAACGGCCGTATCCACGGCAACCGTATACTGTCAAAGAGAAAGAATCATATTTAAGTCCAGCACTGGATAGATCGCATTACTCTTCCAAATAAGTAAAAATGCACGAATAGTGGAACTTATTATTATTAGCAAAAAAGAAATACTAACTTCCCTGGAAACTTCAACAATTTCCCCATAGTAATCTTAACAAAAATGACGAGAAAATAAAAATTCCAAAACACCATATCTGAATTCCATTTTATAATTTTGAACGACCTCCAAAGCGGCCAGCTTCTACCACAAGTGGGGATTCCAGATTCCTACAAATTTACTCATTAAATCTCTCATGAATGAAGTGTAACCATCAGTTCTAACATGTAGAAGCAGGATAAACCTGTCGAGGGTGTTGCTGAGAGATGGAGAAATAAAACAATAGCCACTACCGTCAGAATAATAAAAATAATGTCGATAGAGCTTTACATACACAAAACAAACAAAGTAATGAATTAAGACAACGGCTTCATAAACCTACGTGAGATATATCCATCTCAGCGGACATTTTAACAGCGTTCTCTCTCTCGGCTGTGCTTGGAGTCCTGGTCTCCGCAGCGACCGGCATGACGTCATCAGCCAATTCTAAATAGATTAAATGAAAAAAAAAATCCCACCGCTGTATGTATTCATAAGTTATCTAGGAAAATAGTAACTGTAAATTTTAGCAAACTATTGCATGCTTCAAAATTTTACATTGTACAAATTTTGTACAATTAATTATATATATATATATATATATATATATATATATATATATATATATATCAAGACTGTTAAAACACATATTTACGTTTACACTGGCCACCGATATCCATGTGCCTGTAGGACAGGTACAGCTATATCCACCAGGACTGTTAATACACATACTTACGTCTACACTCGCCCCCGATATCCACGGTGCCTGTAGGACAGGTACAGCTATATCCACCAGGACTGTTAATACACAGTTGCGTAGAGTTACACACCCAGGCTAACTGGTTACATTCATCTATGTCTAGAATGTGGAAACACATTAATTCAATATAACAGTATAGATTGAAAATACATAAAATATATATAACGTGTATAACATACCCCAGAAACAAAATACATGATAATGTTCCGGTGCTATACATTTTTTATGTGATGGGCGATTGGGGTGGGGGAGTCATCAGAAAATAATAGTATGTTTTTATGAAACTCATGAGCACAATGTGAAACAAGTTACAATATTTTCTATCATATATTTATGTTCGTGCACAAAAGGAATAGTTCCGCATTGGCAAAACAAAATTGGTTTATTAAGTACAGATTATGTCAACCTTTGAAAGGAGTTATGTCTTCACCTCTGTTTGTCTGTCTATAATTCTGTTTGTTTATTTGTTTGGTACCAGCCATACTCAATAAATAAATAAAACCATTTGTCTTTAAATTAACACATGCTGTTTAAGGTGACAATTTCACATATATAAATCAACCTACCTTTGCAGGTGAAGCCATCAGCTGACATGGTGTAGCCTCCATTACAATAGCAGTTGTAGGAGCCCTCAGTATTCACACAGTTCTGGTTACATTTGTTCGCTCCAGTAGAACATTCGTTCTCATCTGGTAATGAAAAGAGACACAATCGCATTGATGTCATTTATGTGACTCAAGGAAATAAGACATGTGACAAAATAAGGTGTCTATAAATATTTAAGGTTGCCGTGAAATTTTGCTTACGATGCTGGTTTTAGTCTGTTCTGCCTTCAACACTCATCCATTTTCAAAAGAGCTTAGACTATTTGATAACCGCTGCGCAACCTCTTGCGATGCCAATGGTGCCTTGACACTGTCTGTGAGTGCCACAACATGAGGACGCGCATGCGCGAATGCTAGGTAGCTGTTACTCACCGTTACACTGGGTTCCTCCAGTAAGAGTGTAGCCTTTCTTACAACTGCACCTATTGGTTCCGGCTGAATCTACGTAACACCAGCCATTCACCAGATCACAGCCGATATTACTGGTGCAAACCGTGGTCGCTGGAATAGAATGATTTCTAGAATGTTGAGAAAATTTTAAAACTTATAATATTACTCTGATTGCTTATCGTAGTTTTGTTTAATAAACTGTACAACCATCAACATTAAATCAAAAATGATGTATATTTTTCCAATACCAACCGAGACCAACAAACAATTTAATGCTGTATACGAACACGTTTTACCGTCAGGTTCGAGGACCAATACAGCGTCACATCCAAGCAACATTTCAAATTAATTTTAGACTGGAGATTGATCATGTTCGTTTTCATTGACAATGTGCAACTACCACGATTTGCGCTAATAGTATTTATGAGTAACTCTTTTTTAAATCAAATGTACCGGTAGTGTCAAACAAACGCTATACTTACGAGCACAAGTTTTGCCGTCAGCCTGGAGGGAAAAGGCGGCATCACACCCACAGGTGTAGGAACCCTCCGTGTTAATACAAGTCTGGGAGCAGTCACTGGCTGGGACACATTCATTTACATCTGAAATATCGTCATCTTAAATTGTGTAAAACTAGGATCACTGGAGAACAACGCCGTTTATTATGTAATTAAAATCAAAATAACAGGCCCTAAATCAAGAACAATAATACGGTCTTTTGGGTGCTTTTGGCGGAAAAGGTGCCGTCTATATTCGTTTTCCTTTTCACTTAAATCTTGGGCTTATGAACATCAACTATTAATACTCATAAAAAACACAACCTAATTTAAAGCTAAAAACGTGAATTCTGCACAGTGCTCGTGAAATCTAATATACAATAAACTTCAATAAACTTGCGTGTTTTTCTCCGGTTAAGTGCAATTAAAAAAAACAACTGTAGTACAAATAAGGGTGTCATATGTCAAAACGACAAACATGAGATACTGCTATGGATTTTCAGATTTTAAAAAGCATTCCGACTATCTGCGTTTTATGGCTTCCTATCCATCGACTGCCCGGGTACGTCACATACATGTAGTAAACTGAAACAGTAAATTCCATGTCCTCAGCATGGCCAGGGCCCCCTTACTACCACAGGCGTTTACTGCTCTTTTACAGAACCACACTTTTTCATTTGGATATGTTACAAACTTTCAAACCAGAAAACAAAAGTACATATATATATCTTCATGTGTATCTTACCGTCACAGCGCCCCTCATCGACCAACTGATAGCCCGTGTCACAAGAGCAAGCGTATGATCCCGGAATGTTGATGCAGATATGGTCACATTCACTGCCATTGACACATTCGTCTAAATCTGGAAAGATCAAATTATAAATCCAAGCAATAAACAAATTAAGTTATTATTTCGTTTATTGATTGAGTTTAAACCAATTTTTAATGCTGATTCATTCAGCACTACGTTGTTCTGTTCATTAATTAAAATATTAATTGATAACTACCGGTGTGTCACCGGTAGTTTATGTAATTACCGTCGCATGTAATCCCGTCCCCTAAATAACCTTCAGGACAAGGTCCACACGTGTACCCAGTTATATTGCGTGGTGGGGGGTCATTTTGACAACGAACCCCGGGATAACAGGGCTCTGTGTTCTCTGCGCATGCGTCCATCTCACTTTCGCAGTACGTCCCCGTGTAACTGTCTGGACAAGTGCATTCCAAGACGATAAAGCTGTTGAAACATATGCCATGGGTTAATAAGGAAAATCATCGGCGTTAATAGAGTATATGAAGTAACTGGACGACCAAATTTTATAACATAAGTGGACAACGAGACGTCGGCACCTTTTTGTCCTGATCGACACAAATACATGCACGTATTACATATACATTTTAAATTTAATTACAAGAATTGGAAGATGAATTTGGCATACCAGGTAGATGCTTTTTGATGACATCTTTGTTGTCTAAACTTACTATGAAGATGTTTCTTCCAGTTCAGTAGCTGTGAGTGCTGCACATGTGCCACCATTTTCACAAGGACAGTATTCTATCACAGGCTGGTAGGTGCTCCGGGCGTCATTGGTGTCCTAAGGGATAACAGATGTGCAGCATTTCATGCAAAGAGTCAATAGTGTCGAGCAAATAAGATATTTTGTTAGGAATTTACTTGATATAAATATCCTTTGTGAACTTCGTACATGCACTGCACTTTTAAGGAGGTAACGTCCAGAGTACCTTATCTATAAATACGATTATTTCAAAAAATGAACGCTCCCAAAATGAATTCGTAAGTGCTGATATGTTTGCCTATTGTCTCTCTATTTGTAAATTTTAATTATCCATTGATTTTTAAACTTAGAAACAAATAACAAGCAAAATTTATCAGAATAAGGAGGTGTATTAAGTTTAGCTACATACGTACATGGTATGTTTGAATTTCTTTAAAGTATAGTGAAAAATGACACCTTTCAAATTATTTACTGTAGCAAAGGACATCACTTTGCCCTTTCGAACGCAGTCCACATCACGTACTACATACCTTTGCTATCAACATCAAATTTAACTCCTCGGAGAAGGAATTGATGAGAATGCCAACGTGACACTCATCACCAGAAACCTGTGAAAGGTTACCGGAAGTGGAACCATTTGTCTCGAGCAGACACGTGATGGCGTCACCGTTTGCGTCTGACACGTTGGTTGCTATAGTGGTAAATACACCACGATAGACGTGGTGCGATCTGGGTCCGGTGATTTTTGGAGGGAAATTCTCTACATGAAAAAGATAATGCTGACCTTGTGAAGACACGTTTTTCGAATACTACATGTACGTGTTCTTTGCGGAAATGAGATCTTAGGCAGTTAATAAGAAAAGAAGGTGTCATAATTACCTGGAAGAGTTTCATATGTTTTGTACTTGCGCACAGGTTGAATGGATATAAGAGAAGTTTCGTAACTCCTACTTACGGAATTCAACCTGTGGTTTAATGAGATGGACATGGTTTTGTAAGCAGCATAAGAATCATTGAACAGACACTCACATAATCCTATTCAAATTCCGAAAAATTAACAGAAAGCTCTCTTCCGAGCAGCACAGCTGTGTTTCTACTGACAACACCAGGTGTCCTAGGTGTCGTCTCGCGTAAAACTTCCTATAACATTGTTAACCGCCCATACGTTTTGTAAAACGCAGAGGCGGAACCAGAAATATTTTCTGACAGTGTTCCAAACTATCTTTGTTCATTCATCCTCTTCGACAAAAAAGAATTAAAAAATGGATACCCGTCAATGTAAACTTGAAAATCTGACCGTCTTCCCGGAAGACCCAGAAGACGGCCTCAATCAGCCCCTGAAACGTCAATATATTAATCTAGTATTATTTAATGATATGATATTATCTCACCTAAATCTAATATAGCTTTGTCACTGGCGATTTTTTCGCTGAGAGTTACTGCGCCAAAACTTAGGTCCCCTGTTTGGGCTGTATCAAAGAGGCATGACAAATCAGACCCACAGAGGGCTTCAGCTGCCGCTTGCAGTGTAGCGTTTGCGAATGTAATGTTGTCAGTGAACATGGGTGTGAAGTTCGGGAAGTTGTAGATCTCGTAGCTCTCGCCAGGCTGGTAGCAGAATATGGTTGTCTCGTTCGTCACCATCCCTGAGAAAAATTCATCTTATGGACAATGAAAAACAACTGAACTGAACAAAAACAGTTTATTATTCGCAAGAGATGTAGAGCACGACGATCATATTGTCATCCTTTACTTTCAAACAGTGAATTTCAATTATATGATATTGCAGTGTGTGTGTGTGTGTGTGTGTGTGTGTGTGTGTGTGTGTGTGTTTTCAAATAAGTGTTTGTTATATCAAGACCTATCTACCAATATGCAACGCATTTTTAGAAAGCAAATCTTTCATTTGGTACATCCTTAGCCTTTGCGTGAAAAATCTTCCCTTTTTTCAATTTTATGATGAATGTCTACACAATGATGCAATATGTTCGGTCTTCATTTTTCTTAATATTCCAAACGAAAAATACAAAAGAATGGCGTATCTATATCAATACACTTCAATACCACCTACTCACACGTCATTCCAAACTGGTGGTATATATCAGCTTCTGATGACGTCTCAGGTATTGGTGCACCGTTGCTAGGCGTGAGGTCATCACTTTTGTCGTTGTTAAACACTCCCATCAGGCCCTTGGTGCGATTTTCAAAGGTTTCAGGAACTTCCAAGGTTATCGATAATGCACCCTAAAGGTAAATGCATTAATATGTTTACCGCGCCATTACTGATGAACCCCTGCACAATTAATTTTTTTTTAAATACTATCATAATGGATTTCCATTTTCCTGTGAAATCCTTCCCAGAAAACAGGACATCTAATTAAAAGGAAACAGATATGATGAAATCATTATCAACCGCAGGAACACATTGTGGAAATGTGTTTAACCAGTGGCTAGTAAGCGCCAGTCACCAAAAGGAAAGAAACATTCCCAATCGTTACATAAAGGTACTAATTTTCAGTAATTAATTCAGAGCTACTAAAGATACATGTACCAATACAGGTTCGACAATACTGTTAGCATTCTATCGATACCTTAAGAGCTTTCGCAGATACGGTTATTCCGTTTTCATGCGTCACTTGGAACGAATTATTCTCTGGACGTGAGAGCAGCACCGTGTCAGACAGCGAGGAATGCGTGCTGGTATCGTTGGTGAAGTTTTCAATGTCAATCATAGTGCAGTTTATAAAAACCTCCAGCTCTTCTTCAGTCCCATTTTTTAGGTTAACCTGAATGAGGCTCTGTTCGACAAGCTGTATTGCAACACTGGTGAAAATAGTGGCCTTGGACGTATCTGAAATGGATGAAATGGGAATCACTAGAGGTAACTTTGACTTATTATCTGTTTATTCCTTCACAATACATGCTATATGTACAGATGTATGTACAGATATATATATATATATATATATATATATATATGTCATAAATCATCAAACCAAGTCCGTGTAATCTAAAAGCTACTGTGTGGCATCATGCGTTCTGGACAACCATGAAGCCTGTAAACCTTAAGTCACCTCCTTCGATAGGAGTGAGATATTTGTCGAAACTGTTACAAAATGCCCCAATCACGTTCTCTCCCAGAAAGCATACATACTAAAACCATGGGCTTAAAATTCTCTCCACACGCGGACTGATCAGACTACTCAGGTGATATTATCATGCACACACCCTTCCAAGAGGTATTCTAGGGACCCTCGTTTGACCATTGATGGGAATCTACAAGAAATACAATGGTTCTTCAAAACCATCTTGATTCCAGTGATGGCTGACCAGGTCCCGGTACCTGTGGGGTCACTAAATGTACCATGCATTCTCAACTGAAATCTCATTCCATTTGCAAGAGGTGACTTCGGGGAAAACTCCAGTTTTCATTGTCAGTACACTTGCTTACAGTGCTCGTCTGCTGAGAATTTTTTTGCAGAAATACAATATTCTGAGGATGGAGCAAACATCTTTGAGGCCTGATATTAACCCTACTGAACACCTGTGGCACGAATCGAAGTGTGCAATGCAGGGAAAAACTAACACCCTTATAACCCGGACAAACTCCGCCAGGCTTTATTAGAAAATTGGGACAATATCCCATAAAAAAGAATTGATACCCTTGTTGAAGGCATGTCCAGTTTCCTATAGGAGATAATGGCAATGCGCGGTAGATAAACACCATTTTGCACACGTAACCTTTAACAATCACAGCAAAGCGTCAGATTTGAGGGTATACAATTAACTGTATAAAAGGTATAAAATGGATATCTACAACTTACTTTTTTGCATTTTCTGTACCACTTACCATGTTTTATGTGATATTTGGAATACAAAACACTGTTTTAACAGTTTCTACTGCGAGGTTATCAACTGTAAAAAGAGGCACATGGAACTGGACATACATGTAAGACAACTTTTTTTTACCAATTGTGTATATATCAGAGCTGCAAATTTATTACGTGGTAATTAGCAATTGGCTTATGTCGCACGTCTCACAAAGTTTACCATGTGCCTGACACCTTTCTCGTCCGGACCTGTACTTGCATCTCTCCGCTATCGAGTTCCAGTAATGTAAACTCTCCCAGACCGTTAAAGGTGTAGTTCAGACCGTCCAAAGTAACGAGATGAGGGTCCCCGCCAATGTTTCCTGGAATATATGATGTTACGATCACAAAAACGTATTACCTCAACATTACAATATTGCTCTTACTTTCTCAAAGTTTTTGACTCCACCTCCTCCCCGTAAGGTGCATTAATTTCTTTAGAGTGAACTTCAGTGTAAAAAAATAAACTGAATAGAGGCTGAAATAACTTCAAGTCCTTTTGAACATGCATGTTAAGTCATTGAATCTTGTGCCTTAACCAGCACCAACCATGTCGGCTTTATGTTGGCTCGCGGGGAAAAGGTGGGAGCATTGTATGCCATTTGCAAGTGGGTATGGAAGTTTCAAAATGCTTGTTGTTCTTACAGTTCTCTTTAACACAGGCCTGTTCAATATCATGAGGAAATATAGGGAGACCGAGGTTTCTTCATCGGGCTTGGAAGAGGAAGAGGAAGAAAGAAGAGCTTTAGTTTTGAAATACTGGTATAGGTAGGGGATAATGGAAAATTGAGCTTGAAAATATATCTCATTGTGATGAAACGATATCAGAAAGACCCTCACGCCGTCGTGGAGGAATGTATCCCTCGCAGTCGTTGGATGGTAAAAGATTGTAGAAATGTTGGCACATAAAGGTGCTCTCTACGCAGCATTTCTGATACCCGAATTCCTCCGAATCTGGTCTCTGCAAAAATTGAAAATAAAAACAGGTGCAGTGGGATACGTGTACTAAGCAAGTTACTGTAACAATCTTTATAGTCTAAATTATTTAAAGTTATCTAAATGTTCTGCTAACAAGGGCATTAGCAATTTTCAAAGAAGACTTGTGAACCGTTAACAAAAAATCAGGCACTTATCATTAAGATTTCCTAGTTTTTTTTTGTTTGTTTTTTTTAGAATTATACCCCATGTTGTTCAAACCCACACTGTGTATAATTAGAGTTTGTGTGTTGCACCAATAGTCTCATCATTTACTGTATGTATTTAAGAACCGGTAACAAATGCATTTCTTACATTAAAAGCACATACAGGGGGTATATATACTCACGGTAACGTTCTCTATGTGACCTCCATGTGGGCTACCAACCAAGAGAGAACCCCAGTCAGGTGAACTCCTCCATCTTGAGTAACAACAACTCCGCCTTAAATATGTGCGCAGGGAAGAAGATCGGTAGCACATTCTGCCAGAATTATATTCACGACTTTTCCACATGTAACTAAATCTGGGGACAGAGTATACATTTGACAAGTAGTGAAATTATATCTTACACACACACACACCCTACTATATGCACTCATTCTCAGCATATAAGTCCATTTGAAGAAAACAGCAAAGTGAGAAATGAAGTTAAATATATATTCGTGAATTCAGCGTTTGCTAAATTTCAGGTGAAAGAAATTAATAAGCCCCCTTTTTTTTTTTTTTTTTTTTTTTTTTTTTTGGTAAATCAATGACATTTTTAAAATCCATGCCTTGCTAGTATGGGGAATTTTCATATTCAGTAACGAAAGCTTTACCCTATTTTATCAACGAACGTACAATAAATTACATACCCTTTTCATTCAAACCCAATATAGAGGCGCCTTTCACATGCTAAAGTGTCCAACAAAAGGAATGAATTCGTACTTGCATTCAATTTTTTAAAACATACATGTGTATAGAACAAAAACCCACGACTGTCTTAATTCAAATTCAAAATTTGATTTTGCCATGTCTTTACATTACACAAAGAGCTCTAAATGGTAACGTGTGTTCCGGGTCATTTAATTTTAATTTTTATGTTCAGTCGTGATTCAATCTGGTAATTTATATCTGCCGTAAGGATGTTTTTATTAATATTAAAACTGTAACTCAAGGGGCTTTGCGTCATGGCCAATACTAGATAACGTATGTTCCCTAGAAAAATTGTCAGAAAGTTTAATTTTGTTCAAGCACTTGGGGCAATAGAAAACAATGTTTTCTGTTGCTGATCGAAAAATATATTGTGATTTCATGACAGTTTGACATTTCTGATATATTTGGAGCACAAGGGAAAAATAACTTATGTAATATTTATTTTACTGTCGGTATGGTGTATTTTCCCCGTTTTTTAATATTCAGTGACAAACGAACTAAAGTCGATCAAAAGCAATTTACTGCTCTATACATAAAGTCATTACAACTTTTTACACTTTACACTTGTAGGAGATAAAAAAAAAAAAAAAAAAAAAACAGTGAAGATTGAATTTTCAAAGTGAGTAAAACGTTTCACAACTGCACGTTTTGCATTGGGACAGGAATGTATGTTTCTTTTTGGACTGGCACCTCTATATTGGGTTTGGGCGTTTTGACTTTTTGTACAATGCACTGTTATTAATACTAAAAAAATTGACTGAGCTGAAGAGTTATTACCAGATGTTCATTTATCTAAGAAACACAATTTGTCATCAACCTTTAGTGTATTTTTTGCAATCCATGAGAATGTAGTTCTGTCGTACTTCGTATAAAACATTTGCATGACTCTCTTCTATTACCATAAAGTCTTGCTGAATTGAGGATTTATTGATAAATAACATATTAATAAAAGCACTATACAACTCTTAACAAAGACATAACCAAAAGACGTAACAAATGTGTTCTGTTTCTTTTTTCATTCTTAAAAGTTGCCGCAAGCTAATCATTGACTTATTTAAAATATACAATCTAAACATTTATGTTGACGTCAGACATCAAATTCGTTTTCTGACAAGTTGCAGATTTTCTACTTTGGTAAATAAATAAATATTTTGGAGGATGTGAGATAGAGCTGTGAGCGAAGTTTTCACAAATTTCAGTTTGCTTATGTTTTTTACTTGTGTGAGATCAGATAAATCTAAGTATATTAGTTTCATTTTTAAGTTGCTAGACTGAGTTCCTCTTGAACAAACAGTTCTTCCGCTCTCTTATTTTTATAAAGATAAAAAAATTAAAATGGCCTTATACATGTATACAGACAATTAGTGACAATTTTGAGGTAGAAATGCATGCATATTTCTAGTTGTAGGAGGTAATACTAATTTGTTATTGGGATAATTATTACTACAACAGTTAGACACCGTTGGAGGTCGTTGATGGCATCATCACTGCTCGTTGCTACATCGACCAGTTTCTGCAGCCTCGCATGATCCTGTTCATGCAGCAGCACCCCGACGTCACTGTTTTTCAACAGGATTCAGCATGAGTGACCCAAGCGTATTTGGAAACCCAAAGTATAGGTATGTCCTACCCTGGCCCTATACTACCCTACTACCCTAGCCGCTAAATAGACACTAGAGCAAGAGAAGAATTTGATTCCGCAGGACATCATCTGACGCCAAGTCCGAAGCATGCGGCAACGGATCGCCGCCTGCATCAAAACAAAAGGAAACAATACCCGTTGTGACTTCTGATTAGCAGGCGTCGTTTTTTTTTTAGATTATTTTTGAAACTTGAAATTTTTGTTTCTGTATGCCAATATATTAAACAAATAATTCAAATGAAAAAATACAGTTTAGGGCTTGAAATTAATAATTATTTCAAATTATGTGGTCTCGAACATTTTTATAGCTGTCAGCATACAGCATTTGTCAAAAAGGTTGTCCCACCTTCAGTATCATGTGCTTTTATTTATAAATGATCCCATCACAGGAGAATATTGTTATAAATAGTGATTTTCATTCCAGATACCATTACTAACATGATTAGTGGTACAGAAAATACAAACTAACCAAACTAACCGTAAAGATATCAAAATAAAATACCATTTATTCACATTTATTACATGTACCCCCTCAAATCCGACGTTTCACTGTGATTTTCACAGAGGTAAAGAAATGTCCATTAAATTGAAGAGACACCACTAAATGTCACCATATTTTCACACATTTAGCATTAGAGCAGGGGACTTCGGGGTGATCCAGGCTTCATCATGACAGCACACGTGCACACAGTTCTCATGTGGTGAGTGATATGTTGCAGAAACCCATTGTTCTGAGGCTGGAGAAACCATCTTTGAATCCAGATTATAACCCTACTGAACGCCCGTGTCATGAATTAAGTGTGCAATCCAGAAAAGAACCAAACTCCAAATAGTCCAGACCAATTCCGCCAAACTTTTTAGGAAACATATGGCAATATCCCACAAAACAGAATTGGCGCCGTCTACAGGAGATAATGACAGTGCGCGGTAAACACACACACTAATAGACACGTGGCATTTAACGAGCACACCCTAATGCTAAATGTTTGTAAATTTGGTGACATTTGGTGGCGTCAATTCAATTTAATGGGCATTTCTTTACCTCCGTTAAAATAACAGTAGAACATCGGATTTGAGGGGGTACATGTAATACATGTGAATAAATAATTTTAATATGGATATCTTAACCGCTAGTTTGCATTTTCTGCACCACTAATCATGTAAGTTATGGTATATGGAATAAAAACCACCATTCATAGTAATTAACTCCTGTGATGTGATGATTTATAAAGAAAAGCACATGAAACCGGGGGTGGGACAACCTTTTTGACCAGTGTTGTATATTGAGAATGAGAGGTTACTAATGGTGGAAAATAAAATGTTGTGCCTTAGAAGAAATAATTCCTTAATTTAACTATTCTTTCTGATAAACCGACACCATAAACACAGTTGTACAACTGCACTTGTCAAGTAGGGAAAATGCAAGTGTTTTTTAATGTACTAGATTGCAACTGAAATCCTCTGAAACCATTCAACCACTTTAAGAATCTGTTCAGTTCAAAGGCCAATAGATACATTTGTACCAGAATTTAAAAGTCTTTCGAGAATTTTTGATAGAGAATTCTTTATCGTCCACTGTGCAGTGCAATAAGACTCCATTTTAAAGACCCAGGACGAACTTAGCTTAGTTTATTATCATTATTAATTCATATTATCATTATAGGGCACCACCAATGGTTTTTGTGCCTACCGTGAGTCCCGCGTAACCTGCCACCAGTTGCATGGGCACGGGTCCAAATTAAACTCACTGAAATTCCTGGGGTAATAAGCAAACTCTTTCTTCGTCCACTGATAGCATTGCAGAGCAGCAGGTCCCTGACCACTGTTTTCCTCCAGGCGAAACATCCAGGTACCTACCTCACCTGCAGGAAAAATATGTCCCTCAGTAATAAATATCACTTTCTGTCTGACACTGAGTAAAAATAACATGCGACAGTTTGATACAAGTAAGTTCTGAATAAGAAGCGATCAAAAAGGCGTGTCGACATTCATTGTTCGAAAGTCCTAAATTTTAGAGGGATGGGCTTGTAGGCAAGGGGTCTAACTACAAATTGAATCCCCTTTTGGTCGGAAAAGGACCTTCCCGAAATAACATTAACCTAAATTAAATGTCATTTCACAAAGAGGGTAAACAAAGGGAGTAAAAAGCTCTCTTTTTGGCTAAAGAACGCCATTTAAAATTGTTGGCGAAGTGATTGTAGTCAATAATTTAAGTACTTGTCATTTTTATTTTCTTTCTTTTTTCCAGTTTTTGGATCAAGTTATGTGGCAATATTTTATACCAGTATTTCCCACATCCGTGTCCAAATCCGCCATGATACTTTTCCCGGAAGCTGGTATATTGTAGTAGGTATTCGGGCGGTCATCACTTCCGTCCCCCGCGCTGTATCCCGCCACTGGTATTCCTTTCCGTTTGTATGAGGGGACATATTTTTCGAAGACAGCCTTGGAGTAGGCTGCAAGAATGATAAATCTCTCAAGAATTGGTCAGTCAAAATAAAAAAGGATGTCACACTGAGAGTGCGCAACGTTACCCGATATATATATATATATATATATATATATATATATATATATATATATATATATATGCACAGACTTGATATTTAATATGGAATATTTTTTCCAAATCATAATTCATCAGTTTTTTTCCTGTTTTGCTGACTGATAAATGAAAATAAGGATTGAGATCGTGTTTTAATAACTTTTAATAATCTCTTTGATGTCATTGTGACATCAGTTCATTAACTGAATTCGCCAGTGAAGCAAACAAAAATACATTGCCTATTCTAAGTCATACGACAACTATTGAAAGCGATATTCTGGATCTCCATATTTTCCAAATTATTGTCTTTAAAAGAGTTACACGCCCCACAAAGGACCCTCATGTCAGTGACTATAGTCATGCTTGACTTCATCCCAGCAGGCAAACGACATTGATTCTACGTTGATTCAACGTTGATTCACCCAAATAAACGTTGATTCAACGGTGAATCAATGTCGTTTGTCTGCTGGGATCTGGCCGCTACCAGAGCTTTCAAGCGGCAAGGCATTCCTTGGAATAGGTTTTTAGAGTTTAGTCTGAAATAAAATTCCAGGCAACTGTCAAAACTTGTTCAATTTGGTTCCGTTTTGTTGAAGGACATACAGGCCGTTGATTCGGCGAGTAATGACCTACCCACATATTGTCTATGTGATTCAAAAATGGCGATTTTTATGACCAAGGTAACTGCTCATTCCTCTGTAAGTTACATGCTATTAAAAGTGCTCTGTGTAAACGAGCAATCTCATCGTGCAACCTTAAATTGTTCCTAAGGTGCCCCCTGTCAAATGATACCACATTAATTCACAGATTATTCCTTTATTTGATCTGGTTCAGGTTTTCATCGAGTACTACCATTGGTGTTTTGGCACCAATGTGGTATCCACTCCAAAGACTAACGCTGTCAATGACCCTAGTCACTTTAGAAGCAGCACACACTCCGTCGAAGGCCTCTTCAGGATGTATGTAAACTCTGTGAGCCGTACAGGTGAAATCTGACCTCAATAAAGAAATTATGCCACGCAGTTTCAGTGTTCTACCCAGAAACGGTAATGGCTCCAATTCACTAGAGAAACAGACGCCGCTGTTTTGCTGTTTAAAGTGTCTTCCTCAGAGGTCGTCTGGTATCCTAACCTGCTGAAACCAGGTTGGTGTTCTCTAAGAGTCTTGAGAAACGCGTTTTGGTGACAATTTGCCCCTCATTCTGAACGGACAGGGTGGATTTTGTTTAGTTGCAACAGCATATCCGGAAGGACAGTGAGTCCTGTACCCTGGTGGTAAGATTTTGATACATTGGGCGTGGCCTCTGTGTAGGTACATCAGATTTGGCATAACTCTATAAAAATGTACGAACCATTCCGTGTGACACAATAATCTGTCTGGCAATGTCAGTCTTTTTCGCTCCATTCTGGCATAAATGAACAATTTTGTAAAACATTGCTTAACTAATTTTGCGCACTGCAAAACCGACCGCTTCCATGCAAAAATTCAAATTCTTAGATGCAGTAGTTGCCGACATATGGATACTTTTTTTGATAGAACCATGCTTCGCCAAAGCCAAGCTTGGACCTTTCCAAAGGAGCACTACCCAATTAAATTACTGCATATTATACAATGCAACCGTACAACAGACATAGTAGTCACTAAATAGTTAGCGACACACCTGACAAGTCAGATATCTGATATGAGATCTGAGTTTTTTTTTTTAAAGAACGCATTTTTTACCAATGTATACCTTTGAAACTTAAATATTCCATATTAAATGTCAATTCTCTATATAGTTGAGTGGAAGTAATTGAATTAATGTTTTGTTTGATGAAACTATTATTAAATTTGAGTATGTAACTACATTTAAATGTAATTAATTATCTCAGTAAAGAACGCCCTGACCCCCTTTCGATTTTCTGAAAAAAATCATACCAGTGGTCCCATCCTGAAATAACAACTTTGACTAAATGAATCATACATGTAGTTCTAAACCGTACCAAATGGCACCGCTCGCCTTCTAAAGCGCCAAATATTTTCGCGGCCCTTCAGCTGACCCCGAACCCCACGCCAAGAGTGGGAGACACCCCCCCCTTCAAATAATCCTGGATCTGACACTGCAAACCACCCCTGACCGATAATATGGAGTGGCCTCAATCTTTGAAATGAACAAAAAATACCCTTGCATAGATTTATTAGGTTATTTATTAGGTTACAAAGTCAAGGAAATTCAAATTTAGTCTTTGCAGTATTTTTTATCATTCAAACAGAAAAAGTGATATGTACGACGTACAATTCCATAACAGCGGCAATTTTAATAATAAGGATGAACGCGACGTCATAAAAGTAGGCAAGGGATTAATGTACATTTTACTAAATTTTTGTTGATTTTCCATCCCGCGTCTTATTTTCCTAGTTGAAATAAACACTTTGGATTTTTGTGTGATAAAAAAACTAATAACAATTTGAAAAGTCCTTTTCCCAATTACGTATTTGCCCCGCCCCTAATTGTATAGGCTTGACAGTACGTCATGATTGTAGATATATATATAGTCCGACCGTGTAGTGTCTACTCAACTTCACACAGCAGTTTATTCTGGGAATAATTTGAAATCAAAATGGCGGATTGCATGTGTAATGGAGTTCCGATAATATATATATATACATTTATATTCGACATAAACATACATATATGTTTTGCAATATCATATTTGCAACGGTAGGAAATACTTTCAGGTACAATGTTTATGTAACACAGTCATAATGCTTGATTAAACGTACTGATTGGTCAGTTCATATACTGTATCAGCCAAAAAACAAGAAAAGATGCTCCAACTTTGATGTGAATGCGTTTCACACTCACCTTCGTAAAACCAGTTTATGTCTTGATATATGAACTTGACGAAGGAGAACTGGCCGTCAGTCATCAGGACGGCTTGGAAGTTATTCACCTGTAGAGAAAATGTCCTCGGTGAAAAAGTGAAACACAGATTGTTGTGTATCAAATACCAAACACACGATTGGTGTAATTGTAACTATTAACATTTCTCTACATTATTTTTCTTTCTATGTCCCCTGATAATTTAGCACTATAAGATAAGTTGTATGAATGCCGTCGGCAAGGATAATTCAACTTGCACAAAACGAAATATGTATATTTTTTATGATAATAATAACCTATTTACAAAATAATCATAATCACAAAAGATGCATGACACCAAAATTATTTTCCAGAGATACAAGGACTGCTGTCATAACGTATGCCATCACACTTTTTATATGCGCGGAATAACTACTGCATATTGCATTTTTTAATATGTTATATTGCAAAAGATGTGCAGTAAATGGCTATAAGTAAAAACAGTTAAAATTTTAAAATTCTAAAAATGACATCAGCACATGATCTTAGGAAGGGCACCAATCTTATCCGACTGCTTTCCCACCCATCTATTTTATCAGTAACTTGGCAAAGGCGTGTCATTCTGAGCAATAGAAATGGTAAGAAATCGCAATAAAACTATCTGCAGGGTAGGGTACTAAGTAAAGGCGACACAATTCAATCGTTCTGTTGCATGAGATATTATCATTTTCTTACTGGAATATGCTGTAGACGAGATTCGCTGCAGCGGTTATTCCTATAATACCGGTAATAATACCGGTACCGAAATCCATAGGAATAGTACCGCAAGGCGCAGGCGCTGACGTAAGGCGGAAGGTTGGTCCACGTAACCACCATTACCCAGGTTGGGGTGAATTCTGGAACAAGAAGAAACCAGTGTAGTTGACGTCAGCTGATGAATACTGTGTAATCTTAAATTTATAGTGTTTTTGCAAAATTGGATTTTTTGGAAGGAATGATATTATTGAAACATATTGAGATAAGGAAAAGCCACAAGATTAGGATCTGAGATAGACAGACTTCTGCTAAAAAAAGGGTGATCTGCCATACTTACTTTAAAAATATTTAAACTTGAACTATTTTCATATTTGAACAAGTTAAAATTCAACTGAAGTCATTTTACTTATTATAAATTTTACCACCTGCAAGGGCTTGGTTATGAATTTGGGTGTAATGTTTAGCATCATAGGCAGCTCGGGCAATGATGGCTTCTGTTGCAGCCTTCCCGTCATTCACTTCGTACACTTGATAAAATACCAGCTGAAACAGGCAAAATTTTCTGAACAAGACCATTAAAATTGTGCTTTCATCAGTGGAAGCACAGTTTAAGTGGGAATCTAAATTTAGTAGCTCCAAATAATTAGAGGTGGAAAATGGGTCACGGTATACATCTGTACTTGAAATTGAAGATGAGTTCACATTTTACTTATCATTATACTTATTATCATTATACTTATTATTATTATTATTTAGTATAATAAGTATAATACACTCATTATACGTTCTATTATTATTATAATTATTATACCAGTTCCGGGTCGAATATGAATAAGAGGTCATCGAAACACAAGTCTTAAACCGTGTTGTTATATGATCACGAATTTTGAAAACGAGACACTTTGAGACTTGTCTGTTTGTTTGTTTGTTTGTTTGTTTATCTGTCTGTCCGTCTGTTTTTTGTTTGTTTGTTTTTTTGTTTATTTGTCCGTCTGTCTGTTTGCTTGTTTGTCTGTCTGTCTATCTTTTTGTTTGTTTGTTTGTCTGTCTGTCGCCTCTGTCCGTCTGTTTGTCTGTCTGCCTGTCTGTCTTTTTGCTTGTTTGTTTGTTTGTTTGTTTGTTTTTGAGGGAGGGGTAACTATGGCTACCAATGCTTTTTTAATTGATTTTTTAAGTCATTTATTTTTTCTTTGTTTTTGAAAATCTTGTCTGTTTTGATTTTCAGTCTCGTCTCATCTTATAGGTAAAAGTGCGCTTGCACTGAAGTTTGCTTCAATAAGCGGGTATACAAACAATCACGCTAAGACGCGCAGTGGACACAGTCCGTATTTGATCGCACAAGTGCCCTTGTACTCAGACAGGTGTATCAAATATTGCTATGTCTAAATGGTTTACTCCGTACATGTAGGGAGGCAGGGGAAGAGTAAGTGAGGTGTAGGGAAGAACAAGATGAGGAGGAGGAGGAGGAGGAGGAGGGTGTACTTCCTCTTTCCTACGCTTCCTCCTCCTCATCCTGTTATTCTCTACACCTGCTTACTCTTCCCCTGCCTCTCTACATGTACCTCCTCCTCCATATTGACTCCAAGTGTTTGTGAACCACACAATATCACTTAAGGTATTTGGTTCTTATACCCCTCTCTCATTCGTAAATAGTCAAGGCGCCGCTCATGATGTTAACACACTATATTGTCAACCGTAGTACCCCAACATACAAGCTTGAACTATAAGAATTTTTGACACAGTTACTGAATACACTATTGACACACTCAATTTTAAGTTATAAGGCAGTCAGACTTCGAGTAAGCTTCACTGTTGACACACTCTTTTGTAGGTCAAAGGCGTCCAGTATGTAAGCCTTATAAAACTCTAGAATTTTTGATACAACTACTTCATTGTTGACACACGCTATTGTAAGCTATAAGGAAGACAGAACTCAAGTGAGCTTCATTGTTGACACGCTCTATTGAAAATCGTAGTTGCCCAAAATTTACTGTTTGGAGTGTAAACCATTTAGACATAGCAATATTTGATACACCTGTTTGAGTACAAGGGCACTTGAGCGATCAAATACGGACTGTGTCCACTGCGCGTCTTAGCGTAATGGTTTGTATACCCGCTTATTGAAGCAAACTTCAGTGCAAGCGCACTTTTACCTATAAGATGAGACGAGACTGAAAATCAAAACAGACAAGATTTTCAAAAACAAAGAAAAAATAAATGACTTAAGAAAAAACAATTTAAAAAAGCATTGGTAGCCATAGTTACTCCGCCCTCAAAAACAAACCAATAAACAACCAAAAAAAGGTCGACAGACAGGCAGACAGACAAACAAGCAAATAAATAAACAAGCAAACAAACAATCCACCCATAATCCACCCACCGATGGTAACTGTCGCGTTGATTCTATACTACTCACCGGATCTCTCTCGAGAAAGTGTATGACCTTCAGAGGGGGAGGCAATTAAGGAAAGTAGCAAACTGAGATCATATACAAAATTCAAGAAGGATTTTAAGGCCGAAAAGTATGTGTTGACCTCTAATACATCGCGGAGGGCTAAGTTTTGTAAACTAAGAACCAGCGCTCACTCACTCCATATCGAGAAGGGGAGGTACAGTAAACCCCCAACCCCGCCCCATCTAAGATTATGTCAAATCTGTTATTCCGGAGAGGTTGAAGATGAAGTGCATTTTATTCTGAAATGCGAGGCCTATAAGGAATTACGGGCTACTTTCTTTGAAAATATAAGTTTCCTCTGTAATACGAATGCCCTCTCTCCCCCGGATATGTTTATACACATCATGAGTACAAAAGAAATGGATGTGGTTACGCCCCTCCTCATATTTGTACAGAAATGCATGGAGAAGAGAGTAAGTCTTTCTGCGCATGTCCAAACCAGATCGTAATACCAGTGTGAGATCCGTTATGCGCTGTCACCAGAGACTGGGTGTGTAGATCAAACCTGGTAAATTGATTATGAAATGCAACATACGTATCCGTTTGTATAGTCATTTATATCAACAATATGATAATCTTTATTTATTTATCTATTTATTTGTCTGTGCTATGTGATAGTTACTAGTATTGTTATTGATTGTACCTTATATATGAAGGTATTTGTCAATCAAGAATCTGTTTTCCAATCGTATAATAACGAGTTGACCCCAAGATTCAGAAACAGGAGGTCTTACATTCGATTTCCAACCTTGTCGACTCTTTCAAAAAAGAAAATAATACTGCACCTGTACCTTCTGTTTCCCCTCCGGTACTGGCTATATGGGGCGTCGATATGGTTTGATTAACAAACGTGACCATTTTCGACCAATCGCTGAGCGTTGTAATCATGTTATTATTATTTTTATATTAATATAATCAATAATGACTTATATCAATGACTATAATGCAGTTACCGTCTTGTTCCTATTCACATCCAATCGTGAAAATAAAGTGGCGTCACTACGTCCCCAAAATGGTGCAATCTGTGCAGCGTGATCCAGCCACCGACGAGTGCCGAACGCCCATGGCCACTTCAATTTTCGATCATGGGTGAACTGCAGGACACCATTGTTGCAGATCTGAAGATAACAAATTCGGCTCACGATTATCTAATACTATTAATGATGATGATAATTATTCAATTACAAAATACATGCATTGATGAATTACATAAATTATCTTTGTACCTGAGCAAAAGTGTTCATTGGCTTCGTAGTTGGATCATTAATGAAAATTATCAAACACCAGCCGAAATATTTCCATACCGTTAGCTTACGACCAACCACGGCAAAGGCCTTCATCAGACTGATGTGAGTAGATGTTGACACTCACTGACCGCTAGGTGGTATAGCGGCCAGGACCCTCTTGTAAATGTCAGGAAGATCGACCACAGCCTCCGTTCCTATTCATGGATGGCTGGTGATGGCTGATGTTGATAGCCTTTCATTTTTACGCGGTATGTCAGATGACTCGGATGAGTCTGATAAAGACCTTTGCCCAGGTTGGCTAACAGTATGAAAATATTTCGGCTTGTGTTCGATAATTTTCATTTATCTTTGTACCTCTTTGATCCTAAGTATTCAACAACTTTATTCACTAATCAAAAGCGTGAGTAAAAATGGGTGTCAGTAAAATGGACTACAAAAAGGACTACATAGGTAGAATTATTTCATAGTCATTTTTACACAAATATAATATAAAATAACAATTCATTCATAAAATAAATATAATTTATTGGTCACAATAAAGGGATTTATGTGTGATGAGGGTTTATTGTGATGTAAGATGCCCAGGGAAACTCCCAGGGACTAAGATAGGTTGATAGAAAGATAAGCTCCAGATGTTTCTTCCCTAATTACAGACAGGATGTCTCCGCTTTGTATTTCACGCTGTTAAGTTAATTACTACCAAGTGTCACTGGTCAGATACCAGTAAAGCAAAACCTGATTGGACAGTACAACCCAGTCTCCTTATGGTCAGCCAATCAGAATCATAAGGAGTCAGCTTCACCAAAAACAAAGAACACTCTCTCTCACTTCCTTAGAAATTTTCAACCTAGCAGTACATGCTCAGGAGAGAAGAGTTTTTAGTGTATTTCATAAAGTTTCTCAAACCCAACCCTGTCCCTCCCTAATGTTCCCTGATTAATTAACTCTACAAATCAATTATTAATTCTATGTATCATTATTATATGTATGGTATTTATGTTCAGAAACATTTGACATATAGGTAAGCCTCTATGGGTTAGCAGTTCTCATTTTGTTTAAGTCAACATACAGGGCATAACCTTAGCATAGGGCACATATGGCAGTTATCAGGCCAATAGAGACAACTTTATTAGTGGGCTGTCAGAGCATTGAGGAAACCTACGTCCCCTTCCTGAAGGGTAGGGGTTGCGCAGCTCGCTCTCAGCCTCGGCCGAATTTTGGACATAAAATTGATCTAAAACATATTGCCATGTGTGGTCCCTCTTTCCCTCCATCTTTGCTGAAATGTAAATTATATCTTTAAGCTTGAAAATTATATAACATGCATGATTGTCATTCATAGATTTATATCTAACTCTCAGTATTTTTCATTCGTACTTTGAACATTAATCAAAGTGCAAATGTCAATAAAATGACATTTTCAACCTACATCTATTTGGTTCTGTTGTGTTGTGTATGATAACAAATTTTGACAGCAAACTAGCCTCGGCGACTCCTCTCAATGCATGCACTCATAAATACCAATAATAAAATTAACTTGGTTGAAAATGAATGTCCTAAGATTTTAAAACTGCCCTTTATGAGCACAAAAGCCTCAAAGCTCTTCTGGTTCCATAATCATAGTATTTTGAACACAAATTCACTGTTTTCAAATGTCAAGTGGCCAACAAAATATATATGTTCCATTTGAAAAAAATAGTTGAAGAAACGACAAAATACTTGTTTTGGCATTTGAGGTTACCCAAAAATCACTGTCAGATTTAGCAGAATATATATATGTATTATCCAAAGGAATTGCTTTGTTGGCTCCAATCCTTTGTCTGATGTTTTTTAAATGTTTGATTTCATTGATTAAATGTTTAGTAAAAGCAGATAGGACACCTCAAATATGATCAGTTTCTCTTCAAATTGAATAATTAATTCATAGTATGAAACATTCCTTTAAGCGTGAGAGTGTGATTGTTGCTTCCTTTCTGGTCTTCTCCTGTATTTGTAATGTCATCATCATCATCATCGTCCCGATCCTCCGTATATCGAAGATTGTCGGCACACTCCATGGATCAAGCATCTCCACTTCTTTGTATCAACTGCTGTCCTCGTGACCTCTATTTAACTTTTTATGTATGCTGGTTTTCTATCCAAACCTCGACTTTCCGCCTTTTCTCTTTATTGGGATGCTTTGAAATGTTGATGTAAACAATTCTGGTTTTTCCAATCGCAGCTGGTGGCCCCCCCCAAAAAATAAACTACCTTTCTTTGATCTTATTCAATGATGCGTGCTTAAGTCCGAGTTCTTCAAGAACACTTTCGTTGGTTCTTCTTTCCAACCACGAGACGCGTAACATTCTTCGATGAATCCACACTTCAGCTGGATGTATTAGTTTTTCTCCTCTTTTTGATTACCCATCCTTCGCACCATTACATGAGCACTAGTCATATCTGGATCTTCACAATTTCATCTTTAACGCCTTTGAGATACTTCCCAGCGGGCAAAATATGTTGTTTTAACATTGAAACAACGTTGAACCATAACGTTGATAAGACGTTGGATAAACATTGGATTTGAAAGTTGACTCAACCTCAGATAACAACGTTGTATCAACGTCAGATAACAACATTGTATCAACCTCAGTTGTTAGACAACATTCTTGCATGAAAAGACATTGAAATGACCTGTATAATAAAAGTATGGCCTTTAAGTTAAAATTCCCAAGGTTTATATATATATATATATATATATATATATATATATATATATATATATATATATTTCTTTTCTTATATATATCTATATATATGTAACAAAGTCACAGTCACCTCAACCTATGTATAACAGGTTACCAAGAACTGTTAACTTTATTAATTCACTCCATCACTCCATCACAGCAACTTATTCATCCTAGTGTTAGCTGACCTTGCAAGGAATTCAGTTTATTGGAATGTATTTCTGAATAACAAGTTAAGAAAATTCACTAGTTCAATAAAGACACAAAACAACTGTTTGATAAAGTTAGTTACAGTATTGATAAACAAAGTATCACGTTTTCAACAATTAATACTTTAAAATATAATCCATGGCTGCAAGGTTGTAGTTTTTTACTTACATGCACAATGTAATGTCGCCCCTTGAAGAATGGAAACCCTGCCCTGAGTAATTTAACCCTGATGCAGAAAGAATCATAGGTCCACCACAGCGATCTGTAATACCTAGACCAGCTCATCCGGCTCCAGTTATGTGTAGTTCTGTCCCCAGCATTTCGACCAAAGGGGTACAGCCGTGTGCCGTTCCACCATTGGTTCCCTGGCGATGTGGTAGTTTCAATTGTCGCAGTAGTCATCTCAACCATGGATGAGGAACTGGAAAATGGACTAGTAGACTCTGATACGATGTTTATTGATAAGTTTGATAACACCGAAACCATGGCAGAGCTTTCAAGCATTGATGTGAAATTTCCAGAATATGATTCCGAGGCTGAGGATGAATATGATGACGTCAGATTGATATCAGTTAAACTGCTTGCCAAATAGCAAGATGTTGTTTCATCACTTGCAGATGCTGGAGTTGAGCTGCTTTCCACAAAGAACGGTGCACTTTCACTTGCAGATGGCATATATGTAATCAAAATGCTTGGCAAGCATGGCGTTAAAATACTCCCAGACTCTGAATATGATGGAATCCAACTGCTTTCTAGGGTCAAAGCTGATGGGGAGTTGTTCTCAGAGGATATTAAGGTTGCAAAGGAACTGCCTGTCAGGGGTTGGGTTAATGATGAACTACTCAAAAAAGCCGAATATGATGGAGCAGAGCTGTCGGACAAGGAGTAGTGTGATGGTAAAATACTCTCAGACACCGTTGGTGTTGGAATAAAGCTGCTTGACAAGGAAAAGTGTAAAACTAAACTATATTCAGACACTGTTGACGTTGGTATTGAGCTGCTTGACACGGAGTAGTATGATGCTGAACTGCTTGCAGACACTGTTGATGTTTGAATTGAGCTGCTCGACAAGAAGTTTGATGGTGAACTACTCTCAGGCAAAGTCGATGATTGAATTGAGCTGCTCAACAAAGTGTAATGTGATGCTGTACTACTCTCAGACACAGAGGATGCTTGAATTGATTTTGTTGACAGGGAGAATAGTGATGCTGAACTGCTCTCAGATTTAGCTAATGTTGAAACCGGGCTCTTTGACAAGTCCTGGTGTGCTGTTAAACTATTTTCATCCCCTGATGTTGTTTGAAATGAGCTGCTTGACAAGGAGTAGTAAGATGCTGAACTACTCTCAGGCAAAATCGATGATGGAATAAAGCCACTTAACAAGTCTACGTGTGATGCTAAACTCCTCACAAACATCAATGATGTTGAGACTGAGCTGCTTGACAAGGAGTTTGATGATGAACTACTCTCAGGCAAAGTTGATGATGGGATTGAGCTGCTGAACAGAGTGTGGCGTGATACTGTACTACCCTCAGCCACTGCTGATGTTTGTGTTGAGCTGCTTGACAAGGTATAGTAAGATGCTGAACTACTATCAGGTAAAGTTAATGTTGGAGTGAAGCTGCTGGACAAGAAGTGTGATGCTGAACTAATCTCAGACATTGCTGTTGTTGCAGTAAAACTACTTGATGAGTCAAGGTTTGATACTGTACTAATCGCAGACATCAATGATGTTGGAATTGAGCTGCTTGACAAGGAGGAGTATAATGGTGGGCTACTCACAGACTCTGATGATGTTGAAACTGAGCCGCTTGACAAGTAGTAATATGATGATAAACTCCTCACAGACATCAATGTTGTTGGAATTGAGCCGCTTGACAAGTAGTATGATGCCGAACTGCTTCCAGATACCAATGATGTTGGTGTTGAGCTACTTGACAAGTAGTATGATTCTGAACTGCTCACTGACACAGATAATGTAGGTGTTGAGCTACTTGACATGTAGTATGATGCTGAACTGCTCACCGACACAGATGATGTTGTTGTTAAGCTACTTGACAAGAAGTATAACGCTGAACTGCTCACAGACACAGATGAAGTTTGTGTTAAGCTACCTGACAGGTAGTATGAGGCCGAACTGCTTGCAGATACCAATGATGTTGGTGTTGAGCTACTTGACAAGTAGTTTGATGCTGAACTAATTGCAGATACCGATGATGTTGGAAATAAACTACTTGACAAGTAGTATGATGGTGAACTGCTCACAGACATCGATGATGTTGGTGTTGAACCACTTGACAAGTAGTATGATGGTGAACTGCTCACAGATACAGATGATGTTGGTGTTGAGCTACTTGACAAGTAGTATGATGCTGAACTGCTTGCAGATACCGATGATGTTGGAAATAAACTACTTGACAAGTAGTATGATGGTGAACTGCTCACAGACATCGATGATGTTGGTGTTGAACCACTTGACAAGTAGTATGATGGTGAACTGCTTGCAGATACCAATGATGTTGGTGTTGAGCTACTTGACAAGTAGTATGATGCCGAACTGCTTGCAAATACCAATGATGTTGGTGTTGAGCTACTTGACCAGTAGTATGATGGTGAGCTGCTTGCAGATACCGATGTTGTTGGAAATGAGCTTCTTGACAAGTTGTATGATGCTGAACTGATTGCAGGTACGGATGATGTTGGAAATGAGCTGCTTGACAAGTAGTATGATGATGAACTGCTCACAGACACAGATGATGTTGGTGTTGAGCTACTTGACAAGTAGTATGATACCGAACTGCTTGCAGATTCCAGTGATGTTGGTGTTGAGCTACTTGACAAGTAGTATGATGCTGAACTGATTGCAGATACCAATGATGTTGGAATTGAGCTACTTGACAAGTAGTATGATGCTGAACTGATTGCAGATACCAATGATGTTGGTGTTGAGCTACTTGACAAGTAATATGATCCCGAACTGCTTGCAGATACCAATGATGTTGATGTTGAGCTACTTGACAAGTAGTATGATGCCAAACTGCTTGCAAATACCAATGATGTTGGTGTTGAGCTACTTGACCAGTAGTATGATGCTGAACTACTTGCAGATACCGATGTTGTTGGAAATGAGCTGATTGCAGATACAGATGATGTTGGTGTTGAGCTACTTGACAAGTAGTATGATACTGAACTGCTTGCAGATACCGATGATGTTGGAACTGAGCTGCTTGACATGGAGAAGTGTGATGGTGAACTGTCTGCAGATACTGTTGAGGTTTGTGTTGAGATACTGAACAAGTAGTATGATGCTGAACTGCTTGCAAATACCGATAATGTTGGAAATGAACTGCTTGACAAGTAGAATGATCCCGAACTGCTTGCAGATACCAATGACGTTTCTGTTGAGCTACTTGACAAGTAGTATGATGCTGAAATGCTTGCAGATATTGATGATGTTGGTGTTGAGCTGCTTGCCAAGGAGGAGTATAATGTTGGACTACTCACAGACACTAATGATGTTGAAACTGAGCTACTTAACGAGTAGTATGATGCTGAACTGCTCACAGATACAGATGATGTTGGTGTTGAGNGCTGAACTGATTGCAGATACCGATGATGTTGGAAATAAGCTACTTGACAAGTAGTATAATGGTGAACTGCTCACATACATCGATGATGTTGGTGTTGAGCTACTTGACAAGTAGTATGATGGTGAACTGCTCACAGATACAGATGATCTTGGTGTTGAGCTACTTGACCAGTAGTATGATGCTGAACTGCTTGCAGATACCGATGTTGTTGGAAATGAGCTACTTGACAAGTAGTGTGATGCTGAACTGATTGCAGATACTGATGATGTTGGAAATGAGCTACTTGACAAGTAGTATGATGCCGAGGTGCTTGCAGTCACTGAAGATGTTGTAAATGAGCTGCTTATCAAAGAGAAGTGTGATACTAAACTACTCTCAACCACAGTTGATGTTGGTGTTGAGCTCCCTGATAAGGAGTAGTAAGATCCTGACGTACTCTCAAGTAAAGTTGATGTTGGAATAAAGTTGCTTGAGAAGAAGAAATGTGATGCTGAAATACTGTCAGACATTGCTGTTGTTGGAAAAAAGCTACTTGATGAGTCAAGGTGTGATCCTGAACTCCTCGCAGACACTGGTGATGTTGAAACTGAGCTGCTTAACATGTAGTATAATGCCAAACTGCTCGCAGGCACAGTTGATGTTGGAATTGAGCTGCTTGACAAGGAGTATGATGTTGAACTGCTTGCAGATGCCGATGATTTTGGAATTGAGCTGCTTGACAAGTAGTATGATGTTGAACTGCTTGCAGATACCGATGATGTTGGAAATGAGCTACTTGACAAGTAGTATGATGCCGAGGTGCTTGCAGTCACTGAAGATGTTGGAAATGAGCTGCTTATCAAAGAGAAGTGTGATACTAAACTACTCTCAACCACAGTCGATGTTAGTGTTGAGCTCCTGGACAAGGAGTAGTAAGATCCTGACGTACTCTCAAGTAAAGTTGATGTTGGAATAAAGTTGCTTGAGAAGAAGAAATGTGATGCTGAACTACTGTCAGAAATTGCTGTTGCTGGAAAAAAGCTACTTGATGAGTCAAGGTGTGATCCTGAACTCCTTGCAGACACTGGTGATGTTGAAAATGAGCTGCTTAACATGTAGTATGATGCTGATCTGCTCACAGACATTGAAGATATTGACACTAAGCTGCTTGACAAGTAGTATGATGCTGAACTGCTTGTAGACACTGTTGATGTTGGTACTGAGCTGCTTGACAAGTTGTATGATGCTGAACTACTTGCAGATACCGTTGGTGTTGGAAATGAGCTGCTTGACAAGTAGTATGATGCAGAACTGCTTGCAGATACCAGTGATGTTGGTGTTGAGCTACTTGACAAGTAGTATGATGCTGAACTGCTTGCAGATACCGATGATGCTGGAATTGAGCTGCTTGACAAGTAGTAAGATGCTGAACTGCTTGCAGATACCGATGATGTTGGAAAAGAGCTGCTTGACAAGTAGTATGATGCCGAACTGCTTGCAGATCCTAATGATGTTAGAACAGAGCTGCTTGACAAGTAGTATGATGTCGAACTCCTTGCAGACACTAATGATGTTGGAATTGAGCTGCTTGACAAGTAGTATGATGCCGTACTGCTCTCAGGTAAAGTTGATGTTGAAATAAAGCTGCTCGACAAGAAGATGTGTGATGCTGAACTACTCTCAGACATTGCTGTTGTTGGAAAGAACCTACTTGATGAGACACGGTGTGATGCTGAGCTCCTCACAGACATGAATGATGTTGGAATTGAGCTGCTTGACAAGTAGTTTGATGCTGAACTACCCTCAGACACAGATGATGTTTGCATTAAGCTGCTTGACCATGACTCTTCATAACTCTTCGAAAAGGTGTATGATGCTGAATTTTGTGTAGAAACTAAATCTGTTGGCATAGAGCTGCTGCCTAAGGTGTTATATGAAGTCCGGCTGCTTGCAGACACTGAATATGATGTACCCACAGTGCTTGCCAAAGAGGAGTATAATGCTGAATTACTTGTAGACATCGAAAATGATGGAATCACACTGCTTGCCAAGGAGTCTGCTACGTAAATGCTAGTAGTCGTCCAATAGGATGGGATAGAGCTGCTTGTCAAGGAGTAAGATGCTAAAATGCTCTCAAATGTCGACTCTGAAGGAATCAAGCTGCTTGTCTGATATGGATTTGACGTTGTTTCACTTGAAAAATATATGTAGTCTGATAAAGTTGGACTGTCTGTCGAAGAGGAAAGGCTTGAGGAATCTGAAATTTAAAGAAAATCATTTTCATACAATTTATGCCTCAAAAGTACTATATTTAAGATAACATTAAACAAGAATTGTTGCTCAGATGCTTGAATATTTGCTAAAGGATATCTAAAAATATATGTCCCCCTTCATGTTAAAAGAAAATACAGCGTTAGCAAAATTAATTTGTCTATGCCCGTACTGCAATTGTTTCTCATCAATACATACACTGCTTTTCAGCTCTATGCAACAAGAGTATTACTACTACGGAAATTTCTATATACATGTATTTGTATTAAGGTTCGCGTTCTTTAATATAGCATACACGATTTTCTTTCTCCTTACTTTGACAGATATGATCGTCACATCCAGGAGCAAAACAGTGGCAGGAGCCGTTGGTGTTAATACAAATGTCACTACAACCGCCGTTATTGAAAGCACATTCATTTACATCTGCAATATACAATATACAATATTACGAAATGCAGAATGAGCACTATAATCATTCAAAAGAACCTTAATGCAATTAGAGAGTCCGTTAAAGTGGTCTGAGAGTCGGCGTCTATTGGAAAACATACTTCCGTAATCAAGTGACTAATATGATGTATAGTATTTGTAAATACATACAGCGTATAGTAAAAACTACACTGTCAAAATTAGTATGCCAAGTGGTTAATACAGTGTAATGTTCAGGGTCACAGAAAATTACCTTCACAACCTGAGGTATTGGAATCGAACTTGTATCCAGCTGGGCAACCTGTTCTGTTACAATTAACACAGGGGGTGACCTCTGATATATAATAAAAAGTCCAACATAATGTCTGTATTCATTCGATGTTATGTGTTTATAGTATCATAATATCGTCATACACTCATTGGTAAGAAAGTGCATATGCTTTTCATGTTACACCACCAACAAATTTGGGTTATCGAAATGGGAATAGGTAACTTTATTTTTTTAATATATTTTAATGCTGTGACATATATGTAATCCTCCCTAATAACAAAAAGTAAATATATTTTCGCATTAGAAATGTCTTACCAAAACAATAGGCTTCCGGACATGCCACCGTCGGACTTAGATAGTAGACCATAAATTCTGTGCAATTTTTAATTTGCACTGGAAGCAAGGACTCGCAGCAGCTGTAAGGAGACCCAACGCATGCGTCTAAGGTAACCATGGCACCCGCTTGTATAGTAGTGTTGGCTGAACCAAAAGATGCAGACATAGTTTGAAAACATACCATAAAATTTAGAGATCCCTCCCCGCATGCCACAAAAATAGAATAAAAGGCCATTTTCCAAAAAATTTGAATTATAAAAAAATATGAAAAAATTTTATAATAATAATAATATAACTTCATGTAAAAGAGGTTCTTATAGCTCACTTTCATAGGGAGCATTCACATCAAGAGGAGCCAGGGTCTAGTAAGGCCACGACCTAAATATGGCGGACCTACTGGATTACAGGATTGAGCGGTTTCCCTTTCATGTACCTTGTAGGTCCGCTATATTTAGGTTGACATCTTATTAGACCTCGCCTCTTCTCGATGTGAATGCTCCCAGATTTGTAAAAACTTTTAAATTGCTCTTTTAGAACCGATCATAAATTTTGATATTTATTATTTTTTCTTTTTGTTCACTGCGGAAGCCGAAACACGTTTTTTGCTGTTTTGCTCCCCTTACTGAGGATAATATCTGTGGCCTTTTCTAAGTTTATGATACTCACTTGTATTCACCCAAACAGGTCCAGTGGTCCCACAAGCCGGTGACCCAGGACAGAAGGTAGGTAGATGAAAAATGGCGGAGTGACCTATCTTATACCAAGTCTTCGACAGTGTAGAGTCACAGTTAGGGTCTGCGGTGAAGTTCGTATTATTTGTGCTCCTCTCAAAACCCACCGTAAGTTCCGTGTTGATTTGACATGGATCAAAGGCTGAATAACAAAGAAGGCCAGACAAATATGATAAGGTAGTTATAACAGGTGCGACCCACAATGAGCTTGAGGAGATGAATAGCAACCATTCTAGATATATATCGTTTGTAAAAAAATATATATATATTTTCCATCTACCAACCTTGTTTGCAGGGAGTGGCGTCTTAACAAAAAAACATCTGATTTGGCTCACTTTTTTATATTGTGTGTGTTCCATTAAAAGTTATGAAGAATACATGAAGATACCTGTATAATTTAATGCAAAATAACTCTCTTTAAAGAAAAAATATAACTTTTGAAACTGTTTTCGTCTTTGTTCGACGAGAATGACAATGTAAAGTGTTCAACATCTTTCATCACATTACTACTTAATTATTTTTGCAAATGTTACGAATTTTCAAAAAGCCCATAAAGCCTATATATAGCGCTGTCACCTGTTTTATTACATTGTGATATTCGAACCTTGGATTTTTACAGTGGCTTCATTGATCCTTTTTCACTACTATTGTAGCCAATATGGTCAGTAAATTTATGCTGTTCAGGGTACAGGTAGAAGTACGAGATATTGGGCTTTTTCTGTAACATGCACAAATGATATTTTTATCTACTTACCATGACAGGTGTGACCATCACAACCAAGCATAAAATTAGCCTCGTCGATACATTCACAATAGTAGGAGCCGATGGTATTACTGCAAATGTCACTACAACCGCCGTTGTTGACAGCGCATTCATCTATATCTGCAATATACATTGAAATATTGTCAATCTAAATAACTCAGTCAAAACCGTATCACAGTTGATTTGTGCACATTCCTGCATTCATTGTTGGTCGTTTTTCTATGAAAATTATTATTGGACTCATTAATACCTGTATACAGAAGGGTCATGAATCTAAAATTGCTCAATCTGTGGATTTGACGTGTAATCATTTTAGATTGATGGGTTTGATAATGATAAGAGACCAGCAACTTTTTATTACATATCTCCTTTAAGAATTGATAAGTGAATTGATTTTTCAAGAAAAAAATATGGTTAAGCCTATTAAAAGCACTCTAGACTGTTATAATGCATCATGATACATGTACCCAGATTTTCAGTGTGGCTTGATTGATTCATGTGAGCTGCTCTTCCACAAAAAATAGTCTGACAGCCTACAGTTTGTAAAAACAATAGTCAGAAAAGTGATGGAGCTGAGGCTAGACGTAATTAGCCCACGTGTTCTTTGATTTACATGTAGCTGACACAATTGTCATTACTTTATCTGCTTACCTTGACAAGTGTGACCGTCGTCTCCTAGCAAGAAACCAAACTCGTTACATTTGCAGTGGTAGGAGCCGTTGCTGTTAATGCAAATGTCACTACAACAGCCGTTACTTAGTGTGCATTCATTTATATCTGCAATATACAGTTTCAAAATGGTTTCAAGCAACCGAATTATCGTAAAAAAGTTCTTGCAAAATGTTAACGAGTAAATATGTCCACAAAGTCGGTTATGATCACCTTTAATATGACAGATTGCGTGTTTCTAAACTGACAATGGGACAGTTTGTGCCTTTTGCCAAATTGCAGTGGGACTAACGTGGTCAAGTCCACATCTTTGTGTATCTATTGACCCTATTATTCATACATTTCCATTACTTGAATTGATGTCGTTTAGAAAGTTGTTATTGTGGTAACTGATGTATGTTTTCAGAGGTGCTTTTCACCAAAGTTTGATAAAAAAAACAAAGTAAAGCCATTTAGAAAACTGTCACCTCTTACTGTTTAATGCTATGGAAAATCGAAAAGGAAGGCAGTCTTACATTTGCAATACATGTATATTCAAGCAAAACCAAAGACATTATATTTGAGAGAATGCCCCACAGCTTACAAGTTTTGGTGGGTAAAACACGGCTCTAAACCTTATTATTCCGGTAATTTAAACTACGTTGCTATCTTTCCATCGAAAGTGTTGTACAATTGTTCCTTAATCCTAAGCGAATAATTATAACAAAATAATATTAAACACACCAATATTACTTGAGAAACAACTGAAAGACAGTTACTATTGGAAACTTTCTTCAATAATCATCCCACCATTGCTCTGTCCAGTATTTGTAAGTACACTAGAATTAAACTTAACCGGTGGGCGTAGTTTGCCAAGAGGTAAACTATGTTTAGGGTCAGAGAGAAAATTACCTTCACAACTCGAGGTATTGAAGTCATATCGGTATCCATCCGGGCATACCGTTCTGTTACAATCAACGCAGGGGGCCACCTCTGATGCATAATAAAGAAGTCCAGCTTAATGCCTGCATTCATTTGATGTTATGTTGTGTTTATAATATAAAAACATCATCATTCTTCATACACTCATTCGTAAAAATGTGCAAATACTTATCATATGTCACATTATCAACTGATCTGAGATATCAAATGAGAGTAGGTATTTTTTCTTTTAATTTCAGCTGTGTGTTTTCAGGCACTGTAACAATCATGTAATCATCTCTAACAATGAAAAGTTTCATGGTATTTCGCATTAGAAATGTCTTACCAAAACAATAGGCTTGTGGGCATGCCACCGTCGGACTTAGATAGTAGATCATAAAATCTGTGCAATTCTTAATTTGCACTGGCAGCAAGGACTCACAGCAGCTGTCAGGCGACCCAACACATGCTTCTAAGGTAACCATGGCGCCCGCTGGTATAGAGGTGTTGGCTGAAATAAAAGACGTAGACATGTTTTGAAAAGATACTGTCGAGATTAGAAATCCCACCTCAAAACACCATAAAAAATAGAACAAAACGTTATATTAAACAGAAAATTCAAAAGATAAAAAAAACAAAAAATAATCTTATAATAATAATAATAATAATAATAATAATAATAATAATAATAATATCACTTCATGTAAAACAGAGCTCCCCTAGATATGAACTTCAGGTTTGTAAAGACCCTTTTAATTGCCTTTTGATTGAATTTTGATGCTGAATTTTCTATGAAATTTTTCTGACCTGTACATCCGTAGGTAAGGTCTTTATTGCATAAACTGAAACACTTTTTTTTGCTGTATTGCTCTTCTTACTGAAGATAGGGTGGCCTTTCCTAAGTTAATGCTACTCACTTGTATTCACCCAAACAGGTCCAGTTGTCCCACAAGCCGGTGACCCAGGACAGGTGGTAGGCAGATGAAAAATGGTGGAGTGACCTATCTTATACCAAGTCTTCCACAGTGTAGAGTCACATTTAGGATCTGTTGTGAAGTTTGTATTATTTGTGCTCCTCTCAAAACCCACCGTGAGTTCCGTGTTGATTTGACAAGGATCATAGGCTGAATAACAAAGAAGGCCAGACAAATAGGATAAGGTGGTTAAAATGTGACACACATTAGTTTGAGGATATATTTAGAAACCATCCTGGCTGGATACCATATGTTAATAAAATGTTACTTTAATTCCACAGCCCCTGTTTGCAGGGAGTGGCTTCTTGATAACAAACTTATCCAATTTGCCTCACTTATTTATATTTTGTGTCTTCCATTTAAAGTTAGTGCCAATACATAAAGATATATTCTAATGCAAAATAACTAATTGCTTTAGTTAAATAAATTAACATAATTTTTGAAATTGTTTTTCATTATTGTTCGATGAGAGTGACAACATCTTTTCATCACATTATACTAAATAAAAATTACGATTTTTCAAAAAGCCCATAAAGCCGGTTTCAGAGCACTGCCATCTGTTGTATTACATAGTGATATTTATACCCTGGGTTTTAGAGCGGCTTCATCAGTCCTTCTTCACTTACTCTATGAAAAATAAAAGCTGATCAGCCAACTATTTATAGACAATATGGTCAGAAAAGCATTGAAACTCAGGGAAGTCGTACGAGCTATTCGGCTCTTTTCTATACAATAATGACATTTTTCCACCTACTTACCTTGACAAGTGTGACCATCGCATCCAAGCATAAAATCAGCCTCGTTACATTCACAGTAGAAGGAGCCCATGGTGTTACTGCAAATGTCACTACAACCGCCGTTATTGACAGCGCATTCATCTATATCTGCAATATACATTATGGGAATATTGTCAACCAAATTAGCTCCGCCAAGGCCGTGGAATTTTATACCCTCCCATACCCATATTGGTAATTGTTCTGAAAATTAAAGTTATTAATGTACTGACTAATATCTGCAAGCAACAGAATCAAGCTGCTGTAATTCTAAAATTGTTTAATCTGTGATAATCCTCTAAAATTGATAAGTTTAATGATGATAAGTTTCCAGCAACTTTTCATCACACTCAAACAAATTTATAAGTGAACTGATTTTTAAAAAGAAAAATATTGTTAAGTCTATTTAGAGCACCCTAAATTGCTATAATGCATCACGAAACATGTACCCAGATTTTCAAAGTGGCTTGATTGATCCTTGTTAACTGCTGTTGCCAAAAAAGACGCTTACAGTCACACATTTGTAAAACAATGGTCAGAAAAGTTATGAAGCTGAGGATAGACGTACGTAGCCTACGTGTTCTTTTACTTAGAATACTCAATTATCATTTCTTTATCTGCTTACCTTGACAAGTGTGACCGTCATCTCCAAGAAAGAAACCAGCCTCGTTACATTTGCACTGGTAGGAGCCGTTGGTATTAATGCAAATGTCACTACAACCGCCGTTATTGACAGCGCATTCATTAATATCTGCAATATGCATTATTAAAATATTGTCAGTCTAACAAGCTCGGATAAAACCGTATCGCAAGGGATTTTTACTTGCACCAATACTCATTGTTGGTCATTGTTCTGAAATTATAATTATTATTGAACAATGTATTGATTTTTCAAAAAGAAAAATATGGTTGAGCCTATTTAGAGCACTGAAAAATTATATTGCATTATAATATGTACCTAGATTTTTAGTGGCTTGATTGTATCTTTGTTAACTTCAACAAAGAACGAGGCTGACAGCTACACGTTAGCAAAAACAATGTTCAGAAAAGTTATGAAACTACATGTAAGGCTAGAGCTACGTGTCCTACGTGTTCTTTATATATAGCATACGTTAGTGCCATTCCTTCCATTGCTTACCTTGACAAGTGTGACCATCGCTTTCAAGCAAGAAACCAGCCTCTTTACATTTGCAGTGGTAGGAGCCGTTGGTGTTAATGCAAATGTCACTACAACAACCGTTCATGACGGCACATTCATTTATATCTACAATATACGGTATAAACATGCTGTCAATGTTACACAATAACATAAAAAAACTTTCAAAATTTTAACGAGTGGATATGTCCACAAAGGAGGTGATGATTACCATTAATATTACAGTTTTGCGTGTTTCTAAGTTGACAATGGGACAGTTTGTGCCTCTGGTCAAATTGCAGTGTGACTAATGCGGTTTAGTCCACATCTTTGTGTATCCATTCACCCTTTTATTTATACATGTTCATGCTAAAAATCGACGTTGTTCAGATAGTTATTATTGTGTAAACTGATGTATGTTTGAAGAGGTGCGTTTCACAAAAATTTTGATTAAATAAAACAGAAAATAAAGCCTTTTTGAACACTCTCATCCCTCACTGTTTAGTGCTATGGGAATTCGGAAAGGAAGGCAATCTTGCATTCGTAATCAATTCAGACAAAACTAAAGATATTATATTTGAAAGATTACCCTACAGCTTAAAAGTTTGGGTGGGTAAAACACGGCTGTAAAACTTATAATTCCAGTGGTTTAAACTACGTTGCTATCTTTCCATCGAAGGTGTGGTACAATTGTTCCTTTATCTTAACTAATATCAAACAAACCAATCTTATTTGAAAGTCAACTGAGAGGCAGTGGGTATTGGAAACTTTCTTCAATAATCAGCCCACTACTGCTCTATCCAGTATTTGTAAATACACTAAAATTAAAATTAAACTACACAAGTGGGTGGTGTTATTAGGGTCAGAGAGAAAATTACCTTCACAACTTGCCGTTTTGGAGTCATATCGGTATCCATCCGGGCATACCGTTCTGTTACAATCAACGCAGGGGGCGACCTCTAAGGACAATAGAAAAATCCAGCTTAATACCTGCATTCATTTGATGTTATGCTGTATTAATAATATCAAAAAATCATCATTCTTCATATACTGGTTGATAAAAAAGTGCATATGCTTTTCATTTAACATCACCAGCAAATTTGGAATATTGAAATGGGGAAAGATATTTCATTATTTTAATTTAATATATATTTTAATGCTGTGACATATCTGTAATCCTCTCTAATAATGAAAAGATAAATACAATTTTGCATTAGGAAATGTCTTACCAAAACAATAGGCTTGTGGACATGTCACCGTCGGATTAAGATAGTAGACCATGAAGTCTGTGCAATTCTCAATTTGCATTGGCAGCAAAGACTCACAGCAGCTGTCAGGAGACCCAGCACATGCTTGTAAGGTTACCATGGCACCGGCTGGTATAGTGGTGTTGGCTGAACCAAAATACACAGACATTGTTTGAAAAGATACCATTCAGTTTAGAAATACCACCCCCACACCACAAAAAATAGAATAAAAGAAATGTAGTTAACTGAAAATTAGAAAAGAATGAAAATATAAAATGTATACATTTTAAAATTATAACAATAATATCATCACCTCACATAAAACACAGCTCTAATAAATTTGAATTTCGGATTTATTAGGACTCTTTTAAATTGCCCTTTAACTGAATTTTGATACTGAATTATCTATGAGCATTTTTGTCCTGTACCCCCGTAGGTAAGGTCTTCATTGCTGAAACTGAAACACTTTTTTTTTTGCTGTTTTGCTGTTCTTACTGAAGCTAGGGTGGCCTTTTCTAAGTCAATGATACTCACTTGTATTCACCCAAATAGGTCCAGTGGTCCCACAAGCCGGTGACCCAGGACAGGTGGTAGGCAGGTGAAAAATGGCGGAGTGACCTATTTTATACCAGGTCCTCAGCAGTGTAGAGTCACATTTAGGGTCTGCAGTGAAGTTCGTATAATTTGTGCTCCTCTCAAAACCAACCATGAGATCCGTGTTGATTTGACAAGGATCAAAGGCTGAATAACAAAAAGACCAGACTAATATGATAAGGTGGTTAAAAAGTTTGACCCACACTGAGCTTGAAGAGATGTTTAGCAACCATGCTAGTTAGATATCATATGTTTAAGAAACAAAATAATTTTTAGTCTATAAGCCCTATTTGCAGGGAGTTGCGTCTTGATAACAAAATTATCCGATTTATCTTACTTGTTTCGTTTTTGTTCGATAAAAGTGACAATATAAAGTGGTTAACATTTTTTATCACATTATACTACTTTAAAAATTTGAGAAATGTTACAATTTTTCAAAAAGCCCATAAAACCGGTTTCAGAGCACTGCCATCTGGATCTTAGAGCGGCTTCATCGGTTATTCTTCGCTACACTTCCAAAAATAAAAGCTGATCAGCCAACCATTTATAGACAATATGGTCAGAAAAGCAATGAAGCTCAGGAAATCGTGCGAGACATTCGGCTCTTGTCTACACAATATTCATATTTTTCCACCTACTTACCTTGACAAGTGTGACCATCGCATCCAAGCATAAAATCAGCCTCGTAACATTCGCAATGGTAGGAGCCGATGGTGTTACTGCATATTTCACTACAACCGCCGTTATTGACAGTGCATTCATCTATATCTGCAATATATATTATAAAAATAATACCGCTTAAACTAAACATCAATATTTCCTAGTTTCAGTGAGTTAATGCATCCATAAATTCGGTGATGATAACTTATAATTATACTGTTTTGCATTTTTCGGAACTTATCATTAGATCTTTTGTCAAATTAAGGGCGATGATAAGTGATAAGTGTCCAGCAACTTTTCATCACATATCCCCTCAAACTAATTGACAAATGTATTGATTTTTCAAAAAGAAAGATATAGCAAAGCCTATTTAGAGCACTCTAGGCTGTTATAATCCAACATGATACATGTACCAATATTATTAAAGTGGCTTGATTGATCCTTGTTAATTGCTCTTGCCGAAAAAGAGGTTGACAGTCACAAATTCGTAAAGACAATGGTCAGAAAAGTTATGAAGCTAAGGCTAGACGTATGTTCCCTTAATTAGAATATAAGATTGTCATTTTTTATCTACAAACCTTGACAAGTTTGACCATCGCCCGCCAGCAAGAAACCAGCCTCGGTACATTCACAATGGTAGGAGCCGATGGTATTACTGCAAACATCACTACAATTCCCGTTATTGACAGCGCATTCATCTATATCTGCAATATACATTATTGAAATATTGTCAATCCAACTAGCTAAGTCAAAACTGTATCCAAGTGGATTTTTACACCTTTCTACACACATTGTTGGTCGTTTTTCTGAATATTATTATTGGACTAATTAATCTTTGGATTTTGCATGTAATCATTTTAGATTGATGGGTTTGATAATGGTAAATGCCCAGCAACTTTTCATCACACATCTCCTTTAACAAACTGACATATGTATGATTTTTTTTTTAACTAATGATGGTAAAACCTACTAAAAGAACAGTGAACTGTTGTAATGCATCATGACACATGTACCCAGTGGCTTAATTGATTCTTGTTAACTGCTCTTGCCTAAAAAAAGAGGCTGACAGCCAATCATTTGTTTAAACCATGCTCAGAAATGAAATGGAGCTGAAGCTACACGTACGTAGCCTACTTCTTTTATATACCATACACAAGGAGCATTTCTTTATCTGCTTACCTTGACAAGTTTGACCGTCGATTCCAAGCGAGAAACCAGCCTCTTTACATTTGCAGTGGTAGGAGCCGTTGGTGTTAATGCAAATGTCACTACAACAACCGTTATTTAGTGCGCATTCATTTATATCTGCAATGTATGGTATCACAAGTTGTCAAGCTAACAAATTATCATACAAATTCTTTCAAAATGCTAACGAGAAAATATGTCCACAAAGTAGGTGATGATTACTTTTAATATGACAACTTTGCGTGTATCTGAGCTGACAATGGAACTGTTTGGATGGCTAAAACGGGGCTCCAAAGTTTATAACCCTAATGGTTTAAACTAGATTGCTATATTTCCATCGAAAGTGCTGTACAATTGTACCTTTATCTTAAGTGTAAAAATATAATAAAATAATTACAATCATACAAACCCATCTTACTTGAGGGTGAACAGACGGGCAGTAGCTATTGGACACTCGAGCTCTTCCATATATAATCATCCCACCATTGCGATGTCCAATTTTTGTAAATACATTAAAATTAAAGTGAAAACTACAATGGCAGACATACTATCCCAAGAGGTAAACGTTGTTCAGGGTCAGAGAGAATATTACCTTCACAATCTGCCGTTTTGGAGTCATATCGGTATCCATCAGGGCATACCGTTTTGTTACAATCAACACATGGGGTGACCTCTGAAAGAGAATAAAAAGCCTAGTTTAATGTATGGGTTCGTTTGTTGTTTTGTTGTGTTCATAAAATCATAATATCGTTATTTCACATACACTGTTTTTCATGAAACATTATCATCGGATCTTGGGTATCGAGATGAGGGTAGGTATTTTTACTTTTAATTTCAGCGGTATTTTTAACCGCTGTTTCACTTATTGCTAATAATTAGAAATTAAATATAATTCGCTTTAGGAAATGTCTTACCAAAACAATAGGCTTGTGGACATTCCACCGTCGGACTTAGATAGTAGACCATAAATTCTGTGCAATTCTTAATTTGCACTGGAAGCAAGGACTCACAGCAGCTGTCAGTAGACCCAACACATGCTTCTAAGGTTACCATGGCGTCCGCTGGTACAGATGTGTTGGCTGAAACAAAAGACACAGCCATAGTTTGAAAACATACCGTCGAGTACAGAAATACCACCCCCACACCACACAAAAAATGAATAAAAATTTATATTCAACGGAAAAATCAAAGGATTAAAAAATTAAACAAAAATAATGATCTCATAATAATTATGATAATATCACTTCATGTAAAACAGAGCTCTCATAGATATGACTTTCAGATTTGTAAGGACTCTTTTAAACTGCCTATCAATTTTTACCGAATTTTGACACAGAGTTCTCAGTGCATTTTTTCCTGTACCCCCGGAAGGTCTTTATTGTTGAAACTGAAACACGTTTTTTGCTGTTTTACTCTCCTTACTGAAGATAATTAACTGTGGTCTTTTCTAAGTCAATGATACTCACTTGTATTCACCCAAATAGGTCCAGTGGTCCCACAAGCAGGTGACCCAGGACAGGTGGTAGGCAGGTGAAAAATGGCGGAGTGTCCTATCTTATACCAGGTCCTAAGCAGTGTAGAGTCACATTTAGGGTCTGCAGTGAAGTTCGTATTGTTTGTGCTCCTCTCAAAACCCACCGTGAGTTCAGTGTTGATTTGACAAGGGTCAAAAACTGTATAACAAAGAAAGCCAAATAAAAACACCGATGTTTAAGAACCATGTTAGTAAAACATCATGTGTTAAAAAGAAACAAAATTACTCTACGTATCCAACAATGTTTTCAGAGTCACAACTTCATAACAAACTTGTCAGATGTAGGCCTACCTGTCTTATTTCATATTTGTTTATATTTAGTGTCTTGTATTAAAAATTAATAGCAATACATGAAGGCACAATGGTCAGCAAAGATATGAAGCTCGGGCTAGACGTACGTGATTTTGTGTTACATGGCATGCACGTATGGCATTTTTTTCTTCGCTTACCTTGACAGGTGTGAACATCGCATCCAAGCATAAAATCAGCCTCGTTACATTCGCAATGGTAGGAGCCGATGGTATTACTGCAAATGTCACTACAACCGCCGTTATTGACAGCGCATTCATTTATATCTGCAATATACATTATTAAAATAATACCGATCAAACTAAACATCAATATATCCTACTTTCTGTATGTTAATGCATCCATAAATTCGGTGATGATAACTTTTAATTATACTGTTATGCATTTTTCGGAACTAATCATTAGATTTTTTGTCAAATTAACGGCGGGACTAGTGAGGTCAAGACCGTATCGATGAGGATTTTTCACCCTTCTATTTTTACTGTTGGGCGTGGTTTAGAAAATTATTATTGTGCTGACTTATCTTAGTATGAAATGGGGACATTAATAAAAGTTTTGATGCCATACAGAGATAATAAAGAATTAAAGCAAAGTGAACTTATCATAACAATCAAACAAAACAAACTTATATGAGATTCCATAGTAGCACCCTGACTGTCACTATTTATTTGACACTATCTTTCATAACCAAACACATCACAAATAAAGTTGAAACTACTCTGGCAGGCGTAGTATGCCAAGAAATACATTATGTTCAGGGTAAGAGAGAAAATTACCTTTACAACTTGCCGCTTTGAAGTCATATTGGTATCCATCTGGGCATACTGTTTTGTTACAATCAACGCAGGGGGCGACCTCTGAGAGAAAAACAAAAATAAAGGTTTAATTTCTGTGTTCATTTGATGTTGTGTTGTGTTAACAATATCATAATACATAACACATACTCATCAGTGAAAAGTGCAAATGCTTTTCATCATCTATGTCCCATCTTTACCGGGCTGGGCATATTAAGAATTTTAATTTTAATGGTCATTTTTATATCTTTATTTAATCTAACATTTATTTTTGAGATCATTAACATTGTTGCACTCTCCTCTTTTATAGAAAATATAAATATAATTTCGCATAAGGAAATGTCTTACCAAAACAATAGGCTTGTGGACATGTCACCGTCGGACTAAGATAGTAGACCATAAAGTCTGTGCAATTCTTAATTTGCACTGGCAGTAAGGACTCACAGCAGCTGTCAGGAGACCCAACACATGCCTCTAAGGTTACCATGGCACCCGCTTGTATAGAGGTGTTGGCTGAAATACATGTAGAAGATGCAGACAAAGTTTCAAAATAAACAGATGAGTTTAAATATCCTTACCCAAACACCACAAGATGAATATATAGGTTTGTCAAACAAAAGAAAAACAATATGTAGAAAAGAATGAAGTTACAGAAAAATTTCATTTAGTTAGTTTATCACGCATATCTTTTGAGGCTAGATAATACACAAAGATTGTTATTAAAGAAGATATATTCATAGTATAAGTATAGTCGATGTTTGGACGAAAAAATGATGGTCGAAAATCCAGGACTCATGTTGTTTGCTATTCTGTTCGGTCGGCGAATCTATTGTTGAAATACTCACTTGTATTCACCCAAACAGGTCCAGTGGTCCCACAAGCCGGCGACCCAGGACAGGTTGTTGGCATATGAAAAATGGCGGAGTGGCCTATCTCATACCAGGTCCTAAGCAGGGTAGAGTCACATTTTGGGTCTGCGGTGAAGTTCGTATTATTTGTGCTCCTCTCATAACCAACCGCGAGTTCCGTGTTGATTTGACAGGGGTCATAGGCTGAATAATAATACGGTACTAAATGATAACTTTGTTTTGAAAAAATCTAGAGGCTCAGGTATTTTTAGAGGCGAAATTGGCTCATTTCTGATGAGATTTTTGATCTATGGGTATTATTTAGGTCGATAAATCTACTATTTTTGGAAACGCATACACAACCTATGTAAATATATAAATGTACAAACCTGTGTTCAATAAGGTTGAGTGAATTTCAGATGTTTTGGCTGCCATTTTGAAAATTGTCAATTAACTCATCCTTATAATTGATGTAGAAGTGCATGATAAGTTAGTTAACGAGTTCGACCAACACCTATTTTAAGGAAATTGGAGTTTTTCCAATTTTCATTCGCGCCATGACATCGCTGTTTGAGTCATTAATTCGGAGTTTGCAAATCCTAAAGCGAGACTCAAGATCACGAACGGCAAATTGGTTTATAACTTATTAGGCCTGAGTTTGCATTGCAGCGATCATAACTTACTTTCGTTACAGGTAGGTCCGTGGTAAGGCGGCTGGCATTTACAGGTGTCGGGAGCTATACATTCACCGTTATTCTCACACCCCTCCGCACAAACGGCTAAAACACAAATAATTCGGCTATCAAAATAATTTGTCTAACAAAGCAAGTGAAAAAATGGGTTCAGTACTTACTTTTTTGGCTAAGTTTCTTTTATAAATAACATCACAAACAAATGAGGGTGTTAAATTTAATCTACATTTTGTATCTAAATTTGATGGAGTCACATTGGCTCACGTATGTCGCAGCTACTAGTGTTTGTGGCGTTGGCTCCTGCAGACCACCCCTCACAGCAGTACTGTACTGTCACGTTGAACGAGTCATATTCTAGGCTGTATGTACTGCAGGAGTAGTATCTGGAAAGATAATTAACACAATGGTATGTTTCTTACAGAACAAAACATTAAATCAGTTGTTCATCGTCTATGTGCCTCGCATTAAAAAATGTATTTTATGATTTTGTCCTCTTTTTTCGCAAAACGTACCTGTACATATTGATATTGAATCTTTTTTTACTTCTACATGTATGCAAATATACGTTGCTTGCAGTGAATCTGTTTGCAATTTTCATTGATCAGCCCAACTAGTAATATCTGTTCCTAACGTTCATTCACTGTGGGAGGATTTTATCCATTTTATTTATTTATTTATTTATTTATTTATTTATTTATTTATTTATTTTTTTTTTTATTTTATTTTTTTTTTTTTACATTTTTACAAGCTGGATTTTTCTCCTAGAACAACATTAATCCCCACTTGTTTATACTGTTTATAGGGTAGCAATCGATTCAAACATATCTCTAGTGTACAGCTTGAATGCTGGATCTACAAATCCTTTCAATAATTTTGATAGCTGTTTTGGTTTTAGAGAAAATCCCAAAATCGAAAACGGTATTTTTCTCTCCAAAAATGCACAACAGCGTTACCTGTTTGACATTGCACTTAAACTCCATATTCTAAATTTTAAATTGAAATTTCTAATTTTAACATTGAAATTGGTGATTAAAAAATGTTTGATTTGTAGCAGCAAATAAGGATAGAGGCGTTGTGTCTATTATTTTATCCGTTTTTCCGTGTCCCTCCTCAAGGCACGTATAATCGAAGTGTAAAGATACAAATGCAGCCCATGAATATCATCTTACCTTTACCTTTACGTAATACGTAAACACTGCTTCAACATAGTGTTATTACATTGTGTTTACATTGTGCTTTTCTCATTGTGAGTGGGGCAATTATTTTTAGCTCTTCTTGGAACGAATCGATGTGCGCTTTAATGATTTTGTTTTTTTCAAGAAGAACCTTGATTTTGAATTGTGTATTGATGTCAGGCAAACAAATTGCAGTAGGAGCCCCTGGACTAAATCAATAAAGCCATTTATGCAGTCCTAACAAAATTGAATCAACTTTGTAAATTGAGGTCATACACAAAGGGCAGCAAACGTGAGGCCTACACCTTCCAGACTGATATACGGTCCCGCATCGTTACTTACTTAAAGGGATAATAACTCTTCGTATGAGATCTATATTTCACAATAAAAACCTTGTGAATAACTCATAGAAATATAATATATTCTGTTTTACCACAAAAACAGCAGTTATAGCTATTATTCTGATATCTGAGCTTGTCTTTAGACCACGTGACCTCCATTGATGGCTATACTCTGTTAAAATCTCTTAAGAGATTTTAACAAAAAAACAAACTTTTTAGAAAAAAACCAGGGACCAACTTTGAATGTAAAAATGGATTCAATAACCTTTGAAAAGTATGGGAAAATTGTTGTTTACTCCAGGAAAATTCATTTTTTGGCCGAAACAAAGAGTTATTATTGCTGTTAAGGGAATGTTAAGGGAATTGGTGAAAATGTTTCAGGTTAAAACTAAGCGGTCCTTTTAATGCTTTTCGATTAAAAGATATGTCATTTTGCTCTGTCTATGTCTCGTGACCCCACCCCTAGCAAATTTTCTGTCCTTTTGATACACCTGGAGTTTGCAATATACATATAGGTCTATGTTCATGCTTAAATAAGTGAGAATTTTTCTCAATAATTATTCTGGACGCTTGAAACTGGTCCCATATTCAAAAACGATTGTGGCAACCAGAAACTATGGCCCTTTTCTGAAAAAATATTTAGCAATCAGAAACTACAGTAGAAAAAAGTACTTTAAATATGAAGAATGCATTACAAATATAATAAAATTCTACAGGAAATGCTTTAGGAGTAAACCAAACATATTCTAAAAAATTGGATACAATTTATACAAACACAATCTGTAGCACTACGGAATATGGATTATTCGGTTATGAAAAATTAAGAATTTTCAAAGTCTGTTTTTCTTTGTACATGTAAGTCGTCACCCGCTTCTCTGTTGTAATTCTTTGATTTAGAAATTTGCTCACCGCAGCTCTTGCACATGAAAGTTGCGGTTATCACGAAAAAATCACATGACCTAATGGCCACCTCGATTTAGCGGATTTAAAGCCATATTAGGGTGACTCAAAGGCTGCATTTACAACAGCGGACTAAATGGTCCCCGAATTAAATATGGCCGACTCACTTAGATGGTTACTGCGTAATCTCCAAGGAGAATCTATTCAGTGTCTTTTAGGGTATTAGACGTCAAGCTTTTAAATGGACGTCATATTTAATCTGAGGACTAGTTAGTCCGCTGTTCTGAATGGGGCTAAACAGCCATTGGCGACAAAATACCTAGCACATCTGCTCCAACCCCAGAATCCACATGATCTGTAATATCTACAATATCGATACTGTAGTACACTTCTTGTGAAGTTCCTCTCTTCTGTTCTGTTGCAAACATGTCTGAAAAGTAATGAAAAAAATGCACATATGATTTTTAAGATTATGAAACGTGTATGGAAAATAAGAAGGAAAAAAGAAAATTTATGAAAGTTGCAAAATTGGTGTTAAGATATATTCATGTAGACCTACTGGGGTACTGTTTTGATAAAATTTTCTTGGCTTAATAAGCTTCATCAGAAAAATAAAGAAATTCGAATTTAGGCACGGAGGCTCAAAATGGCAACATATGGCAATAATTAGCCAAGAAATTCGCGTTTAAATGTATTGTTTGGAATAAATGAATAAGGGTAATTCGAAGTTGGATATGAAGTTGGTTAAAACGTTAATAGCGTCCAAGCATTTCACACTCTTTGCCTGTGAGCTGCACTGAAAAATACTGACGTTAGCTTGAGCGAGCAGAAGCGGGGATCGAGGACTGAGTTGAATTTATGGGGATATTTGTGTGAAATTTGGACTAGCATACATATAAGTGTGCCTACGTGAATAAAACGAGGTTTTCCTATCCCATTCCTAAATTATATAGCCAAATAATACATTTTAGTAAATATCGATAAAAAAAATGTGTCCACTGAACATATTACACGAAAACACAAACTGTATTGAACCACTTAAAGTGGCGTGTTCGATGAACAATTATTCGATCATCTGAGATTTACAACTTCTCTAGCTAAAGACTAGGAGCCATTTTCAAACAACTCTGTCTTAAGCCCCCTTTACACTGGACCGCGTCGCGTAGTACGGCCCCGGTCGAGAGTAAAAAAAAAATACTTTACGTGACAACTGGCAGATCATTGAGCGTTCATTCTCCTTTTTACCACCGCAACTTGTGCCTCTTTTCTACGACCACAACGATGCCAGTTTCACGGTCGCACAAGAGACGCAGAAAGGACGCCGTCCTGTGTATAAGGGGGTATAAGTCGTCCCGACGTCGGGGCACTAGCGACATGCTATCCACTTACCCTGTTAATCCGCTGGACACTCCAAAATAGGACAGAAGGACCGTGGTAAAAATCCCTGTTACAGCGAGAATCATTCGCAGTGGCATTTTAGTGCCACAAATCAGTCAAAATTAAATGATAAAAAATCAGTTTGATGATCGTTATTCCTGCTACGTTAGTTGTGTCTCTCACATGCTTTCTGGTGAATAATAACGACGCCACCACATCCGCTACAGTTTCGTTTAAAACACGTGGAAATCAGACCTTACTGAGTGACACCTCAGGCTTTTCTCACTTTTTAAAGTGATATCAAAAATATCAATTCGTTTCTGTACAATTCAAAGCCCTTGGATACCGGACGCCTGCTATTTCACAATAACAAACAGTAACGGTGTAGCGCATTTGTTATGATAGCAAACCTTAACAAAAAGAAAGTGCAATCTTTACTGTAAACATAGGTGCTCTTACAATGCATAACTCGAAATGTGATCTGCCTAATATTGGCTTGAAATATAACAAATACCAGTAGTTCCTTTCAAAACAGCAACAATGTCAACTTAATAAAAATGGGCATTTTGAGTCGTATGTACATGTAGGGGAAGAGGGGGAAGTCTGCCCCGGGGCAAGTCCGCACCCCCCTCCCCCTTATCCCGATAGTGAAACGACGGATCTCGCCCTCCGTCCTTTTGACAGGTCACATGATGGCATAATTAAACAAAAGTTTAAGTGGTGGGTGCAACGCAGATAAAACACGACTCGCAAGCCAAAACTTGTTTTTGACCTTGAAAAGTTATTTAAAAGGCCCCATTTGGTGTCTATTTTTGTAAGTTGCGTATAGATTTACAGATAGTCATGTGTATGGATGTATGGCCTTTATTGTGACAAATTCTTACTTCGGATGAGTCATGGGACTATTATGCAATCAACTGCTTAACAAAAAAGGTCCCGTTTGGGCGAGTCCGCCCCTTTTTTAAAGCACTAGTTCGCCCCTTTTCATGTATATATGCCAGCTATGAATCAGATTGAGACTAGAGAAAACGACAATCAACCTCTATCAGAATAATCAGACGTAGATAAGGTGTTGTAACTAGACAAAATACAGATAGAAAATACTTTTTAATCAACTTTGTAATATTTCGGCCAAAGAGACTGTGGTTTTGTTGCTGTTATTAAGCTCAGTATAAAACTTCAGTACTGTTCTCTCTGACAACAACCTAAAATAAATTTAGGTTGTTGTCAGAGAGAACAGTACTGAAGTGTGGGTATATGCTGACAGCAAAGTTGCTTTTGCTACTTACTTTTTTTCGAGTAAAATGCACAGAAATGGATTTGGATTAGGATGGTCTCACACTTGGGCAAGATATTATTCCAAAATTGAATTGACTCTGAAAATAATTACGGAGGACTTCTGATACTTATATCTCAATAAAGGTAAATAAATGTACTTCCTTCTGAAAAAATCTGGAATACTGAAGGTTATTGTATTTTTCCATCTAAAATGTTCAGAAACGGGGCGGAATAGCCCTGCCTTCCCCTACAAGTTGAATAATGCATGTATATTTTAAATTGACCAAATACGTTTCTGTACAATTCAAAGCCCTTTTGGCTGCCTTTTAAACTCATGGAAGACGGAATGCTCGTTTTCAAAAATGGCAAATGTTAGTTATTACATGTAGGTGCATTTTATTAAGAAGAAGAGTAAGGAGAAAAATATGAGAGAGAGAGAGAGAGAGAGAGAGAGAGATTGAGTGTGTGTGTGTGTGTGTGTGTGTGTGTTTGTGTGTGTGCGAGAGAGAGGGAGAGAGAAAGAGCAATTGAAATTGTGTCTGAGAGAGAGAGAATGAAAGAGAAGAGGGAAGAAAGAGTTGTACACTAATTCTACATACATGTAGCATTGTCAAATAAAGCAAAGAAATAGACCTGTGATACAAATATGAGCAGTTTTATTGCATTTGGAATACAAAGATTTGTTCAATGAATACATTTTCTTATTTAATATTGACCCCTGTTCTTGGAATGAAAGACGAAAAACCAAGTAAGCGATCCGCTTTATGTACAAGCAGAAGCAAAGGGTAAATTGAGACATGACACGGCCACTTGCCTCCGAAATAGCCTTATAAATCGTAAAAGTTTACACTTTCATAATGGAACATTTTTCCCTTTTTTTTTTCTAAGTCCGTTCCCCATTACTTTGTACAGGTGACATTCGTCCCATTTACCACCCCAATACTTCGACTAACCCTAACCTGTACTGATCACATGAGAACCCGGACTTCCATCCCGAGGACTACCATTGCTGCCACACCGGCATATAAGTGTCTCTTGTCTTGTCTTCCCTACTGGATAAAAAGTTGGCCAGATAATTTGTTTCGGGGATGGTGGCTGCAGCGGGCTCTTGGGTAGTATTAATCATAATTCTTGTAGATGCTGTGATAGACTTAACCACGACTCTTACCCCAATTAATAAGCTATTTAACTAGGTAACAATATTTAAAGGTGAAATTAAGAAAATAAATGTATAACATTGGAAATGTAAAGGCGATATTAACACCTGGGTTTTGACAAATTAGTTCGTGTCTCCATTTTGTTTTCACTTCTCCATTTTCCATTTCGACTTTGATAGTCTGTTATATTTGTAGTTATACAAAACAGCGCACAAAGAAATGGAAGATATCAAATTATTAAAATATGCTCAGTGCAAATTTCTTATTGCTTTTTAATGATTAAATCTAGTCGATATGCTTATGAGCAAAGTTCTTCTTACACGCTTTTTGGTCTAATTTCTCGATTTTTTAAAAATAAATATACACATCGGGGTATAATACAATCGTGACGCGGAAGAAGACAAAAGTTAATAATGCAACGAGAGAGTGTCTTTCCCGTTCAGTTTCATCTCTTTCCCCATCAAATCATAGCCAGTGCGCAGGTCCAAGGAAGCACAATTCAGGTGGGAGTACGCGGCGTCTTGTGACGTAGGGGAGTACCCTGACGTCATGAACAGCTCGTGACTTCCATTTGCTGACGTCACGTTCCCAGTTGCGGTCGGCGAGACGGGATAATACTGCATGGCCATGTAGGGAAGCCGGGAGTTCATCTGCTGAAGAGGGTCGTAAGCAGGCATGACGGGCCACCGGTCCGTGGAGGCAGGGTAGTTTGCTGAATACGGGCTTTGAGAGATGGAGGTCAGCGCTGTGAAATATAGAAAAAAATTAAAATGCGATATAAAAATAGTTAAAATAAACTGGAGAAATACTTTGATTATTCAATACTATACATGAAATTTCTAATTTAATATGTGCGTAGATATCTTTGATTAAGCAGTAGGGGTTATACTTAAATTCAGAAAATACATAATTTTAATATTCCGGTAAACTTTATAATATGTAACATTTTGTTAATTATCAACTAATATCAGGTTGATTAAGGTGGTGCCCTGGTTCTTATCTCAAGCTCTTTCAATAAAACATACAGTTGGGAGAATTAGAGAGCATTAAAATGTTAAATGAAATAATGAGTAAAGAAAAATATATCTTGATCGCCACTACATGCATATACTGGGGTACATATACACAGTTAAAAAAGGATGGAGTTTTCAAGATAAAAGTAAAGGAGGCGTTCCTTACCTGTGCTGTAGTTAATAGTTTTCTTTGGCGTTTCCTTTTTACGCCATTTTGCTCTTCTGTTTTGAAACCATACCTGAAGGGATAAAAGATACAAAATTATGCTTCATGTTAAAACCGAGATGTGTAACTTGAATTTTGGAAAGGAGTGTGACTTGTTTTGGTTAATATGCAGAAAAAGTGATAATCTTTCATCGGTTTAATTTTCTGAAAAATTGTTTAAAAAGCTTTTACTTTCCGGAAGACACCAGAAATGTCCCAGAAAGTTATCAAACATAATCGCAACATATCATACATGTATACTCTTACTGATCTTTAATAATTTTATTTCACGTGACGTAACGTGACGTAATGTGATGTAGTGTGACGTAACAGAACTCAATGAAATGGATTACCTGCACTCGAGACTCGCTGAGGCCTATTCTAATTGCGAGATCTTCCCGGGCAAACACGTCGGGATAGGGGGCGCGCTCGAACGCCCTCTCCATTTCCTCCAACTGGTAGGCTGTGAAAGTCGTCCTGTAAAGAGAGATGCAGAAATCAGTACGTTCGTCTTCCCACATTTCTAAAAAATAGTCTAATATATTGCTATCTAATTCGCGTTCCTAAATTTACATTTTATTATCAATTAAGTGATATTGCCAAATGATATTAAGGGCGCATTCCCATAGATTTAGATCGATCTATCCCCGTGGGGAGTCTCACTAGATTACTGTCAGATAATCCGGCTTAAATGTCCGTCCCGCCTACTACGAGCTGTAAGGGGGTAATTAACTCTNAATGAGGGTAGTTAAGAAGAAGGATACATGTAACATAAGAAAGATGGGCATCGGGCGTACGAAAAATGAGAGAGAGAGAGGGGAAGTCATACACTATTTATATAAAACAGCTTCAAATAAAACAAAGAAATCTAATACAAAAAACAGCTTTATTGAATTTGGGTTACCTATATTAGTCTGTGTGTCACTGCAAGTGTGCGTGTGTATATCAGAGAGATCTTGCGCGCTCGGGTGCGCGTGTTTGAGAGAAAGAGAGTTGAGAGAGACAGGGATGGAGGGAGAGAGCGATTGAAAGTGTATGTTTTTATGGGGGGGGGGGCAGAAAGAGAAAATGGAGAAGAGCGAGTCGTACACTTTTTATACTGTAGCCTAAATAGTGTCAAATAAAGCAAAGAGATAGACTTCGAGTACAAAAATGAACGCTTTTATTGCATTTGGAATACATATTTGTTTAATGAATGCCTGACTTTTCTTGTCTAATTTATATTTGAAAGGCACCAAACCACAAGGAAGCGATCTGCGTTTATATGCTAGCAGAAGCAAAGAGAAAATTGAGTCACGGCACTGCCAGTTGCCGCAAAATATCCTAACTCTATTCTTATGAAACAAAATTTTACACTGCACTGGCGGATCCAAGTAATGAAAAGGGCGGGGGAGGGGTTAAGAGAAACAAAAATTCACAAAAAAGCTTTCTCAAATTGAGCAATTCTCTTTTGCTAAGGCGACATCTTGAAAAGCATGATGTTCCCGCTGCCATTAAGGTGTCTCTTGTCTTGTCTTCCCTACCTCCTTTAAGAAAATTGCACAGGAGCTGTTTGACCAGTTTTATCTTGTTGAAACAACAATAAACAGCCGATATGAAGAAAATTAACGTATATATTAAATGTAAAATCGACCTGGGTTTTGACCAAGTCGTCCATGTCTTTTCTCTGTTTCTCCCTTATCCATTTTTCATGTCGGCTTTAATACACTGTACATATTGTAGTTATGCAAAACAGCGCACATAAAAATGAAATAAAATCGTTCTGAAAATATTTCCACTGAATATTTCTTATTGCTTCTCATAAAAATTGATCTATCTGATGCATAAATATATATATATGAGCTCAGTACTTCTTATTCACTTTTTGATCTAATTCTCCGATTTTTTTTTTCATAAATAAATGTACACATCGAGCAGTAAAATTATGACTCTGAAAAAAGTGAATGTTAATAATGTAAAGAGAGAGTGTCTTTCCCGTTCAGTTTCATCTCTTTCCCCATCAAATCATAGCCAGTGCGCAGGTCCAAGGAAGCACAATTCAGGTGGGAGTACGCGGCGTCTTGTGACGTAGGGGAGTACCCTGACGTCATGAACAACTCGTGACTTCCATTTGATGACGTCACGTTCCCAGTTGCGGTCGGCGAGACGGGATAATACTGCATGGCCATGTAGGGAAGCCGGGAGTTCATCTGCTGAAGAGGGTCGTAAGCAGGCATGACGGGCCACCGGTCCGTGGAGGCAGGGTAGTTTGCTGAATACGGGCTTTGAGAGATGGAGGTCAGCGCTGTGAAATATAGAAAAAAATGAAAATGCGATATAAAAATAGTTAAAATTGACTGGAGAAATACTTTGATTATTCAATACTATATATGAAATTTCTAATTTAATATGTGCGTAGATATCTTTGATTAAGCAGTAGGGGTTATACTTAAATTCAGAAAATACATAATTTTAATATTCCGGTAAACTTTATAATATGTAATATTTTGTTAATTATCAACTAATATCAGGTTGATTAAGGTGGTGCCCTGGTTTTTATCTCAAGCTCTTTCAATAAAACATACAGTTGGGAGAATTAGAGAGCATTAAAATGTTAAATGAAATAATGAGTTAAGAAAAATATATCTTGATCGCTACTACATGCATATACTGGGGTACATATACACAGTTAAAAAAGGATGGAGTTTTCAAGATAAAAGTAAAGGAGGCGTTCCTTACCTGTGCTGTAGTTAATAGTTTTCTTTGGCGTTTCCTTTTTACGCCATTTTGCTCTTCTGTTTTGAAACCATACCTGAAGGGATAAACGATAGGTTACAAAATTATGCTTCATGTTAAAACCGAGATGTGTAACTTGAATTTAGGAAAGGGGTGTGACTTGTTTTGGTTAATATGCAGAAAATGTGATCTTTCATCGGTTTAATTTTCTGAAAAATTGTTTAAGAAGCTTTTACTTTCGGCAAATAAGAAGACACCAGAAATGCTCCAGAAAGTTATCAAACATAATCGCAACATATCATACACTTACTGATCTTTAATAATGATAAATCACGTGACGTAACGTGACGTAATGTAATGTAGTGTGACGTAACAGAACTCAATGAAATGGACTACCTGCACTCGAGACTCGCTGAGGCCGATTCTAATTGCGAGATCTTCCCGGGCAAACACGTCGGGATAGGGGGCGCGCTCGAACGCCCTCTCCATTTCCTCCAACTGGTAGGCTGTGAAAGTCGTCCTAAAGAGAGATGCAGAAATCAGTACTTTCGTCTTCCCACATTTCTAAAAAAATAGTCTAATTGCTATCTAATACGCGTTCCTAAATTTACATTTTATTATCAATTAAGTGATATTGCCAAATGATATTAGGGCGCATTCCCATAGATTTAGATCGATCTATCCCCGTGGGGCGTCTCACTAGATTACTGTCAGATAATCCGGCTTAAATGTCCGTCCCGCCTACTACGAGCTGTAAGGGAGTAATTAACTCTCGTGCCCGCTCGGCTGACAGCTATTTAGCGTGAACCCCCAGGGAGTTAGGTCGATCTAGTTTGGATCGATCTAATCTCTGGGAATGGGGTCTAAAAATTATCATTAAAATGAACCAAATATCCATAGTTGCAGTAAATTTAAGAAATAGCAAAAATTTACAGGGTGTTTCTCACCTGTACCTTGTCTTTTTCTTCTTTGGCTCATCGCTTCCTTCTGTCTCCTTCACTGCGTGTGGTTGAGTTGCCTTCATCAGCGCAGTGGAGGACGATTGCGGTAGAGAAGACGTGCGGGATTGCGTCGGCGAAGCCGATGTCGTGTACATTTTACTGGGGGTGACTGGAGCGACGTTGGCAATGGTCGGTGACTTCTGTCTTCTGTCTGCGTTGGTGGTAGGTCGGGGTCTTTCCACGACATTCGCCTTAGAAATAGAGGCTGCCAGACTCAAAATATCGTGAGAGGTTTCATCTGAAACTAAAAAGAAAACTTTGTTAGTAGGCTACTAAGCTAATAAGCATCTTTCACAAAGATCTGATAATATGTTTTTTTTTCTCTACGTTCAATGTATGAGCTGTTACATAGCCATGAAGGGAAATCCCCAAAAATTAATAATATAAATAAAAAAATTATTATTATTATTATTAATAATAATAATAATAATAATAATAATAATAATAATAATAATAATAATAATAATAAAGCTGAATAGATTGTTACATAGCTCAACATAAAAAGTAAAAATATATATATACGAATACAAGAAAGAATCCATCAATCAAAAGAAAAAATGATAATGGCAATGAGGAATGCATAGGGTGCTAAAAACATTCCTCTAGTGAAATCTGTCACCTTATCACGCTGTTGATTCTGACTGTTGTGACCCTATAATGCATTCATAATTAAATGCATAGTATTGGATGAAGGCGTACATAAGCGTAGCGTTTTTTTTTTTTTTTTTTTTGTTTTGTTTTTGTTTTTTTGTTTTTTTTTTTGTTTTTTTTTTAGAATGGCAAAGCTCTTGTGTAAAGCTCTTGTGTAATAAGTTTTAATCAGGGGGATTTAACATGTGAAATATTCACCCCTTTTAATGAAACTGCAATGAATTACTCTAGCATAATGACTTATACGCAGACTCAACGAGAAAATAATGAGGAACAAAATTAAAAAACGTGAAAAGAAGCCATTTTGTAACTTAGTAAAAGCCATGCATATGTCAGGCAAAAATAAACATTCTATTTCGGACTTTTTTACATTATTTGAAGATTAAAGAAGAAGTGTTTAAAATAATAAATCGATAGCAGTCTCAGAGAGAAAGAAAGGGAAAAAGAGAGAAAGAGCGTCGACCACACAATAAACATACGTATCCATCTTTCATCTAGGTTTCAGCACGAACGCTTGAGGCAATTTAACATCTCAATTGAACGCTGGAAATGAACATATTATTGACGGAAATTGAAATGATGATGAAAATTATCAATCACATTAACCCCAATTCATGAAATGTGCCTGCTATTTAGAAAATTGCCTCCGCCAGAAACCTGCCTATGATATCCAATGCGCCCGGAAATGTATAAGCGGAATCTACATCTGAAATTCGACTCCAATGCCTCGGATATTTTGACACGAAATTGCATTTTAAAACACACCTTGGTCGTGTTTCGCATTTTGTAACAAAATTAACTGGTTCGATGAAATTTTCAAGCCAGAGATTTTTTTGTGGTGAAATTTGACAGTTTTGTGAATAAAAGACGCGTGTCACATGTTAAATATGACGTCACGTAGTGCAGTAATTATATCGCAAGTGGAAATAGAATGTAGAAATGGAGTTATTTTAGTCCCGAAGAACTTAATTCCCATGAAAGCGGATCGTGTTTCACTTTTATTGTTGTTTTTAATGAAATCTTCCGCTCGGGCCTTGCTTTTCACTTCTTTTGTTTGGTGTTTTAGTGTTGTAACATTCACAAACCTTTCCTACATATTTTTGTTCTTTTTTACAGAGAAACTAGAGTACTATATTCACGTACGTTTAAATTTTATCATTACAAAATTGTTTTAAAGGTACTTAAATGACTGCAAAATTAAAATTAGTCGTTATCGAATACAATTTAAGAATTGATATTTGATCTTTGACGTGAGTATTAGGTCTACATTTAGACAGATGATTTTTTTCAAAGAAGAAGACATTCTGTCACATAAAGTGCACTAATAATCCCACTGTAACATAACATTGAACAAAGCCCGGAACTAACGCAAGTTAATATGTTTTTCGTTGATTTCCTTTAATCCAATCAACCGTTGATTTCTTTGTCAAATCGATTATTTTATGCGTTATCTTTAATATGTTTCTCGCTTTTTTTCCACAGGACCCTACAACACGCAATGTTTAATATCCGATGCAAGCGTTGTATCGAGTCGCAACATTCTCACGATGAAGAATCGCATTTCTATATGACCAACGTGTTACAGCTTAATTAAATTATATTTTCACACCGTCGCAAATTCAATAAAGTACACCATGTATCGATGGAGCAGATACTTACAACTAATCTCCTTTGCCGTCACAATTCAATAAATTAATCCAGATAAAAAATGCCGGTGACATGATCTGTTGCTTGCCTTAATTCCGGACTTGGTTCATTGTTTTGTTACCGTGACATCGTCAGTACACTTTCTCCAAATGGACCAACAGGTCTTTTTTAATAAAAGCAAGCAATAGCAGTACTCAAGTTCGAGGAGTAAAATACTTCGTTTCAATAAGGTTAGGCTTGGCTAAGTGAAATCAATTTTACATTTAGCGGTAAAGTTTTCTGTGTCACATCAATTTGAGAGACTGACAACACAATCACCTAAACAGAGCCCCAAGACCAGTTAAACGGTGCAATTTTGCTTTGCAAATCATCATCATCATCATCATCATTATAATAAAAATGTTTGTTTATAGTCTAAACTCAAAATATGAAATTTACAATGCAAGTCAAAGAAAACGAAATCAATGATTAAAAATTATTTAAAATATGTAAAATTTAAAGCCAGTTATTTTGTCGAGTCTATTTAAAGATCATTAAAACATTTGAACTTGTGTTAGGGTGTAAAACTGTACTGTACTCCTCGATGTCAGAAGGTATCCAGTGTTTAAGTCGTGAAAAAAACATAAACAGCTCTCTTCAGTGCATAAGTGACAGGTGACAGGTGACAAAGAGAACAGGAGGGGGACAAGGAGGCGTCTCAACGAGCCTCTAATGTGACCAAAATAAAAACGGACATACATATTTGAATTTCATAGACGAGACATTCTTTTTTGTGTATCTGTTTTGTCCCCGCCTGCCTTAAACCTCCCATCCCCAATAAGATGGGATTGAATGAGCTGATTTTGGGATTGCTTACTTTCAGTTATACTCTGGACCAAAATCCTGGATTTAAAAAAATCACAGTCAGCCCGTTTCTCATATTCAGTTTGTGAGTAGAAAGGGTTGAAATTTTGCATTTTTTTACCGACAAGGATGAAATAACTCCCTATCAGAGTAGTTAGTCGTTTCTAATTTGACAAACTGTAAAATACAATATGTACAAAAAGGCACCTATCGTAGAGCAGTATATCGATATCTCAATTATTCAAGTCGCATCTGTTCAGTATGTACGTACCACAGAACGCAAGCAGATATTTTATTAACAATTCTAAAATCTTTCTGTCTCAAAGACGATGTAAAATGACACAGCGTATGGCACCAGTGTCCGTACATACATGCATACCATCTCTTAGTTTCGTGAAAATTCGCACAATTTCTAAAATCTTCATTTTTTCATTGAAAAGCATAATCATAAATCCCCAAGCAACCTGTACGAGGAACATGACGTAACCGGAAACCAGTTGTAAACCGTTGCAAAAAGGCAAAATCTATATTTCGAACAATTTTCAAATTCACAGCTTATCTTTTCATGATATGGATATGCTATTTTTATCATCATTGCTCTAACTCACATTCTTCCTTTTTCTCTGCATTATAATTATTAAGGAAAGTCAAAATAAGCTTGTAACTTTCTTGAAAGGGTTGATCAATTAGAACTCAAACGTTTGCGGGTGCCTTAATTTTAAAAAAAGAAGACCAACTGTAAAGAAATCACATACCTTGTTTGCTGCTGTAGTTATATGGTGCGTTCTGTGGAAGATATGACGGCAGTCCGCTCTCTCCCATCACTCTAGACGTACCGAGGATCCCTTCAATACTGTGAGAATTCATCGCCTTCGTCTGATACATGTTCCCTAAAATCTTTTTAAGAGATCGGAAACTTTTGCTGTTTTAATAGAATACTTCTCACTGCTCACTTATCAGTTCAGTAAAAAGTCTTCGCGGGCTTAATCGACAAAACTGCGTTAATTTGCCTTATCAATGCTTCATCACTACTCAAATATTATAAAATAAACTTTTGCCGCGTGTATTGAGTTACCCTCTGTGATCGACTCTTGGTCGTCTGCTCGACTTCTCCAATTGTAGCGTTTATATAGGAGCATGATAGAATTAATTAACGTTCTCGCATTTGGAATAGCAGACGACCCTTCTTCAATTACCAGTCGTCCGCATCCAATCAAAGAGCGATTAGAGTGGTTTAGCAATCTTTATCGACCCACGTGATGAAGGAATCGGCGTTCCAAATCCATTTTGCCGTTGCTTGTAGAGTTTGGTGCTTTTCATTATTGAAAATTATAGCAACGGGCATTATGACATTTGTTGTGTTTTTACAGTACAGTGGTTTCCTTTGTTCATCTCTCTCTCTCTCTCTCTCTCTCTCTCTCTCTCTCTCTCTCTCTCTCAATGTTTTGTTTAAATATATTCTACGAATTAAACTCAATCACATGGTAAACAATAATCACTACGTCTAAAATGGTATTGGTTAAAATTCTTTTAAGACATTTTTATAATAATATCAGGAAGTCCCACTTCACTTTAAAGTAATAGCCTAGTAGTATTCAAGCAGATGATATGATATTGTCCAGATCATAGGTGTAACTCGATGGCAGGATATAGCCAAAAATGTTAGACAATAGTCAAAAATGACTTCTTTTTATTATGTAAGACAGATGCTAGTCATTGATTGTCTTTTATACCGCGCACGTGTCCCGGAGCCGAACGCCTCGCCTGCATTGCCAATCATCAAACAACGCCTCAGATAACACATCTGCAATGTCGGTCACACTTAAATGATCAACTTTAATTAGAAATCCAATTAAATCTGGGCTTAAGCTACCAATTAATCCCACAGCTAAAAGCGACGATTGTCTAATTCTCTCGTATTTTTTGACATCAGCCGCAGTCATGCCGGATAAGATGAAAGGACGGCCGACATATTGTTCGTAAAGTGGACGGCCTTGTCGAACACGTGTGCTTAGATTATGTCGTAAAAGAATATCAGCCATAAATCAGGTATACAAACAGTATCTACGCGGCCTCGTCATTAAATATGAATGAAAGTCCGCCAATTTCTGATATTCTGTTAGGTGGAGGCTGATAAAGCCGGGACTATAGTATATAAACTGAGGTATTTATTTCAAACATCGCAATCTAAAATAAAATAAAGACATTAGCAATACCTTAGTTCGGAATAAGAAGTGACAGCTTTCTTTAATAAAAATGTAAATAATGTCTTTTATACGTATGACACAAATGAGCTGTTAATATTTATCTATAAATAAATTCTGAAATTTTATTAATTTATGTAGCTTTTATAGGGAATATATTCTCAGCAAGACTATGGCAAATGATACAATATCAGCATGCGTTTCGGAGCTCATCTCATAGGAATTTTCAACAAACCTTTACTTTTTTGACAAAGGAATATTACGAAACAACAGAAACAAAAATCTGCGTTATCTTATTAGGAAATTGACAGCCTTAATTTAGTTAATTTGACATTAGTATTAGTACATTGTGCCAAAAAAAGTTGTGGCCAACTTTCTCTGATTAGTGATAATTTTCAATAAATCTACCACGTATATTGTTAATGTAGTAAAGAGTTTATCTTTAATTAATCTTAATCAGGAAAACAAGATTGCAATATGTCGTTTGTCTGCTTAAAAAGTGATCACCATCAAAAAAATGACGGATAAATTGCACTTCATCCGAAGGATAATCCATCTTAATTACGGTCTCATTATGGAGAAAAGATTAAGATCATATCCTTTTTTATATTTGTAGACAGATTGATCAAATTAGCATTCATCCTGGTTTTCGTTATCATTTATTTGTTTGCCGCTTTCTTTCTTTCTTTATCCGTCCGTTTATTGTAATATTTATCTATTTATTAACTCATTTATCCACCTATTTATCTATATAACTCATTATTTAAGCGTGAGCTTCATGATTGTCACTAAGCAAAAAAGGAAAGATACATAACGTTACGTATCTGAATTGTCAAAGAAACAAGAACGATAAAGAAAAGGTCAATATAATTAAGAGTCAATAATTATAAGCTGTGGGCAGTTCATGAATGAACGACGCGTTTGGAGAATTTCCAGGCGTTGCACGTAGATAAAAGGCATTAGATTACGATAAAAAGATCGTCGTTGAGTAATTAGGAACGCAGTCAGTCTATTTAGAGTTGCTTAATAAAAGAAGATCACTAATAGATTGAACGTTGATTATCAGTTAGACGAGAGGTCGGTCGGCAGTCTGGGTATCGAAGCTTGTTAAAATGTGTCAGTAAGTGCTGCTTACAGTTTATTTGTCTGCGAGAATTTGCAGTCAAGTCTTCAGCTTGTGCTAATGGGTGAGCAGGGTGTCACACTTAAACTTATTTTCTTTCAAAGAAAGAGAGAGAAAGAAACGAAACGAAACAAAAAGAAAAAGAAACATAACGAAAAAATAAGAAGCTCGGTGAAATAAACAGGACAACGTGGGGTTGTAAAGTGCTGTATGTACTAATTCTTGTAGAATCACACGTGCACACACGAAAAACGCACACATGATATTAAACGTTTCTATCATGTAATAAAATTATGTAAACTTGTATCAAAATATCCATGTAAACATGAGTTAAAGTGAACGTATGTGGTTCAGAATTACAATATCCAAGTTCAAAATTCAACAGATGGAGGTTGGGAACGGAGATCTTAGGTCTGTCCAAACTGATAAACCCGGACTGGTTAAGATCTGGATGACGTCACAACGCACCTATGGTGTGGCTACGTGCTGCATAACGTTTGGACCCAGATGAAGCAAATCATCCCCCAAAATTTGTCTCTTCTCTCCACATTAACTGTTCATTTGTCATTGTACCGCAGTAACACGAATTAACTGCAGTTTAGTCATACCAAATGACATATTACACTTATATTATTACCGCGACCTGTGCAAAATTGGAGACAATGCTATAACAATAATAATATTAGCAATTTTATGCGACTAGTAAATTTAACTGCGAAATTCGATTGGTGTTAAGTTATCGAATTTATTCGATTCTAACTAGCAATGATGGAACAGTATGTACGGAATAAATTGGTAAAACGTACGAATTATATTATCCCTTAAAATATAACCATTTGAGCAATAGGGGGTATGATATTTATCCAATATATTTAGAATTGGTTTGTTATTCGTTTTCATTGCTGACGTAGATATTTAGCTAACAGGGCACTCTTTTCATTTATAAAGAACTATATATAAAAGCGAAAAACATTCATGTACGGTGCACAGTTTATTTTTTTTGTCGGTGAATTAATTTACAGACCGCAGATCATCTGATATGCTAGGATTATCTAAGGAATAAGACCAGCAAATAAACATGAAATTGGAACAGCGCATAGCTAACGTTTATGATTACAATATCAGTGTTTTTTTTTACTCGGATATGGCCTTTTGTAGAATAAAGTAATTTTTAGAATATAAAATTAGAGGAACACACATTTTTGTCAACTCACGAGAAGCTATAATAATATGGAAGATGTGGAGTTGCATTATGTCTTTTGTAATTTTATTTTAAAATAGTACAAATTAAGAGAAAAAACAGACAAAATGTGTGCGAGTTCATGTATTTCTACTGTTTCGTATAAGGTTTCATTCGCCGTACGTGAAAACCAACGCAGCAACAAAAATGTGAAAATAGATGAAAGGGAAATTGCTTCCCACATTCAATAAACGTATACAGAATTAAAATAATAGAACTCCTGCCTAATAGCGACCGGGAAACAATTTGGTCGCGTACAACTGCAGACTAAACGTGCTCTAACAGTTTCCGAAAAATAACTTTCAGAGGAAACTGCGGAAGAGCTCAAATTACATGAGACCGTGTATTGTCGAAATAGGATATAGTCTGCGATCTCCCATGTAATTCGAGAACGACATTAGCTTTTAGGGGAGTGAGCTGGCGTACAAATAACAAAAAAAAATTGATTCTAAGTGAAATTTACTGTAACTCTACTGCTTCTGCGTTAGAGTTTGAGAGTGAAAAGTCTATGGTCAGGCTTATGAAAATCTTTTTTTTTTTTTCGGCATTCTGATAATGACACTGTTCATATGCTACTTCACTTCGTGGTTGTCTGTCAATCACGCACAGGCGTCATAATTTTTATGCCTTTTAAAGCTTTATTGCTTTAAGAAGGTAACCTCTCTCCATCTCCCCCTTTCTCACTCTCACTCTTTTTGTNTGTTATCATTTATTTGTTTGCCGCTTTCTTTCTTTCTTTATCTGTCCGTTTATTGTAATATTTATCTATTTATTAACTCATTTATCCACCTATTTATCTATATAACTCATTATTTAAGAGTGAGCTTCATGATTGTCACTAAGCAAAAAAGGAAAGATACATAACGTTACGTATCTGAATTGTCAAAGAAACAAGAACGATAAAGAAAAGGTCAATATAATTAAGAGTCAATAATTATAAGCTGTGGGCAGTTCATGAATGAACGACGCGTTTGGAGAATTTCCAGGCGTTGCGCGTAGATAAAAGGCATTAGATTACGATAAAAAGATCGTCGTTAAGTAATTAGGAACGCAGTCAGTCTATTTAGAGTTGCTTAATAATAGAAGATCACTAATAGATTGAACGTTGATTATCAGTTAGACGAGAGATCGGTCGGCAGTCTGGGTATCGAAGCTTGTTAAAATGTGTCAGTAAGTGCTGCTTACAGTTTATTTGTCTGCGAGAATTTGCAGTCAAGTCTTCAGCTTGTGCTAATGGGTGAGCAGGGTGTCACACTTAAACTTATTTTCTTTCAAAGAAAGAGAGAGAAAGAAACGAAGCGAAACGAAACAAAAAGAAAAGGAAACATAACGAAAAAATAAGAAGCTCGGTGAAATAAACAGGACGACGTGGGGTTGTAAAGTGCTGTATGTACTAATTCTTTTAGAATCACACGTACAAACAAGAAAAACGCACTCATGACATTAAACGTTTCTATCATGTAATAAAATTATGTAAACCTGTATCAAAATATCCATGTAAACATGAGTTAAAGTGAA